GGTCGGCCTTGTGCAAGGCAAACGCCCTCCCCACTGTGCTATCACTCCAGCCCTGCTGTGTTCTAGGCACACAAAAATCCAACAGAACTCCGCCCCTTGATGGGATTACACGGCGCCAGGGGGCCAGTTGGTGGGTGTGATCCCATCAACGGCGAAGACCCAGAGACTATAAAACCCAGCTCCTGGAAGCGACATCTTATTATCTCATTCTTGCTTTGGACAACCTGGCAGGCCACCGAATGTAACCTGCCCACAGGGCAGAGTCTGGCAAACTCCCCGTGGCGTACCCAATATGCCAAATACCAGTAACAATGATGGGTCTCATTCTCCTAACTCTGAAAGAGCCTTGAATATGGCACTTTTTAAAAATCTCAGGGCTAGGACGAAGGAGACGTTACTGGGGCCTGCTCCAGGCAATCCACAAATAACAGCCAATTGTGATTGTGATTGGAACCCCTCCCCTAGTGCCAGCCCCCTCCCAGTTCCCAGATGCCCTCTGCAACACCCCCGCACCCCCCACTTTGACATTACAAAGTTTCCTGGTGGCTGCTGCTTCCCATGTTTTCAGTGTTGGGTCTGAGGTTCAGACCCAGGACTCTAGTCTCACCCCTAACGCTCCTTCCCGCTTGATTTCTTTCCTTCTCTTTCTCCCGGGTCCTGGGTGACCCGGGCATCCCCCTCACTGCGTTTCCTGACCCGTGATCTGTGCCGCGCGGGGACGTGAGGCCATCCTGCGTTTGCCCTTCTCCGTGGGCTTCGGCCGCACCGCGCACGGTCCCCAGGACGATGCGATCACGCAGCTTGGGGCCGGGCGTCAGCGCGCGGGCGATGACTCGGGCGATTCCGAGTTTGGTGCAGTTCCCCAGAACCCACCCGCGCGGGGCGTCGCGCGCGCGCCCGCAGTACCGACAGGTGGAGGAGCGCAGCCCCGCGGGCGACTGCCCTGCAGGCGGCATCGGGCAGGACCGGCCCTCCGGGACCCGGACCCTCCAGGCCAGACCACGCGGGGGCCGGCGCGGCTCCGCCGGGCCGTGGGCGCGCGCAGACCCCAGCCCGGGGCCGGTCCCGAGGCCGGCGCCCGCCCGCGCCACGCGTGCTTCGAGGGCCCCCGGGCCCCCTGGACGGCCCAGCAGGGGCAGCGCCGCTGACCGGCTCGGGAGCAGCCTTGGGCCCCGCTGCACGTGCAGCCGCGGCTCGTCCGGAGGGCGGGGCGGGGCGGGGCGGGGCGGGGCCGGCGTCCCCCTGCACCGCGCGGCCAGTGCGCTCCTGACCGCGGGTCTGCGCCCGCCGCCCGCGCCCCTGCCCACCGGCCCGCCCGCGCGCCCCTGCCTACCCCTGCGCCCCGGCCGGCCCCTCCCGACCCCCGCACCCCTGCCCACCCGTGCGCCCTTGCCCCGCCCCGGCCTGGCCCCTCAGAGGCCCCTGCTCCCCTGCCCGGCCCCCGCGCCCCTGCCCGGCCGTGCCCGGGGAGCGCCGGCGACCCCCGGCGCCCGGCGCTATGTTCCGCAGAGCCGCCCCCAAGCCCGCGGCCCGCAGCCTGGACGAGCTGGACTCGGTGCGGCGCGTGCTGGCGCACAGGTCAGTTCCGCGGCGGGCGGGCGGGCGGGAGACCCCCACAGCCGATGGCCCGCGGCGCCCCGAGCCGGGTCTCTGGACACGCCTCGGGCCGGGGTCGGCCGGAGACCCCAGCGAGGCGCGGACGGGCCGGGACCGGCGCGGGGACCGTTGGCCCGCCGACGGGGTCTGGCTGGGGAGGGCGCCCGGGTGGGTCTGGGGCTCCCCCAGCCCGGACTCAGCAGGGGCCAGAGGCTGGGTTTGGGGACCCCCAGACCTAGTAGGGGTCTGAGACTGGGTTTGGGGCCCCCAGACGCAGCAAGGGCCCTCTGCTCACGCGCCCACCGACCCGGCGTCCCCGGGACCGCCTGCGCTCGCGTGTCTTCTCCCTCCCACGCTGCTTCTGCAAAGCCCCTGTTCGCTCTAGCGGCCCCCTCGCGGCAGAGTCCCACGGGGCAGGTTCTTTTTTCTTTTAGGTCTTATTAGAAAGACCTAATAAGACCTTATTGGCTCCCCTGCTTGTTTCTTCCATTGCTTGTGCCTTTTCCGCTGCGACTGTGGTTCTCACTGCGTGCCCTGGGCGCCCTTCCTGGGGCCACTACCTTGCCGGAGCCCTGGGCTTTCTCCACCCGCGGGTTACAGGAGACAAGCGAGTCCCGGAAAGGTGAAAGTCCTGTCCAACGCGAGGGTTCCCTTAGCAATCTTCCTAGGAATCGAGAAAACCCAAGCCACTGCTCTCGCACTGGGAAGGCCCCGAGAAACTGCTTCTATGCGCAGCCAGGCCCTGGGTTGCCTGGCTGCCGGGTTCTGAGCCTCAGGGCACCGGGTGCTGGGGTGCTGGGCTCCAGTACACGTCTTGACACCCAGGCCAGCAGAAACCAGGAGCCCCTCTGCTCAGCCCAAGTCCCACATGTTTGATGGCTGAACTTTTTGGTCACAGCAAAACACACATCTTAGAGGCCCCAGTAACTCCCAGAAGTCAGGGCTGAAAAGCACATCCCAGTAGCAAACGGTCCTGAAGAATGAGCTGGAGCTTTAAAGGAACCGATGATGGCTGGAGCGGGAGGGCGGTTGGTGGGGCTCCCAGGTATAGGCTCTGCACCCCCTATGGCGCAAGGGCCAGGCCCACTCGGAGCCGCAGGGCCCCCACAGAGGCGTGACCCTAACCTTTTGCTAGCTCCAGCAGGACCCAGCTTTCACGGGGCTAGAATTCGCAGGGCTGTAGGCACCGGCTTGCTAATGGGTCTTTTGTGGAGACAGGCAGGGGTGTGCGGGCAGTGCTCAGGGGTGCGGGACAGTCGCCTCAGTGCCAGGCCTGAGGATGTGCAGCCAAGCAGGGACCTCCTGGGTACCCCCTGTCTTGCCCGGGTGCCAGGCTGGGGCTCTCATTAGTGTGCGGGTGCTTGCAGCCTCCACCCAACGCCATCTGTCCCCCACCCCCCCAAAAAAGTGTTATTTGTAGTCTCTCTACTCCAGCCTCAGTTGGAACAGTTCTTTGTAAAATCTCCTCCTCAAATGCTCTGCTGGTCTACGGGTTAATTACTCATCATTTCGTAAAGTACTGTGGCTGTCGGTATTGCCACAGTTCGTGGGCTATTACTCCCATGTCCTCGGAATATACCGTCACACTGCCTTCGTGCCTCGTAGGGACAGGGCTGAGACGGGCCCTGCTCTGACCCTGTTTCCATGTGCTTCTCGTCTCTCTGCGGGCAGGGAAAGGGCTCTTCAGCCAGAACAATGCTAAATATTTTATTGCCTTCTTATCGGCTGTACTTTCTGTCAGAATTGTCTCACTTGCCTACTCAGATGGTAATCTATGGAAAGAAGGGCCCAAGCCCCGGGCATAGTCAGCAAACCCTGCCAGGCCCTCAGGAGCTGCCAGGTCTGGTGAAAAGGAATCCAGAAGGGAGACCGTGCTGCGGTCTCTGTCGGTTCTGTCTTCCAGTTGCTGTAAGGAAGCTGACGAAGGCCAGATTCTCACAAAGGAACCCTTTCTTCGCCCGCCCCAAAGAAGGAAGCTTGCTCAGCTTTGACTTTGTTACACAAGGTCATGATATACAGAGTTAGAAATTGGATCCCCGGGGCCAGAGAGATAGCAGAGAGGGCAGGGCACTCACCTTGTAAGTGCCCGACCGGGCTTCAATCCCTAAATGCACCGTGTATAGTCCCTTGAGAACCACCAGAAGTGATCGCTGATGAATCCACACCCTGGACATTTCAATAACAATTCCAAGCTCTCAGTGCTGGAGAGGTAGTACAGCAGGTAGGGTGCTTGCCTTGAGCACAGCCAACCCAAGTTCTATCCCTGGCATCCCACGGGTTCTCCCAACCCGCGCCAGGAGTGACTCCTGAGTAGAGAGCCAGGAGTAACCGCTGAGCACCGTGAAGTGTGGCCCCAAAACCACACAAATACATAAATTCTTGCTACTTTGGGTTGGGGGCCTCACCTAGCAGTGCTCAGGGTCTCTCTGTGGTACTGCAGTACTCAGTACTCAGGGACTATGCACGCTGGGGAACGAACCTGGCGCTCCCGCATAAAATCATGAGCCCAGTTCTCTGAGACACCTCCTCACCCCTGCGGGAGGAAGACCAAGGAAAGCGGTTATGGTTTTTCATTTTGCAAGACGGTGCGGGGGAGAGGGGAGCATTAAAGTAACATGGAAATAAATTAGAATAAATTAGCCAAGGGAGTCGACATCATTCAGAAGTATACCAAGGGCCCCCTTTGAAAGGAGAAACCCGGGAGAAACTCCAGAGCAATAGCACAGCGGGTAGGGCAGTTGCCTTGCACACAGCCGACCCAGGTTCGATTCCCAGCTCCCATTTGGTCCCCTGTGCACCGCCAGGAGTGATTCCTGAGTGCATGAGCCCGGAGTAACCCCTGAGCATCGCCGGGTGTGACCCAAAAAGCAAAAAAAGAAAAAAGAAAAAGGAGAAAACGTGGCTCTCCAAACATAGCAAACCGTACAATCACCGCTGGCGATAGCCGGGCACAGTAAGCACTTCGCTGCGAGTCGGTGATCGCAAACAACTCGGTTCTTTGCGGGTCTCTGCGACCCGGGTGCGCACTCGGTGCGGGCCAGCGGCTGGAGAGGCCCGCGCGCCCTGCGCCCACCCGGGGCCACCGCGAACACGCGGGCAAACCGAGGCGCAGGGGACCCGCGGGGCGTGCGCGAGGCCGCGGACAGGCGCGGGGCCGGTGTCCCCTTCCCCGGGGGGCCCGCGCGCCGCCGCCGGCTCCCGCCAGACCCTCACGACGCGGCCGGGATGCCCAGCCCGAAAGCGCGTCCCGTCTCCCGGGCAACGCCAGCCCGCCAATCGCCGCGCGGGGCTGGGATCACGTGGCGGCGCCCGGAAGCCGAGCCCGGAGCGCGTCCCCGTCTCCCGGGCAACCCCAACCGGCCAGTCGCCGCGTGGGGGCCGGGTCACGTGGGCGGCGTCCGGGCAGCGCCATGGCGGCCCCGGGGAGCCCGCGCGGCCCGCTGTGACCCCCCGCCCGGCCATGGCGGCGTCCGCGCCGCGCCCCTCGCCGCCTCGGAGCCCGGAGCCGCGGGGAGAGGAGGACGACGGCGCCTCGGACCTCGGGGCCAGCGACTCGGCGTCCTGCACGTCCGGCAGCGACGAGTAAGGGTCGCGCGGAGGGACATTCCCTGCGGCGCCTGCGCGCGCGCGGCCCGGCGGGAGCCCCCCCCCCCCCCAGGGCCTGTCCACGGCGCTGCCCCGGGACGGACGCCCCGCCGACGAGCCGCGCCCACGGGGGTCCCCGGGGCCCAGTAGCCACGCGCCGCCCCCGGCCGCCTGCATCCCTGCCCTCTGCCCGCGGCCTGATCCTGTTCCCTCTGGGCATCCCTGCCCTCTGCCCCCTGGCCTGACCGTCCCCTCTGGGCATCCCTGCCCTCTGCCCCCTGGCCTGATCCTGTTCCCTCTGGGCATCCCTGCCCTCTGCCCCCTGGCCAGACCGTCCCCTCTGGGCATCCCTGCCCTCTGCCCCCTGGCCTGACCGTCCCCTCTGGGCATCCCTGCCCTCTGCCCCCTGGCCTGATCCTGTTCCCTCTGGGCATCCCTGCCCTCTGCCCCCTGGCCTGACCGTCCCCTCTGGGCATCCCTGCCCTCTGCCCCCTGGCCTGACCGTCCCCTCTGGGCATCCCTGCCCTCTGCCCCCTGACCTGATCCTGTTCCCTCTGGGCATCCCTGCCCTCTGCCCCCTGGCCTGACCGTCCCCTCTGGGCATCCCTGCCCTCTGCCCCCTGGCCTGACCGTCCCCTCTGGGCATCCCTGCCCTCTGCCCCCTGGCCTGACCGTCCCCTCTGGGCATCCCTGCCCTCTGCCCCCTGGCCTGATCCTGTTCCCTCTGGGCATCCCTGCCCTCTGCCCCCTGGCCAGACCGTCCCCTCTGGGCATCCCTGCCCTCTGCCCCCTGGCCTGACCGTCCCCTCTGGGCATCCCTGCCCTCTGCCCCCTGGCCTGATCCTGTTCCCTCTGGGCATCCCTGCCCTCTGCCCCCTGGCCTGACCGTCCCCTCTGGGCATCCCTGCCCTCTGCCCCCTGGCCTGACCGTCCCCTCTGGGCATCCCTGCCCTCTGCCCCCTGACCTGATCCTGTTCCCTCTGGGCATCCCTGCCCTCTGCCCCCTGGCCTGACCGTCCCCTCTGGGCATCCCTGCCCTCTGCCCCCTGGCCTGACCGTCCCCTCTGGGCATCCCTGCCCTCTGCCCCCTGGCCTGACCGTCCCCTCTGGGCATCCCTGCCCTCTGCCCCCTGGCCTGATCCTGTTCCCTCTGGGCATCCCTGCCCTCTGCCCCCTGGCCTGACCGTCCCCTCTGGGCATCCCTGCCCTCTGCCTCCTGGCCTGACCGTCCCCTCTGGGCATCCCTGCCCTCTGCCCCCTGACCTGATCCTGTTCCCTCTGGGCATCCCTGCCCTCTGCCCCCTGGCCTGATCCTGTTCCCTCTGGGCATCCCTGCCCTCTGCCCCCTGGCCTGACCGTCCCCTCTGGGCATCCCTGCCCTCTGCCCCCTGGCCTGACCGTCCCCTCTGGGCATCCCTGCCCTCTGCCCCCTGGCCTGATCCTGTTCCCTCTGGGCATCCCTGCCCTCTGCCCCCTGGCCTGACCGTCCCCTCTGGGCATCCGTGCCCTCTGCCTCCTGGCCTGACCGTCCCCTCTGGGCATCCCTGCCCTCTGCCCCCTGACCTGATCCTGTTCCCTCTGGGCATCCCTGCCCTCTGCCCCCTGGCCTGATCCTGTTCCCTCTGGGCATCCCTGCCCTCTGCCCCCTGGCCTGACCGTCCCCTCTGGGCATCCCTGCCCTCTGCCCCCTGGCCTGACCGTCCCCTCTGGGCATCCCTGCCCTCTGCCCCCTGACCTGATCCTGTTCCCTCTGGGCATCCCTGCCCTCTGCCCCCTGGCCTGATCCTGTTCCCTCTGGGCATCCCTGCCCTCTGCCCCCTGGCCTGACCGTCCCCTCTGGGCATCCCTGCCCTCTGCCCCCTGGCCTGACCGTCCCCTCTGGGCATCCCTGCCCTCTGCCCCCTGGCCTGACCGTCCCCTCTGGGCATCCCTGCCCTCTGCCCCCTGGCCTGATCCTGTTCCCTCTGGGCATCCCTGCCCTCTGCCCCCTGGCCTGACCGTCCCCTCTGGGCATCCCTGCCCTCTGCCCCCTGGCCTGATCCTGTTCCCTCTGGGCATCCCTGCCCTCTGCCCCCTGGCCTGACCGTCCCCTCTGGGCATCCCTGCCCTCTGCCTCCTGGCCTGACCGTCCCCTCTGGGCATCCCTGCCCTCTGCCCCCTGACCTGATCCTGTTCCCTCTGGGCATCCCTGCCCTCTGCCCCCTGGCCTGATCCTGTTCCCTCTGGGCATCCCTGCCCTCTGCCCCCTGGCCTGACCGTCCCCTCTGGGCATCCCTGCCCTCTGCCCCCTGGCCTGATCCTGTTCCCTCTGGGCATCCCTGCCCTCTGCCCCCTGGCCTGACCGTCCCCTCTGGGCATCCGTGCCCTCTGCCTCCTGGCCTGACCGTCCCCTCTGGGCATCCCTGCCCTCTGCCCCCTGACCTGATCCTGTTCCCTCTGGGCATCCCTGCCCTCTGCCCCCTGGCCTGATCCTGTTCCCTCTGGGCATCCCTGCCCTCTGCCCCCTGGCCTGACCGTCCCCTCTGGGCATCCCTGCCCTCTGCCCCCTGGCCTGACCGTCCCCTCTGGGCATCCCTGCCCTCTGCCCCCTGACCTGATCCTGTTCCCTCTGGGCATCCCTGCCCTCTGCCCCCTGGCCTGACCGTCCCCTCTGGGCATCCCTGCCCTCTGCCCCCTGGCCTGACCGTCCCCTCTGGGCATCCCTGCCCTCTGCCCCCTGGCCTGACCGTCCCCTCTGGGCATCCCTGCCCTCTGCCCCCTGGCCTGATCCTGTTCCCTCTGGGCATCCCTGCCCTCTGCCCCCTGGCCTGACCGTCCCCTCTGGGCATCCCTGCCCTCTGCCCCCTGGCCTGACAGTCATTTCAGACACTCAGCGAGCGCCGCCCACCGTGGGTGGTTCCTGGAGAAGCCATGGGCCACCCGCCTGCAGGGTGCGCTTGCAGGGGCCTGGGGAGGGGCTGCGGCACAGGGCACCGACAGGGCCGGCCCTACGGCACCTGGCCTCAGAGGCCTCCATGTCTCCCATGCCCCCGCCACTGCTAGTGAGGCCTGAGGGCCCGAGAGAAGAGCGGTGCTGCTCGCCCCACAGAGGAAAGGGCCTGTGGGTAGAATGCGCCGCCCGCCCCGCGCCTGCCCTCCCCAAAGGTCCTCCCTCGCCCACCCAGCCTGGAACGGGCGAGAGATCTGTTCAGGAGAGGCCCTCCCCCAATGCCGAACTGCTAGCTTCATGGTTAAAGACACGTGGATGTGTGAGCCCACGCACACACACACACGCACACACTCACAAACCCACATACACATGCACACACTCACAGACCCACACACATGTATACACATTCACACACAAACACATACACATGCACACACACAAACACACATACACAACATGCACACACACACAAACACATGCATAATCTCACAAACCCCCACACACATACACATGTACACACAAACACACACATACACATGCACACGCACACGTGCATACATATGTGTGTGTTTGTGTGTACATGTGAAGCATATGAATCCACAGAGAAGCATATGAATCACACAGTCACTCGTCCGTCCACGTACACTCATACACATACACACTTCTGTGAACATGCTCCCCCACACTCATGCATACACACATCCATCCATGTGTGTCAAAGCCCGACTCGGGGCGCTCCGTGTAGCCACTGAGTATTTCTGAACCCTCCTGGTAGGTGATCAGTGATATGGGCGAGAAAAGTCCATAGCCTTTCGTGGCCAGGCCCAGTGGACAGCAGGGGTTGGTGCGGAGCCTGTTGGGGTTGTGACCGCATTCAGGGAGTCGGGAGACGGCACAGCAGGGAAAAGGTTTGTCTTGCACCCCGATGGCCCGGGTTCGCTCCGTTAAGCAACTCCAGGCATGGCCCAGAAAACTAAACAAAACTTGCCCGGCGTCCCCGCTTTTAAGCTGATGCTTAGCGCTGTGCGACAGAAAGCCACCAGGTCCCGGGCCAGGGTCTCCCCTGCCTGCTCTGGAGGAAGATCTATCTGTGTGATGCTGTCGCAGCGGCGGCGGGTCCCTTTCCTCCCACGGGCACCCGGGAGAGGTGCTTCGGAGGTGACAGGCCACAGCGGTGAGGGGTGGTGGCGGGCTGTGAGTCGGGCTGACAGCCAGGGGCTCTTCCCTCTGCTGACACTGCCGCGGGCTGCTGCCTGTGGTCACTGAGCAGCGGGGCGGGAGGTGTCCAGGGGGCAGGCAGACCCTGGACCCCAGTGACCGGCGGCTGGGAACAAGGCTTTGCACCCCTCCTCCCTGGCCCTCCGCCTTTCCCATCCAACCCCGAGTCTCCAAGGGCTCACCACAGCCCCCCCCCCCAGTAACCTAATGAGACCCTGGGAAGGGGGCAGAGCCTCGGACAGTCCGGAGGGGCCCCCGCTGCCCTGGGCCCCGGCCCACCCCTGACCCTTGCCCTCCCCGCAGTGACCTGGAGCCCGAGTGGCTGCACGGCGTGCACAGGCGCGGGGAGCTCTTCTACCTGGAGCTGGACGAGGCCGAGGAGGACGGGGGCGCGGCCGTCCCGGGGGGCCGTGCTGTGCGCTTCAGCGAGGCCGAGGTGGTGATCGCGGTGGGCGAGGACACGCCCCGGGGACCCCCTGGCCTGCGGCGCCTGGCCAGGGCCCTGCGGGGCCGCCGCCTCCTGCCCCGGCGCGCGCGCGCCCCGCCCGTGTCCATCCTCAAGGCGTCTCCGGGCGCACGGGCCCCGCCGGCCAGCAAGGAGGTGAAGCTGCATGTCCACCCGCGGGCGCCCGTGCGCCGGCCCCTCGAGACGCTGCTGGGCATCGTCCACCGCGGGCGGCGCCGGTCCGCGCCTCTGCAGGTGCACGGGCTGCTGCCCGGAGGCCCAGCGCTCGGGAGTGGCCAGGTGCTCATAGGTGAGTGCTCTGGGTACCTGGGGCGCGCCTGGCCACCAGCCCCCGGAGCTGAGCGCGCCCTGTGCCCCTCCCCCAGGGGACGTCCTCGTGGCCGTGGACGACGTGCCGGTGACCACTGAGAACATCGAGCGGGTTCTGGCCAGCATCCCGGGGCCCACGCAGGTGCGGGCCGAGCTGGGGCAGCCCCGGGAGGTGCCTGCCCACCCTGAGCCGCACTGAGCCGCCCGCCCCCCCCCCCGTCCCTGCCCAGGTGAAGCTGACCTTCGAGAAGGCCCCGGCTGCGAAGGGAAGCTCAGCCCCGCCAAGCCCCAGGCAGATGCCCGCCGGCCCCGGGGAGCTGGTGCGGCTGCTCGGGGGAGACCAGGACGGGGACGCGCAGCGGCGGGCGCTGGCTGAGCCGCACGTGGCCATGTGCCTCTCGCTGCGGCTTGACTCCGATGACGCCAAGGACGAGGTATGTGTCCCCGTGGGAGGGCGCGGGCACCCCCGATGACGGGTTCTTCTGCCGGGAGAGGGCTTGGCTGTTCTCCTTTGAGGCTGGCACTTCGAGCCCGCGGCTGCAACAGACACAGACAGTTCCAGTCACCCCGACCCTTAGAAGCGAAAGCCGGAAGCAGGGAGGGTCCTGGCCTGGCACACTGCTGCCCCCAGCTCAGTCCCCGCACCCCATCGGGTCCCCCCAGCCCACGAGGAGCAAGCCACAAGCAGAACCGGGACTCAGCCCTGAGCACCCCCGGTGTGGCCCCGGCTCCCTTCACCCCAACGACGTCGTGGCTCTCCTGAGAGCGGAAACGTGAGGGGACGCTGACTGGCCCGCGGTGGCTGGAGGTCTCCCAAGCCGACGGCTACAGTGGGCGTTCAGTGGCCATGCCCGGCACCCTCCTGGGTCAGGCGTCTCTCTAGTGACGCCAGGGTCCGGCTTGGGGCCACACCCTGCGGTGCTCTCTCAGCGATGTCTCCCTGTGGGGCCCTGGGGCTGATGCCCAGTGTGCTGTCCTGCCCGCCCCTCCCCCGCCGACACGCGAGCCCACTTTATATTGTCACCACTTGCCGTCCAACTCAGCGAGGACAGTGCCATCCTCTTTCCCGTGTGACGCCCTGAATCTCAGGCGTCCGGGGTGTCTGGGGGTGGGCAGAGCAGTGGGCAGTGTCGCGTGTGCCTCTGTGGCCTCTGGTCTGGGCTCCCGACCCAGTGCTGGCTCGCGGGCTTGGCCCCTGGCTGAGGCTGGGGAGTGTTGGAGTCCAGCCCCAGGCAGAGCCCGAGCCCTCCCTGTCCCCACACCAACCACAGCAGGAGATCCTGTACCTGTTCCCCGCGACTGACGCGGCGCAGAAGCTGAAGAGTGTGCGCGGCGTCTTCCTCACGCTCTGTGACATGCTGGAGACGGTGACGGGCACGCCGGTCACCAGGTACCGCCCTGCCCTCGCGCCCGGGGAGGGGCCTCCCGCCACCCGAGAGTTTACCTGAGCGTGTTCTGGGCCGTGTTCTCCTGCTGAGGCGGGTTTGAGCGTCTGGAGTGTCAGGGGCCGCCGGCGCTGTGGGCGTCCCGGGCGCCCCGACCAGGGGGGGCTGCTCCCCTGCAGCTCGGCCCCGCCTGGCTCTCTCACAGCTCGTCACTGCTCCTGGACGGGAGGCAGGTGCACGCGTCCTACTGCAGGGAGGGGGACACGCTGCTGGTGCTCAGCCTGCCCGCCCGGCGGTGAGTCGGGGGACCGCGGGGAGCACCACCCGCTGTGCTGGGTGCAGGCTGCCACGCCCTCCATGGCGCCGGGTCAGCGGGACGCAGAGTGCATGGGCATGGGTGGGACCCCAGCGGCTGAGATGCCTCCGCACGCCCAGGTCCTCTCCGCAGAGCAGGTGGACGGGCTGGCCAGGCCGGGTGTGAGGCAGACTCGGGCGTGGCCCAGACCCTCCCACCTCTGCCTTCACCCAGATCTGGGTCTCTGGGGGCGCTGGGCTGACCGGCTCAGCACCCTGGACAGCAGCCCCTCCCCTGTTGGCCAGTGTTCCCGCCACTGTCACTCAGACCCTGCCCTCCTTGGACCCATTACTGGCCCCCCCCATGGTCCGTGCACCCCCACGGGCAACCCCAGCCCCTGCCTGCCCCCCAGCCGCCGCGCCTCCCCGCAGGGCCCCCCTCCCACAGCTGCGGAGCATGACGGAGGCGGCAGTGCGGACCCTGCGTTTCATGTTCGGCTCGCTGGAGAGGTGAGAGACCCCCCTTCCCCTGCAGAGGGCAGCGCGGCCTCGAGCTGACCCCTGGAGAGGTGAGGGAACCACCCCCCCCCACAGAGGGCATTGAAGCCTCGAGCTGACCCCTGGCTCTCGTCACCCAGCGCCTTTGGCCAGGCCGAGAACGCTGCGCACCTGGACCACTTCTTCGCCTTGTTCTTCCAAAGGGCACTCCAGCCCGACACACAGCACTGCGGGGCCGTGCTCCTGGACACGCTCCCCGGGGCCCACTGGCTGCCCCTCCCTCAGGACATCAAGGTGACCCTCCCACGGTGCACGCCCAGCCTTCACATCCCCTCCCTACTTTCCGCTTGGGCTCAGGGTCCGAGGGGGCGTCTGGCTGAGGCCAGGAGGAGGCCCACGGCAGTGAGCTTTGGGGCTTCTCCAGCCATGCTGGGGTCTTGGGCCATGTCCAGCCAGTGATGGGCACCCGCCCGCGTGGGCTGAGGCCCGGAGGGGACCTGTGGGTGCTGGGCTGCCTCTCAGGGCCTCACACGTGACGTGATCTCTCGCTTGCGCTCTCCTTAGCCCAGGAAGACAGAGTCCGGCTCTGTGGTCTGCCTTCAGCATTCCGCCTCGTCCGCACTTGGGACTCTCCAGAAACCATTTTTAGCTGCTGGGCGCACTTTGCTTTTGCGTCTTTGTGGCTTTGATCTCCTAGCATGAGGCTTTCCGCGATTGTACTTCTGATTAGGCTGCAGGTCTTCAGAGTGACAGATAGCATTCTTGAGGGGGAGGGGAGGGGAGGTTTGGGCACCTGGCAGGGCTCGGGGTCCCTGGGGTTCAGGAGCGAGCTGGATTGGCCACCTGCGGGGCCAGCAGTGTGACCCCTGCATTCTCAATACGAGCTGTGCTGTGTGTCGCTGAGACACAAGCTGCGTGCTGGCAAATTCCCCCTTGGGCGAGCGCGAGAGCGGCGCTGCCCTGGCCGTCCGGGCTCACGTGGGGTCTCCGTGGGGGGTCGGGACTGTCCCTGTCCCCCGAGCTGCTTGCCGCCCTTCAGCCTTCCCTGCTGCGTGACGGCAGCGACCCTCCTGTGGGAAGGGGCCTCTGGCGACGTCTTAGCAAAGCCCGGGCTGGGCCATTTCCTGCGTGGACAGTCTGGGCCCTGTGCGGACCCCTGGGTGCAGAGCCAGGAGCAAACCCGAGCACAGCCGGGTGTGGCTCGAAGAGCAGAAAGCAAACCCGCGTGTCTTGTGACTCGTCTCCTACCGGAACGTGCCGGGATTTCATGCCGAGAACTCGGGTTCCGCAGAGCCTGCGAGCAGGGACTGGAGACGCGTCTGCTGTGGGTGAAAATGGTTCTTCCCCCTCCCCAGCCCTGCTGAGCTCCCTGCCTATCCCTTCCCGAGGGCCTAGGAACGGCCTCGTCCAGGACCCGGAGAGATCGTGCAGCGGGGAAGGGCTTGCCTTGCAGCTGCCTGGCGCGGATTCAACCCCCGGCCTTCCATATGGTCCTCAGGCCCCACCAGGAGTGGCACTGAGCACCTGGGCACCGCTTAGTGTGGCCACCGCTCCCCAAACACAGTCACCTCATTCTGTGCGTTCCATGTCACTTTCCCCGGGCACACAGGGATGATGCAGAGAACAGACACGTTCCTGCCTCTGAGAAATGCAGAGTCTGTTGTCCGTTGTTGGGAACGAGGGGTTCCTTAAACAGCACAAGACCGGCAGTTGTAAGGGGGGCTTTCGCCAGAAGCTGTAGCCACACAAAGGAGGACCTGGAGGGTTGGCAGGGTGAGTAATGAGCCCCCAGAGAGCCCCAAAGCGCAGCAGGCATCTCCGTGAGCCCCTGGTGAGCTTGCCTGCATGGCCAAGAGCAGAACAAAGTGGCGGATTCTTGCCCACAAACAGTGTGTGCGCGCCAAGCGTCCCCGGCATCGTGGCGCCATCGGGGCACCCAGACTACTCTGCCCATCAAGTGTTTCTGTTTGCAAGTTCTGAATGCTTTCGGGATGAATGAGTGCGTGAAAGCGTTTGATTTCCATAGAAACAAAAGCAAATTTGAAGCAAGAGATTTTCCTAGTACCTCTGCTGGGGGCTGCCCCATGCGGTTCTGGGCTCGCTGCCTTCTCGCTTTTAACCCACCACAAAGCTGCAGAGGCGGCATTGGACACACGCCCTGGGAGAGAGGAAGGGCAGGGGCAGGAGTTCTACAAGAGTCCAGGGCAGGAATACGCGCTATACAGACGTGACTCAAAATAGAGCGCATGCAGTCAGGTGGCGCCCGCGCTCTAGGAATTTGAATAAGTTTAAAGGCCTTTCTCAGTCCTGGAAAGTAGTTTTAACCTCGTTAGAGTGAAGTCAGTTTGGCAATTCTGGAGACTGCATTTTTAAAAACGCTTACATTTTAAGAAAAGCGCCTGGGGCTGGAGCAATGGCACAGCGGGGAGGGCGTTTACCTTGCACGCGGCCAACCAGGGTTCGACTCCCAGCATCCCATATGGTCCCCAGAGCACCGCCAGGAGTGATTCCTGAGTGCAAAGCCAGGAGTAACCCCTGAGCATCGCTGGGTGTGACCCAAAAAGGAAAAAAAAATAGCGCTTGACATAACTGCAAAGCTTAAATCAAGGTGTTCCATTTCAAGACTTGTCGTAAGTAACGAAGGTGAGCGGTGACTGTTTCAGGCTCCTTTTCCCGCCCGTGCTCCCCTGGAGCACACCTCCCTCGCTCGCCTCTGCTGGTCACGGGAGAAGCCCATGACACGTTCTCCTTCTCTCCCCACCGATCTAAGTAAGTTTCAATAAAAGCCATCTTGCTTCACACACACACACACAAAGATGCATGCTTGTTGCAGTCATAAAGTGATTTTTAAGTGCTTTTACATGCCAGTATTATTAAAAAGTTGGCATTGTGTGCTTCAAATGTTGACGTGACTTTTGTTCTTTCACAGGTGGAATTAGACACAATATTAAGTGACCTGGAGGCTGCAGATTTTGAAGAATTGGTAAGCATAGGGAAAACTCTTTGTAAAGCTGTGTTGTGTTCTTATTTTACAAGTTATTAATCGTTCTAAATATTTTTCAGAATGACATATAATCCAATCTTGAAACATACATTACATCTCCATTTCCAACAACAATCTATTTTGCTCGCCTTCAGATTTTGTACTACATTGAAAACGTTTGTTTCATAATGGACATTTGAAATGATATTTAATACGTATTTGGTATCGTATGTACATAATAGGCGATACACATACTTGACATAATGACAAATGCATGACATTCACAATACATATATTCATGTAGAACGGAACTTTGAAGATAGGACCCATGTGTACCATCAAGTGAAAGACCTGGCTGGGGCCATAGCAGCAGGTACGGCACTTGCCTTGCACACGGCCGACCTGGGTTCCATCCCAGCACTCCGGTCCCTCAGGCGCCACCAGGAGTGATACCTGAGTGCAGAGCCGGAAGTCAGGAAGAACAGCACACGTGTATTCCATCTCTTAAATGCCACTACACTGGCCCGAATTGCCTGTTGTGGTTGTGCTTTCAGAAATGGTCAGTGTGGTAGCAGTGTTTTACGTGAACGAGAAGAGAGGCTTCCTGCCTGGCCCGATTTGTCTCGCTCTTGGAAAACAAGTTGTGTGTTCTGCATCCTGCAGTGTCTCTGGCCAGCCTTCTGGGAGTCCCAAAGGGGCCGCAGCCATAGCACAGCGGGGAGGGCGCTTGCCTTGCACGCAGCCAGCCTGGACCCAGCCCTGGCATACGTGTGGTCCCTCCAAGCCCACCAGGGGAAAGTTGATGGAAAGTCTGCAAAGTTCCATCCCAGAGGACACAGACTCCTTTCTGGCGGCTGTGCCCAGCTGGGTCCGTGTGGAAGCGCACAAGTGTGCGTGTCTTTGTGCACACATGCACGCTCTGTGGTTCTCTCCGCAGTCCGAGGATCAGTGTGACATGAGGCGGCTCTACACGATTGTGGGGACTTCGCTGTTTTACAAGGTGGGTCGAATTCCTTCGTACTGCTCTGTCTGTGTTATAGGTACATCCAGCCGGCCCCATCGGGCTGAGCCTAGACCTCCGCACTCAGCCCCGCAAATCATTCAGGCCAGAGGCACAGTACGGCAGAGAAGCGCTTGCCTTGCACGCATCTGGCCCTGGCTTACTACCTGGCACCCCATGTGGCCTCTGAGCACTCGAGAGAGAGTCCTGAGCGTGGGGTCCAGCCCTCTCCCACAGACAGGCATTCATTCAGGGTAGGGGGGCTCCTCCCTACTTGCCGCCAGGAGGAAACATCTCGTTTATCCTGACGGAAGCGGGCTGTCTGGGCCGACACCCTGCCTTGGCCCTCGGTGAACTGTGCCCTGCTTGTGCCCAGGGCCACCTTCTCTGCAGCCACCTGCCCAGGGATCACCTCCTGGAAGTCACCGGCTACTGCCATCACTTGGGGCTGCTGCCTCTGGCTGCGAGGCGGAGGGTCGGCCAGCTGGTGGTCTGGAGAGAAGTCTTCCCTGGGCGCCACCTGCAGCCTGCCAAGGACGCCGAGGCCGACGCCCCCCAGGAACCCGATGGCAGAAGCTTCCTGCTGGTCGTCGGCCTGGTACGTTCCCTCCATTGCTTCCTGGGGGTTGATTGATTGATTCCACCAATTGCTGACCAAGCAATCACTTCCAATGGTTGTCAGAGACCAGACTCGGGCACCAGTGTGTCAGGCTGGGAGCACTCGGGGGTGAGCACCTGGGGCTCGTCGCTCCGAGCTCTGCCTGCCTTGGCCCTGGTGGCCCCCACACGCGGCGGGCGGTGCCCACCCAAGGGAAGAGTAGCCCGATTCCTCCTCACGGGGGAATGTTTACGAACACAGGCCTGGACTTGAGCGGGAGCTTAAGAGCTTCCGTTCCCACCTGCCTGGAGAAACAGACGTGGACCGCGTTGGGCCAGAATGAAGGACAGGGGGAGAAGGTGCCGCCCCCGGGGGCTCCACGGCTGCGTGCCCACATGCAGCCTGCAGCTCGGCCGGGCCCCGCGGGTGCCCAGGGCCATGGGTGCCTCTGAGGAGGCCGGGCAGAGGGAGGGCCAGGGCGGGGGACTGTGCGGGTGCCCGTGGCTACCCTAGAGGCATGTCCAGGGCCGGGCTCCTCTGTCCTCTCCTGCAGGGTCACTGCTTGCTCTCGGTGCTCCTGGAGGCCGGCGGCTGTGCGTCCCCGGCCGTGGACAGCCCTGGCCCCGACTGTGTCTACGTGGACCAGGCGCGCGCCACGCTGTGCCAGCTGGAGGCGCTGGAGGCCCGCATCAGGCAGCAGCTGGCCGCCGCGCCCGGCCCGGTCTTGTCCTGCGCAGACTGGCTCCTGGCCGGACCCCACGAGAGTGCCACCCTGACCCCAGGGGCTACCAGGGCCGCCGCATCACCCACATGCCGGAGGACGCTTTTCGGGGACTGTGCGGCCAAGACGCGGGGCAGCGGGGGTACAGAGTGGGCGGACCCGAGCCCCCAGCCCACGCCTGAGGCAGAAGAAAGTGGGACTTTGCCCCAGGTGCGTCCTGGGGCCCAGCTGGGCGGGAGCCTCTGGGCTGGGTCTGTGTCAGTGTCACCGACGGCTGAGAGGGAGCAGAGGGAAGGCCGAGTGACTCCTCAGCTGGGTGCCCTCGGGTCCCGTAGTCACAGCTCACACGCTCACTGCTGGGCAGGCCAGCTCTCCATCACGCAGCCCTTCGTGGGCATTCGGGCTATTTCCAGGTCTTGGCTATTGTACTCAGTGCAGAGATGGGCACATCTCTGACACATCTTTGCCGGTGAATGCTGTGTGCTTTGGGGTCAGATGCCCCGAGTGGTGTGGCTGGGTGACACGGAACCAGGTGCACGGGAAGCCACCAGCAGCAACATTGTAAATCCCACGGCTGGTCTGGGCCAATCTCTGGCACCCCCAAGAGTGATCCTCGAGTGCAGTCAGGAGTCAGCCCCGAGCACTGCCAAGTGCGGTCCCAAATCAAGAACTGAGTAGTGGGGCCGGAGTGATGCCACATCGCTGGCAGGGCACTTGCCTTGCGTGTGGCCGACCCGGGCGGCCCACATGCCCCTGGAGCGCCAGGAGTGACCCCTAAGCATCGCCACACGGTGCCAGCAGGCATGCGGGTGTCTGCCTGTACCTCCAGGTGTTTGCCCTGCCTCCAGCAAGCGGTGCTCGGGAAGGGCTGTGTGAGCCCTGCAGCCCATGTGCCACGGAGTGGATGTGGCCCGGTTCCATGGCAGAGGCTCAGGTGGGGTCGGTGCCAGGGTGAGGGATGAATTGTCACCAAGGCCAGCTCTCCCGCCCGCAGAGGTGGCACATGCCCTGGGACAGGGCAGCTGGGCAGTGCAGCTGGAGTCTGGTGCCATGAGCAAGGCCAGGAGCGTGGGGGCCGTGGCAGCGTCGTAGGCTCCCCCTCGTGGCTGTACTGCACCTGATGGTGATGCCGCTGTTTCTCAGGCCCCGAGGAAGAAGCCTGCCCTCCTGAGCCCGTTTCAGCTGGGGCCCTTGAAGAAGGACCCTCCGGAGAAGGCCGCAGGACTGGACAGCACCCTGAAGTGAGCCCGCCCTTCCTGCTCGGGGCGTTGAGGTCGTGGCTGCAGGCGGCCGGCATCCCGGCCCTCGCGCCTCCTGGCTTCCTGCTTTCTTTCCCAGGCTGACTTCGGGCCCCGAGAACACCCTTTTCCACTACGTGGCCTTGGAGACCGTGCAGGGGGTCTTCGTCACCCCGACCCATGAGCAGGTCGCGCAGCTCGGCGGCACTGTGCACCCCCGGCTCCTCCAGAACTTCCACCGCTGCTGCCTGGCCATCCGGGCCGTGTTCCAGCAGGCGCTGGCGAAGGTGAGTGGCCGGCACGGCCAACGTTGGCTTTCCGTTTTCTTGCTTCTTTGATTTCTTGGGGGTGCTCGGGGCCGACTCCTGGCTCTGCCCTCAGGGATCACTCCCAGTGGGCTCGGGGAACATATGGGGTCCCGGGAGGGCTCAGACCCAGGCAGCCACGTGCAGGGCCTGCCCCCCACCCCATCCTTGATGGGCTCTTCCTCCCGCCCTCACCTGTCCGGTCCCATTCAGGCCGGGGGCTTCCAGGCGCTGCTGCCACTGTGTGCCCCTCGCTGGGACATCCCTGGTCGTTGTTTCAGGACACGCTCTGCTCCCCCGACAGGAGACAGTTGCCTGCGTGTTTTGGTTCGGTGGCTGCCCCTGGAAAGCTGCGTCTCCCGGTTGGCACCAGCAGCCCTTCCTGCCTGGCATCTGTGCTGGCATTCAGAGGCAGCTGGCCTCGAGCACCCTGGGGGGGGCACAGACACAGGGTATGTGGGGCTTAAACGGCTGGCCCGGGCCTCACATCCCAGGGTGCTGCGACCATGTCTATGCCAGCTGGACGGCCCAGGGCAGCGCGAAGGTGTGCTAAAGGGGGACCCGAGGCCCAGTGCCACCTCATGAAAGTCCCCTGAAGCCACATCCCTCAGGGACACCCCTGCATGGCCGCACCACGCCTGTGACACATGCCAGGAGCCCGGCCCGGGCTGCTGGATCCCATGTGCCAGGAAGCCTGGTTCTCGTGGCCTCTCGACATTTCCACGGCCACCCCACGACTCCTGGGGCCCTGTGCCCGTGGATGTGCTAGAGATTCTGTAAGGGCCACACGGGGGCATGCCCTGTGCTTCCTGCCATGGTGCAGCCATGCGCACCACCGAGCACAGAGCCGGGAGTGAGCCCCGAGCACTGACGAGCGAGCAGACGTCCTCCCCACAAGGCCCCCTGGTGGGGCAGAAGGGAATGCGGGGGGCCCGCAGGGCAGGCCCCGAGCTGTGGGGAGACCCATGTGACTCTGCAGGAGAGGAGCACGTCGGCTGGAGGCGGCCCCCCGGCCACAGCCCCTCGGAGCCCCTGGCTGCACCCCGTGAAGGAGCACGGCCTGCTGTTCGAGTGTCCCGCAGAGGATGGGCTGCACCCCAGGAAGGACCCCCCGGCTCTCGCATACTGGGTGGTGGGGTGAGTGTGGGCGCCTGAGGAACAGCCGGCGTGGCCAGGGGGTTCCTGCGGCTGCTTCCCTCAGCCCTTGTCTCATGTCTCCCACCCGCCTCACCCCGGGGCCGGGGCTCTGGAACCTGCTGCTGACCTTCGCCCTTGTGTCTGTGGGTGCGGTGGCCTCTGCCCTCAGGGGCTCCCTGTTGGGTCCAGGATGTGGTCACTGCAGATGCACAGCAGTGTGACAGGCTGGCAGGGGGGTGCGGGGGCATGTGCAAGGGGACATGGGCCGGACGCAGCCCCAGTGCCCGCACAGCTGGCCGAGGCAGGGGCCGCCTGCAGGGACCCTAAGTAAGGCTGTGGCTAGGGGCAGGGCGGGAATGGGGCATGGGCAGATTCAGGCTGGGGGAGTGGGAGACATTAAACCCAGATCACAGACTCAGACACCAAGATGGAACATTCTAGAAAAGGGTGGCATGACAGAGAACCCCCCACCCCCAAAAAGGAATCACGAGAACCAGCCAAGTGGCTTCTGGTTTGCCAACACAGGGATCAGCCTCCAGACGGTGAAGGCAGAGAAGCTCGAGAGGACCCTGGGTTCCTGAGGGGCGGGGGGCGGGGGAGTCCCTGAGCCCTCCGGCCAGGGAGGAGAGGTGTCCCCGAGTCCCCAGGCTCTGTCCTCTGGCTGTGGCAGAGCCATCCCGAGGCGCCCCCGTGAGGAGCGCGACTCACAACACCATCACAGACAGGTGCCCTAGTGACCAGCACACAGCGGCCACACAGTGCCTGGTCACGATGGTCCTTCGGAGGTGGCCGCAGAGATGGTCAGGAAGCTGCATGAGAGAGCTGGGTGGCCGCAGGCACGCCCAGGGGCGAAACAGGCGTTTTAAGGGGCCACACTGTGCTTGGCGGCCCCGGGCCCAGAGGGGCGATGTGTGAAGCTGCTCCGCGTCTTAGGGAAATAAGGTGACGCGAAGGCCGGGTGCCCGGTGCCCTGAGCTGCTGCCGTTCTTTCCCGCAGGCGGCTCTTTCTCCAGCCCAAGCCTCAGGAGCTCTACGTCTGCTTCCATGACTCGGTCACGGAGGTCGCCATCGAAATGGCTTTCAAGTTGTTCTTTGCACTGACCTTGTAGCTCCGTGCGCCGGTGTGGCCTCGGCACACAGCTGGGCTGGATGGCAGAGCCCGTCGACGCTGGATGGGGTGGGCCACGTGAGCTAGCCGGGACCCTGTGAGTTCAGTGTCCCTGTGCTGTGACTGCCTCCTCCGGACATGCCGTTCCCTCCTGTCTGCATCACGTCCTGCGCTGCTCCCTCCTTGGGTGGCAGAGGCATGAATCCGGGCTGCACCGCTGACAAGGCTGCGTCTGTCAGACTGTCCAGGAATCTTCCTCGTTTCCTTCTGGATGAAACACTCCCTGGCTCAGGCGTTGCAGCCGAGTTCTAAGTGGACGCTCCTTCGTCCTCAGGGGTGGGAGGGTCGGGCCACACCTGGCAGTGCTCAGGGCTGACTCCCGGCTCTGTGCTCAGAGCTCACTCCTGGTGGGGTTTGGGGCCATTTGTGGTACCAGGGATCTAACCAGGGTGAGCCACATAAAGGCCATTGCCTTAGCCCTGTCTCTATGGAACTGTCAAATCCTTGTCACGGCCAAGCCTCAACAGCCCTCATGGTCTGCCCCCACCATGCGGGACCCTGGGTCTGCCCCTGCCCACCATCCTCGAGCACTCCAGGAGTGAGCTGAGCACCTAGTTGTGAGATCTTCAGCCTAGTCTTGTTAAAAATGCCCTGTGGGTCGCAGCACTGAGTGGTCAACCCTACTGGCCCCAAGCACTGCTGGAAGCCCCCAAAACACTGGCCTAGTCGGGCAGAGAGACGCCATGGCAGCTTTGTCCATAGGACACTAACTTGCCTTCGAAACTGGATCGGTGTGTTGGTTTCCCCACAGTGGGAGGAGCCGGGCATGAGCGGCTGAGCGATTCTTGGGCCTGAGACTGGGGAAAGAGGGTGCGTGTCTTCACCTGTACAGCCGCCGATGCACCGGAAGCCTCAGCACCCCGACAGTGCTGGGCCCGTATTTGGTGTCTGCATCCTGAGGGCCTGGGCGGCGGGCCCTGGGGACACGTGGCGAGAGCAGACATCTGAGTACTGAAGGGGCTTCACGAGGACACAGTGCCGGCTGCTTCCAGATGTTGCAGATTCACTTCTGGCGGGAGATGGAGTTGGTGATGGCTGGACAGGAGGTGCCCGCCTGCCCCTTGACTGCACACAGGCCACGTGGGAGCTCAGCTCCAGATGCTGGGATCTGTCCACCCTGCGGTGGTTTCCTTTCGGCGGACTCCATGTACACATTCATGCAACAACCACGTGAAAAATCTACCAGCTGTCTCACTGCCATCAATGATGCCCCCAAAACTCTAGTTCCGTCTGGTTTGTTTTCTTCCGTGGCATGAGAAGTGTACCTGGCGAGGGAGTCAATCACTGGTGCGAGAGGCGTGGCTGTGGCTTCCCTGGGGACATGCATGATGCTCCACGCATCTGCTCTGGGCTCTCGCAAGCAAGACCAAATGTCCCTCAGGGTCTCCGGGGGTGCCTGGCTGCAGAGGGCAGCAGCCTCTAGGGTGGGCCACAACACAGGACCAGGGACTGGGCCAGAGCAGCGGCCATGTGTGGCTTGGGCACCGTGGGCAGCGCCCCTACTACCATTCCAGTAGGGCCTGGCCAGAGTTTTGCAAAGGTCAAAGAAGCCAACACAAAGAAGGAGAAAAGGCTGTCTCTGTCTTTGGAATAGGGGCTAAGAGTCATTCCTAAAACCCAAACTTGGCCCTGATGCTGCAGGAGCTGAGGAAGCCCACTATGGCAGTCTCATCTAAAAGTCAAAAATACCTCTGCACACGAGCCCTGCAGGCCAGGCAGCTGTCTTTTTGCTAGTGACAAGTTAGCATGAAAAGCATGGTCAAAAAAAAGTGTGGCATCGCCCTTAATAAAAAAAAAAAAGTTTTAGGGGCTGGAGCAATAGCACTGCGGGTAGGGCGTTTGCCTTGCACGCAGCCAACCTGAGTTCGATTCCCAGCATCCCATATGGTCCCCTGAGAACCGCTAGGGGTAGTTCCTGAGTGCAGAGCCAGGAGTAACCCCTATGCATCCCCGGGTGTGACCCAAAAAGAAAAAAATTCTAAAATTCAAAATAAAAAAGTTCCTGAAAGTATATCCGACATTTTATATGCACGCTTCAAGACAATGCAGGTCCCCCAGAGCAAGTGATCGAAAGAATCAATCCTGATTATAAGGCTCACAACAAGCCATAAGAAGGAACCAGGAAAATAGGTGCCACTGCCAAGGGTCCAAGGACGTCTGCAGTGGACAGAGCAGTGGGAGGAGGCAGCGCACAGGCGCCCCCAGCCTTGCCAGGGACTCCAAGGGCAAGACTCGGCTCAAAGCGGGAGCCGCCCCTTGGTGCGATTCTCACTTGTGGGCAGGTCCTGGCGTGGCACGGGTCGCCGAGTGTCAGGTCCTCAAGCCCGACAGTTAGAGAGTCGAGGAGCCGGGTGAGTGTGCCCCGCCTGCTGCAGCACAGCGCCGCCTTGGATCCCCAGGCGGGGCCCCAACGCCTACCCCGCAGAGAAAGCGACGGGGAACGGTGCTCAGGAGGCAAGCCAGCCTCCACACCCAAGCCTGGGCTCCTCCCCGAGTGCCACGTGCATGCCCGATTCCACTCTCGGGGTGCGCCAAGGGAGTCGGCCCGCACGCTGGCAGGGTGTCTGCGTCGCTGGCGGGGGCACTTCCTCCCAGGCCGAGCCAGGCCTCCTGGGCGCCCTGGAACCCCCCCGGGGGCGAGTCCTGCCTAGACCAAGCTCGCCCGCCCGGACAGGCCGTTTCTGGCTTGGCTGCACGTCTGCAGCCCAGGTAACCTGGAGCCCAGCCTGGCCGCCCTGCCGGGGCGACGCCGCAGCACGTGGGAAGGCGCGGCCGAAGGCCACGTGGTGCGGGAGGGCGGGGCCGAGGGCCACGTGGTGCGGGAGGGCGGGGCCGAGGGCCACGTGGTGCGGGAGGGCGGGGCCGAGGGCCACGTGGTCCCCTGGGGGGCGGGGCAGGTGCCTGCGGGGCTCGGGGCTCGGCGCGCCTGTCCAGGGTCTCGCTTGCCTTGTCTCCCCAGAATCTCGCGCATCTCCCCAAGGTCTCGCGTTGTCTTCCAGTCCCGCGTCGTCTCTCGTGGTCTCACGTGGCCTCCCCCCCAGTCTCGCGCCATCTCCCTGCGGTCTCGCGTTGTCTCCCCACAATCTCGCGGCATCTCCCCAAGGTCTCGCGTTGTCTTCCAGTCCCGCGTGGTCTCTCGTGGTCTCACATGCCCCCCCAGTCTCGCGGCATCTCCCCAAGGTCTCGCGTTGTTTCCCACGGCCTCGCGTCGGCTCCCCCTAGTCCCGCGTGGGCTCTCGTGGTCCCACGTGGCCGCCCGCCCAGTCTCGCGGGATCCCGCCAAGGTCTCGCGTCGCCGTCTTCCGCCCGGCCTCGCGGCCTGCCCCGTGAGTCCCCCGGCCGCCGCGTGAGGCGCGAGGCGCGAGGCGCGAGGCGTGAGGCGGTTTGGGGCGGCGGCGGCGGCCATGCAGCACGACCCCCCGCGGCGCCGGGAGCGGCGGGCCGAGGCGCGCCTGCTGGCCGCGTCGTCCTTCGGCCGGGACCTGCTGGCGGGCGGCGTGGCGGCCGCCGTGTCCAAGACGGCCGTGGCGCCCGTGGAGCGCGTGAAGCTGCTGCTGCAGGTGCAGGCGTCGTCCAAGCAGATCCGGCCCGAGGAGCGCTACAAGGGCCTGCTCGACTGCCTGCTGCGGATCCCGCGCGAGCAGGGTGCGGGCGGGACGCGGCGCGGGAGGTCGGGCGGGTCGCCGGGACGCGGTTGGCTGGGGAGGCGGGGGGCGGGGGCGCGAAGTGGCGTCGCCCGAGGGAGGGGACCGTCGGCCTGAGCCTGGGAGGAGCGCGCGGGCAGGCGCCGGGCGGTGCTCCCGTTCCGGCGGCTCCTCCCCCTCCCCCCACCCCGCTGACCCCTGCGCGGGGTTTGGCGCGGGTCCGTCTCCGCGGTGCCCCGGGCTGTGGGGTGTCGGGGTGGGCCCCGCGCCTGCCCGGCCCCGACGTCGGACCTTCAGCTGGAGGGGTCGGAGCGGCCGGCGCGGGCGTCGCTCTGCCCGTGGGGCCCCCTGGGCGCCGAGGGGGAGAGCGGCCCCGGGCAAGGGCCAGTGCGAGGAGCCCGACGGAGAAGACGCGCCGCGGCGGGGTCAGCTTCGGTTTCTGCGGCTGAGGAGGAGAGGGGGCCGGTGGGTGGACACCGCAGTCCTCGCTGTCCCCGGCGGCTGGCCCTGGCTTGCTCCGTGCCCCCTGAGGTCGGACGCGCGGGTGTGCCCGGTGCTCGGAGATCAACGGCCCACAGCCAACCGGAAGATCGCCGTCTAGGGGCGCGTGTGGAAATGGGGGAGGGGTCTCGTTTCCTCTGTGAGAACCAGTCGTGAGACTCAGGCCGTCCACTCCCTTCCAGAAGGCCAGAATGTGTCGGCCAGACCAGGTGTCCGTGGGCCTGTGGTTTGCCCGAGAACAGACGCGCTCTGTGCTCCTCACGGATTTCCTCTCTCCTTGGCGGGGAAGGAAGCCCGTCGATGATTCTGACTGGCTCAGACGCAGCTTCTGGGTGGTGAAGTGAGGGCGCTCCCGTGCCTGCCCGCCTTAAAGAGACTCTCTGGCTCTGCTGGCGGGGTTGGAAATCATCTGCTGGATCATTCCGGAAGCTCGCCGGACAGTCACGTTCTGAGGTGGTTGTTCCCTGAGATTCACCTCTGCTGCTCTCAGGCACCCCGTTCTCTCCCGGTCCCTTCATCCGGTCTCTCCCCGTGCCCCTCAGCTCCACTGACTCATCTCCCCGGATTCAGTGCAGTGCACGTTCCTCTTGCCCTGTTATTTGGGAGGTTCTTCTCTCGGCAGTAAGTGAAATAAGCAAAAGGCTCGGATGTTCCGCTGTTGGCAGAGCAATGCGGGCGCTGTTTCCATGCTTGTGAGGAGGCGTTTGCTTCTCTGTTAGCCTTTGCCTGATTCTCGTCAGAGTCTCCTCTTTGTCCCCAGAGGCTGTGACGACACCAGCTTCAGACATGGAGTCAAGCCTCATCCTTGTGACCTGGAGCAACCCTCTTCATCCCCTCTTAGCCTCAGTTCCCCGGAAAAGATTGAGAAACTGAGGCCAGTGGTCCTTCACAGTCAGCACGCCGGGACAGTGAGACAGAGAAAGTCCTGGTGCATATATTGATCACGTGGAGATACTCAGGAGTAGATTCACATGCTGTTATAACGTTCTCCATAGGTCTTTGGACATTCAAAGGTTTGGAGGGATTAACATAATTGAGATGTTTGTAATGCTTTTTTTTTGTCTCTCCGGTGGGGACCTGAACTTCACTTTTTCCTGGAGAAGAAAATAACACTTTATCAAATAGATAAGTCTTCAGACACTGAGTTGTTTAACAATAAAAGGTAGGAACTGGAGTAAGCGCGTACCTTGCTTGAAGCTGCCAGCCCAGCACCATGTGGCCTCTGAGTACCCAGACGCAGCCCTGAGGACTATGAGCTACTGCCAGTGCCCACGAGTCCCTCACCCCAGCAGCTGGGCACTGCAAACCGGGGGTCCACCCAGAACCCCAGTTTCTGGGCATCCCACACCCGGGGATCCCACCCAGCATCCCAGGGGATGAGCGTTCCAGGACCACATGAAACCACTGGCCTGATTGAGAATCCCTGGGAGACACAGCCTGCCGAATCAATGATAAAGTAGAAACTTAAGTTTGTGTTTCCTTTGTAGGTTTCTTCAGTTACTGGCGTGGCAACTTGGCAAATGTTATTCGGTATTTTCCCACACAAGCTTTAAACTTCGCTTTCAAGGACAAATACAAACAGATTTTTATGTCTGGAGTTAACAAGGAGAAGCAGGTATGTGCATTTACTATGGCTGGGTCACGTTGCCCGTGGCGCTCGGTTGGAAGGGCTGCTGAGGCGGCGGCAGGGGTCCTAATCCAGACTGGGACTGGCCCAAGTTGCGCAGAGTCAGGGTCACCCCCCAGCACTCAGGCCTGGGCATGGCACAGTGACAGGTGCTTTGCTCCAGGTGATCATTTGGGCACTGACACCTCGCCGCCTCTGGCGGAGGTGGGAGAGTTAGTCTTCCCTAGTTGCATTTCCGTCCTCTGAAGAGCGGGTTTGCCAGTGAGCCCACGTGTCCCAAGCGCAAGGGGAGCTGCATCTGGGAGCAGCACGGGCCTCAGCGCAGGTCACCACAGCCTGTGGCCTCTCCCGAGCGGCCCAGGAACAGTGTGGACTGGTGTTGCCCTGAGCCTGCTGTCTTGGGCCGTCTGCCCACACACATGGAGAGCACAGGCCCGCAGCCCTCAGCAACCCTGCCAGCCTGAGCGGGGAGCCCGAGCAAGCAGATGCAGAGCAGGAAGGGAAAGTTCCACCCAGGAGAGAGCAAGAGTGTCTGTCCCAGCCCAAGACCCAGCGCCAGTCTGCCAGCTCCCAGGAGACCTGAGCGGACACCAGTGCCGCTCCCCCACCCCTGAGCAGCAGAGGAGGAGGGTGTGGCCCCCACGGCTCCTGCCCGGTGCTCCTTCAGGCTGCCCCATCCAGTGCTCAGCTGCTGCTGGTCTGTTCCTGGCCCCATTCGCATCAGTACTGAACACGAGTGATCTTCGAGCTGTTAAAATTGATTCCTATTAGGATAATGGTGACACGTAAAAAGTATTCCTTCCCCTGCTCCAAACAGGCACGACTAGCCTCCATAATTGTGCAGCTCTTTAGTCCAAACTAACACTTACGTTGGGGCTGGAGTGATTGGAATTGGGGAGGGCACTTGTCTTGCCAGCCTCCACTTCATTTAGCCCCAGGGCCCTACCAGGAGTGACCGTGGGCGCAGAGCCAGGGTCGGACCCTGTAAGCTTTGAGCACTTCCAGGTGGGGCCCCAAAACAAAAACCCAACACTTTGTTGTTCAAAAATAAATGTAAACTGATGGTTACTTTATATTCCTTCCTAACATGGTCTACTTTTCATGGGCCTAAACTAGGGCTTTTAAATTTTTCTCAGTTGCAATTCTTTATTGCCCAAGATATTTGTGTGCAGTAGATATAAAGTAGGTGTGCAAATTAAACGATCACGACCATCCTGTTGTTCGCCGATTGCCTCACAGGCCCCAGTAACGTCGTCTTCATCCCAGCCCTGAGATTTTAAAAAGTGCCATATTCAAGGCTCTTTCAGGGTTAGGAGAATGAGACCCATCATTGTTACTGGTTTTTGGCATATTGGGTACGCCACGGGGAGTTTGCCAGACTCTGCCGTGTGGGCAGGTTACATTTGGTAGCCTGCCAGGTTGTCCAAAGTAAGAATGAGATAATAAAATGTTGCATGGCTGCAAATGCGGCTGCACGCTTCCGGGAGCTGGGTTTAATAGTCTCTGGGTCTTGGCCGCTGATGGGATTACACAGCACCAGGGGGCCAGTTGGTGGGTGTGACCCCTGCCTACTGGAATTTGGAGGATCTGGGTGGAGGATGCTCAGCCCCGATCCGAGCAGGCTTGGAGATCTCAGCCCCGGGACCCGCATTCCTTTGTTCCTCTGCCAGTACCTTCATGCGTGTGGAGGGTGGTCTCAGCATGGTGGTGGCTGGTTCCAGAGATCTTCGGAATTAAAATTAAACATTTACTGATAATCATAAATCATTTTAGGACTACTTTTCTGCACCCCCACGTTCAGTAGAGCCCACAGTTTAGAAGCTAGAATGCAAACTGCCAGAGAGGCTCAGCCAGCTAGCACCCTGCCGGGTCCAGGAGAGAGAGGTCCGGGCCTGCGTGCCTGGCAGGAATGGTTGGTGTGTCCGATTCAGCAGCATCTCAGATGGTGCCCGCCTAGGAATTGTGTTCCTGTCTTTCAGTTCTGGAGGTGGTTTCTGGCAAACCTGGCTTCTGGTGGCGCTGCTGGAGCGACTTCCTTGTGTGTGGTCTACCCCCTGGACTTTGCCCGGACCCGTCTTGGTGTGGACGTCGGGAAAGGTATGGGGGTTCAGAATGCTGTCTCTTCTCTCCCTGTGTGGGTGCTGTACCGTGTCTTGAAGAGTTAAGCTGTATTAAATGTTTGGGACAGTCTGCGTAGCCGAATGGTAAGAGTTAGGGACTCAAAGATGACTCAACTTTCCCTCTGAAAGAAGACAGGGTGGTGGGGCCAGAGGCAGAGCACAGCAGGAAGAGCATTTGCCCACACACGGCGACCCGAGTTCCATCCCCAGTATTCCATATGGTCGCCTGAGCACTGGCAGGAGTAATTCCTGAGTGCAGAGCCAGGAATAACCCCTGAGCAGCGCCAGTGTGACCCCAAAAGCCAAAAATTTAAAGAAGACTAGGCTAAGAATGTGGCTTTCTGGACTGGCCTTCCTGACAGTCTTGTGAGAACAAGAGTGATGGACCATGAGTGGTTAGCTAAAAGTGCCACGGACAGATCTGGAAAATCTGTCATTTTTCGATGCGTGATCAGGGAAGAGTATAAAAGGGGCAGTCATGAGAGCAAGGAGAAACATAGACACTCTGTCGCAGTCATGTAACTGGGAGTCTAGGTTTTCTCATTACTGCTAAGAAAGTGAAACTGACTCTTGGAATTATCTTAAAGGACTAGAAAGAGTATTTTTTGGCAAGGGGCTGGAAAGAGGAAGTCACGTGCTTGCCTTGTGCCTGCCTGACTCCAGTTTGGTTCCCTGGCATCACACATGGTCCCCTGGGCAGATCCAGGAATGACCCTGAGCATAGAACCGGGCATAAGCTCGTACACAGCTGGATGTGGCCCAAGAGCAAAACTATTCTTGCAATGCTGTCCAGGAGTTCTAGGTCGGAATAAAACCAACACACTGGAGGGGGAAACGCGACCTCATCTACATTGTCAGTGATCCCTCAAGTCACAGCAGGCTTCACTTGATCGTGTCCCACCAGGCTTGTGTTTTACAAGTCCCTCCACCCTCAAAAGATTGCAGCTCACTGCAGGAGTGCCTGCTGGCCCACGTGTTTTAGCAGTTGAAAGTTATGCACCTGGTTACGTGCGTGGTTTCCTGGGCAGTCGCTGTCGCAAGCTCCAGTGGAGTGCAGACCCCCGGACCGAGAGTATGGCGGCGGAAGCTTAGCTCTCTGCGTGGGGAAGCCTTCACCGTGACCCAGAGCCCCTGCCCCATGCCCTGAGGCAGCCTCCGTCTCCAGCTCTCACTGCTGTTGAGTGGCACAAGCTGTGCACACTTGAATTCCAAAGCACTTTCCAATTTCAGCAAGTAACTTACGTTGATTTCATTACCGTGTATAAGCCAGTCAGATTCCATTTCGAATTTTTTTTTCAGATACTACCTGAGATCTTAATTCTTGGAGGGGTTTTTTATTTGTAACCCTTTTAGTTAGAAATACTTCTTTCTGCATGGCACTGCAGCACTTACGCACTGTCCTCCCGTTGTTCATCGATTTGCTCGAGCAGACACCAGTGACACCTCACAACAGTTGTGAGACTTGTCAGTTTTTATATTTAAACCTGTAAAATTTTGTTTAATGTACCTCAAACTAATATGTAATATTGCTGATCAGTTTTCAATGGCTTTATTGTAGGACCTGAAGAGCGACAGTTCAAGGGTCTCGGGGACTGTATCATGAAAATAGCAAAATCAGATGGCATTAGAGGCCTGTACCGAGGGTTTGGGGTCTCGGTTCAGGGCATCGTTGTCTATCGAGCCTCTTACTTTGGAGCTTATGACACAATTAAGGTAAGTTGAAACTTGAGCGGGTTGTGAGTGTAACGGGTTTGTTTCTTTAACCAGTAATACGCCCAGCCCCGTGTTCCGCATTACGGAAATCAGAGCAAATGATGGGATGGGATGTTTCCCTTGTGAACTGATAATGTGTTGTGTGCTCAGAGGCACTCCGCTGCGGACAGAAAACACGCTCCTCACTCACATGGTCTCCATAAGGCCGTGCTTTGTACTCTCACGTGGAAAACGAGCAGAATGCGATGCCTTCACTAGCTGTGGGGGAGGCTGCGCTAGCTCTCCAGGCCCTGCTGTTTGCAGTGAGTGCACTGGGCGTGCTGGGGTGGGGGAGGACACTCCTGGCTCAGTGCTCAGAGGACAGTGCAGTACCAAGGGTCAAACTGGGCCTGGCCATGTGCAGGGAGACACCTTAACCTCCCACACTATCTCTCCAACCCCCAAAAAGAAAAAAAGAACACTCCTGTAAGTAAAGAGAGATTGCCGTGATGGCCACCACCTTACCCTTCAGTTGGAGGGACCTTCCAGTATACTTTATACCGCCTGAGTACTCAGGCAGCTTTGAGTCGCTGTTCTGAAGAGACCGCCTCAGGCTGGTTCTGGGCTGTGCGCCACGATGCCACTGTCCTCCAGAGAGTTTGAGGCTGGCTTCAGGGTCACTCACTAAATAAGAATAGGCTTGAGGGAGGAGGAGAAGCTGGGCCTGGGTACATTCGTGGAGTGGGCCTGTGTGGTCCCCTGAACACTGAGCATCACCAGGTGTGCCCCCTACCCAAGCCCACATAAAGGTGAGGGAAATGCCATAGCCTGCATATCTTGCACCTAGAACCCCATCTGGCACGCACATGGCATGCTCTGACACTGGGCCCACAGTTCGCGCCTCTGGCGTGTTTGAGGCTGAGTGAATGGAGTCAACTTGTTTCTTCGCCCATCCCCCCCAACTGTGTGTCCCATAGCAGGGGCCAGCTGGCCAGAAGCTCCTCGCAGCAGGAGTTTGCCATCCCCCAGCTCTGAGGGGTGCCATCACTGCCCCCTGCCATTGTCAGGGCACACAGGTCCTTCGAGCAGAGCCTCATGTGCCTTCCCCTTACTCAAGGATGTGCAGTGTCTCCATCTTCCCACAGTGGCCACTGCTTTCAGCCGAAACTTAGGGGCTTGAGCCCTTTGACCATGTTTACTACTCTGACGTAAGCATTTAGGATAGTCTGTAAGTCTCGATGGTTACTTGGTACCTTTTTTCCAGGGCGTACTATCCATATCGAAGGAAACCCCTTTCCTGGTCTCCTTTTTTATTGCTCAAGTTGTGACCACGTGCTCCGGGATACTCTCGTATCCCTTTGACACAGTGAGACGACGCATGATGATGCAGGTATTTCACCAAATTGGGTTTTGTTATTTTTTGTTTGGGGGGCACGCCTGGTTCTGCGATCGAGGGTCAGGGGACCATATGTGGTGCCAGGGAAACCCCCTGCCCGCTGTGCCATCACTCGGGTCCTTTGATTCTCTGGAAGCGGAAGTGAGGTTCCCAACACCCCTTGCATTTGGGTGTGATGTGTTCGGGATGGAAAAGCTCTGAGGGACCAGGCAGACTTGACACCGCCCCCCCCAGATCGGGTCTGGTTAGGGTCCTTTCTGTCATTCATGCCTGCGTGACGTGTGCTAGGGCACGGAGACAGTAACGGCCCAGGGCAGGACTGGCCCACATGTGTGGCTCAGCTCTGCACGGGCTGTGCTGCAGCGCCAGGGGTGCAGTGCTGGCCGGCTCTGGTGCGGCCTCCGACACAAGCGAGCACTGCGAAGGCACCTAGAGGCAGCGCTTGTTGGGGAAGTTGCACCAGCCCGGGCGACACGTTCTCCTGGGGCAGGTGGACACCCCGCCAGAGCTCTCCGCCTGGAATCCGCCTCTGGGGACCGTTCCACTGTCTGCTGGTTCCGTTCTCCACACGGTACTGCAGTGTCCCGTCCTCTGGCCTCGCTCACTCTCTGCAGTGGCCCAGGAGAGGCACGACTCAACCTGTGGAGTTAGGCCGCACCTGAAGGGCCCGTCCCCACTGGCCTGTGTGTGATCTTCACGAGCACTGTTCACTGTCTCCCTACTCCTGTCTTGCTCCTTTCTCCCTGCCTCTAGTTTTATGCAGAAAACATTTGGGCAGGAGGCGGGGGTGGGCCCGGGTTATACCTGGCCTGCTGAGGGAGCACTCCTTGCTCTGCACAGATGACCATAAGCGTTTGCTAGGAATGCAAACGAGTGTGATCCGGGCACAGGCCTTACCCCCTAGACAGTCTCTCCACCCCTACATTGGAAATCTTTGAATGGAAAAACTTCATTTGCATATAGGATGGATTTAGCAAATGGTACTTTTTTTTTTAATATTTTTTTCCCTTTTATTTTTTTTTTAACAGTTGTAGATTTACAATTTTTGGTGCTTGGGTTTCAATTATACAATGATCAGATACCCATCCCTCCACCAGTGCCCGTTTTTCACCACCATGGATAATATCCCTCCCACCCCCATCCCCCCATCCCCCTCTGTCTCTGTGGCAGGGCAATCCCCTGTGTTCTCTCTTTCCGTTTGGGTGTTGTGGTCTGCAAAAGAGGCATTGAGTGGCAAACATGTTCAGTCCATAGTCTACTTTCGACATGCATCTCCCCTCCTGGGAGGATCCTCCAAACATCCTTTATTTGGTGCTCATGGTACTGGTTTTGATGACTGTTCCTTGGCTATAAGGAAATCCTTTTGTTCTAGAAAATGCACACTGGTGTTTTAGGACAAAGCAATGGATCTGCAGTGTGTCGTCAGAATAAGCGAGAAAGTGTGGAGTGGCCTGTGGGCTTTCACGTGCGTGTGCACTGGGGAGGGAACAGCCAGCGCGCGCCTCCCCCTGCCCCTACTGGCGGGCCGCTGCCTCACCTGGGCTTGTTCTCAGTTCCCATCTGCCCAGATGGCCGCGCAGGCTGGGGGCCTCCTGGGGAGCTCAGTGTACACGGGTTCCCACGCAGACACCAGGGGACAGCTCAGGACTTCATGAGGAGCCTCGTGGGAGCCCCTTGAATCCCTCTCAGCACATGAGAGTCTTGCCATGTTATCTGTGTAGCCTGTGACCTCATCAGATCATATTCCAGACGCTGCCTACGCGAACTCACCAAAGGGCTCGGTGATGCTCGAAGTGCCAGGAATGAGACCCAGGCCTCCTGCATGCAAAACAGTGCTCAGCCCACCAAGCTCCTCTTCAGCCCCTGAGACAAGGTTTTCTAGGAAATCACAGCGTCACCCTGTCCCGCCCCGCCCCTCCCCTGCTGTTTTTCAGTTCTTTATGTTTCCTTCTCTTGCCTTCCTGCATGAGCGAGACACCTCGTGTCGCAGTGGTAGAGTGTAGTAACATCAAACCTTGCTCCTTACCTTACAAGGAATGCCTTGAACGTTACGCCCGTGGTCTTAGCTGTGGGTTCTTTTAGTGACCCTTCGTACGCTTTGTCTCGCTCTGCTTCCCCACCCCACCCGCCTTGTCGATTTATTTCTGATCAGTGAAGTGTCAGCGGAATTTCAGAGGTGTGGCAGCACATCCGCGTGCCCAACATCGAAGTTCCAGCGCCAGCCCAGACTGAAGAACCCTCTGCCAGTTCCTCTCATTTACCCACTGTCCAGCGTTTTCACTGAGTCTCAGAGTTGGGGAGTTTGTTTCCTTTTTTGCTTTAGAACCACACCCAGCGGTGCTCCGGGCTTACTCCTGGCTCTGCGTTTAGGATCACTTCCAATGCTCAGGGGACCATAGTGGGTGCCAGGAAGGAGCCCAGGTTGGGCACATTCAAGGCACATGCTCACCTGCTGTACTCTCGCTCCCGTCCCTTCAGTTTGGGTAGTTTGTTTGCCTGAGTTCTGACACGCTTCACACCCAAGTGAATTCCTGTGGCTTCAGTGACAGTGGCTGGTGAGGTCCCTCCATGGCCCCTGGGTCTCCTGTCACAGACACAGCCTCCTATACCCAGGTGTTGGGTCATCCTGCTTTCTCTTTCTCTCGCATAATTCGTCATATGGAACTAAATGTTCATTGGATGTTTGGTAGAACTCACCTAAAGAAGCCATAGAGAAGTGTAGTTTCCTTTGAGATCATAAATGATTGATTTTCTTTATTGAATGTAGTATTTCAATTTTTCCTAGTCTTTTTGTAAATTACGCCTTTAAAATATTTTATCAATTCCAATTTTTAAAAATAATGTGATGTTTTGACTTTATTGAGCTTTCTGTTGTGCTGTTTTCTATTTTTTATTCTAATTATTTTATTTTTACATTTTAAGTTTGCTCCCTGTAAGTGTTTGGATTACTCATTACTTTCAGCCTTTCCTTTATAATATTTCCTGATTGTTAGAAGACCTTAGAAATTTATTAAGGGACCCTCGAGCAAAAGTGCAGTGGGTAGATTGCTTGCCTTGCATGTGGCCAACCCAGGTTTGATCCCCAGCATCCCATATGGTCCCTCAAGCACTACCAGGAGTAACCTCTGAGCACTGCTGGATGTCGGGGTGGGAGGTGGGAACTTGATAAGGCCTTGTGGTTATCCTTAGGTTTTTAATATTTGAGCAAGCTCTTCTCTTTTTCTAATTGCTCTTTTGCTACTTATGTTCCAGCATAGTAAGGTGCCGTAATATGAGGCCATCTTTTAGAATGTGTTGCGTAATACATGGTCAGTTTCATTGTGCCTTAAAACTAGGAATACTAGGGGCTGGAGAGCTAGGATAGTGGGTAAGGCACTTGCCTTGCATGTGGTAGACCCAAATTCAATCCCCGGCACCACATACGGTACCCCAAGCCGTACGAGGAGTGATCACTGAGCACAGAACCAGAAGTCAACTGTGAGCACTGCCGGTGTGACTCAAAGGTATTACAGCAGTCAGCGTAGCCTGTTGTCTCCAGAGCTTTAGTAAAAGTCAGGCATGTCCATCCTTGGGGCTTATCGCACTTCTGTTTGAGCAACAAGATGCAAGTGTTTGTCTTCCTGCAGAGCGGAGAGGCTGAGCGGCAGTACAGAGGCACCCTGGACTGCTTTATGAAGATGTACCAGCAGGAGGGGCTCGTTGCGTTTTTCCGGGGGGCCTTCTCCAATGTCCTTCGTGGTACAGGAGGTGCTTTGGTATTAGTGCTGTATGATAAAATTAAAGAATTCCTTCATATTGATACTGGGGGTAGTTCATCAGGAGAATAAATTGAGAAATGCATAAATTTTGTTTGTAAAACAAGCAATCACATAGCTGCCATTTGGATACATTTTGATGTAGTGTTATTACTGTCAGCATTTATGAAAAGTGATAATTCTTAAATTGGGTTTTTGTCAAGGATTTAAATACTGAAAATCAGAAAAATGTGTACTTTTTACTTAGTTACTTTAATAAGATGTTTTGCTTATATGTGTTTGCTTATATATTTTGCTTAGATGTTTTGCTTATTATGTTTTGCATTAATGTGTTCTGTTCACTTAATAACCTTTTCTTTGTGATAAAAATTAAGATGTACATTAAACTTAAATAAAAGTTTTACAATACTGTTCTTTTAACATGTCTGTTTTAGTAGTTAAATGACTTTAGATCAAGTGGACAAAGTATGTATGTATGTGTATGCTAAACACATGTTCTGTGCTCTTGGAACTATCTCAGGGTTAGGCCCTTGAGGAAATGTTCATTGCATAGTGAATACAATAGCCAGTATAGGGAAACGACCCAGATTTCCAATGACAAATGAAGAGAGAAGTTGTATGTGGAATACTATACAGCCATAAGAAAAGATGAAACCGTGCAGTGCACTGCAACCTGGATGGAACTGGATGGGGTCCTGTAAGCAAGAGGGCTGGAGCATATGGCCTGCAAGCATGTAGTCCCAAGTTCCATCCCTGGCACTGCGCAGCCTCTGGGCACCACTGGGGAGAGCCCTGATGGCCCCCGTCCCCTGCACCTCAGGGCCTAGCACTGAGCCAGGCAGCACACTGTGGATGGAATACATGCCTGAAAATTGGGCAGTCTAGAAGAAAATGGATGTCTTCTTAAAATCATCGGTCTCCCTGGACTAAATAGGAAAGAAAGAGGAAATCTCAATAGCTATCACTATGAGAATGAGGAGACAGAGCCCATCGGAGACAGCCGCCCCCAACAGAAAGTTCTGGGCCTGATCATGTCGCCAGTGAGGTTTACAGAACGTTCCGGGGCAATAAGAACCAGCCTTCACAAGCTTTCCCGCCAAGTTGGAGGGGCAGCATCCACACCCTAAGTCGTCATTGGAGGCCAGCCAGTAGTGTGTCAAGCCATGTGGGTGGCACACGCCGAAGCCAGCGCTGCAGCATGTCTGCCCACCAGGAGACACAGGTGCTGCTGTTGCACGCTGGCATCAGTGTGGCAAGAGACACTCCTGGCTCCACACGGGGAAATAGAAAACCAGTGAAACCAATTGTGTGTTTTCAAAAGTCCGGCGGCGCTCTGTCTCGCTCGCCGCCTGCATTCATTGGTCTCGGGCCGTTACCCCCACCCCGGGGAGGTCAATGGCGATGGGCAGGCAAAGGAAGGAACGAGGGCCAGGCTGGTCGGTATCAATTGCAGTTTATTCCGTCTTCACTCCCTTCTGCCTCTCTCTCTCTCATACCTGAGCCCCTCTCACCTCTGACTCTGCCATCTGGAGCCTCAGCCTCCTCCTCAGCCTGACCCTTCTCCTCCCCTCCACGCTTACAGTCTTCGTTTATATAGCAATCGTTTAGGGTGGTGACACAAAGGTGGGTGGAACATTAACAAATCAGCAAAGAGAGGTAAGACCACTCCTGAGGAAATTAACTCAAGGATTAAATCTCATCTAAGGGGATTTATTCCAGATTACTAGGAGATCTGTTCAAGGGTGGGATCCCAACAAGGGTGTGTTCTTTCCTCAGATAGTAATCTACTTAAATAGTCCATTATTTCTAGCAATGTCATTCCGTATGAACACGGTAAAAGATATAAATTTACAGTTTGGTTCTTCCTGAGGACATATATTCTGCCGTCCTCAGGCCAGGTTAGTCTTCCTAGCCCCAGAAGGGTCCTAGTCTTCGTCGTTACTTACTTTTCGATCCTGACAGCATTTGTCCATGATCATGCCCTCAACTTACAGTTGAGTATCGTGGCACTTTGGCCTGGCCCATTTCGATGCCAGGGTAGCTCACAGGTTGCCCTGGGTCCATTCAGTCCCTCGTTGGGACCCTGCTTTTGGGGTGCAGGAACTAGAGGCAACTGAGTCAAGAGGGCACATGCCCAGGAGTAAATATTATTCGGAGTCAATCAACTCGGAGTCAGTCTGCCCCCGCGCCTGGCTGTTCCTCGCTGGGACCCGTTGGAGGGGAGCGGGTAGAGCTTTCCTCCCCACCCCGACCAGGGCTCCGGCAGCCGAAGACCTCCAGGACCAGCCACCACCATGCTGAGACCACTCTCCGCACACCTGAAGGTACTGGCAGAGGGACAAATCCACGCGGGTTCCGGGGCCGAGATCTCCGAGTCTACTCGGATTGGAGTCGAGCATCCTCCACCCAGATCCTCCAAATCCCAGTAGGCGGGGGTCACACCCACCACCTGGCCCCCTGGCGCTGTGTAATCCCATCAACGGCCAAGACTCAGAAACTATAAAATCCAGCTCCCGGAACCGCGCGGCCACATTCGCGGCCACGCGACATCTTATCAGGACATCTTTTTATGACACCTTATTATCTCATTCCCACTTTGGACAAACTTGCAGGCTATCGAATGTAGCCTGCCCACAGGGCAGAGTCTGGCAACTCCCCGTGGCATACCAAATATGCCAAATACCAGTAACAATGATGGGTCTCATTCTCCTAAAGAGCCTTGAATATAATCTCAGGGTTAGGATGAAAGAGACGTTACTGGGGCCTGCTCGAGGCAATTGACGAATAACAGGATGATGTAATGAAATGAAATGAAATCAACTCCCAAGTTACAAAGCATAATATTAACTGTCTTCCTGTGTCCACACAGGAAGGACATTGCTTTAAGGTAAACTATGCAAAGGACAGAACGTACAAGTTCAGTGTCCTTGGAAGGATCTAATCTGACAAGCTAACAGAATGATTAGGGAGAAAAGGTGATTAACTGGCTGGGGAGGAGAGCACAGAGAAGAATTTGCAGATAAACAGAGGAATGGGAGTGACTCCCATGGGAGCACTGTGATGGGTGTAACCAATAAACCTAAGCTCCCTGTGGCAATGTTATCCTACAACCAATGACAGAAGAGTTAAGAGAAGTTTATTCCCCCCTGAGACCTCTACCTCCCCCCCTCCCCTAACATATAAATTCCTTTAAATAACTCTTCTTGCTTCCCTTAAAAATTAAATGAGGGAGCAGGGGCTGCGGGCACTGGGAACGGCCCGCATCGGCCCGCTGCTACCAGGACCTGACCTCCCCACGCTCCCTCAAACCACCCCCACCCCCACCCACGGGGGAAAGTTCTTGAGCCCAAGCTCAGTGTTTGGAACCTGCAAGCACCCAGCTTCTTCCCTCTGTGGCACCTTGCGGCTTCCGACGGCTGTGCCCTGACTCCTGTTGCCTCCAGGCTTTACTGGTCAGACTCCCCGAGTAAGTTGGATGGATGCCAGCGTTCTTTACTTGAGCTGACATTTTGTTTTTGGTTTAATCAGTCCCTCTTCACCGTCACCCCCACCACCAAACACGCCACCTTGATTGGAAGAAGAAAAACAACAAAGATCCCGTTGGAGACAATTTGGTACAATGACCCTAGTGGCATAAGTATAGAAGATGATATATAAATGGAGCCATTGAGATTAAGGAAGAACGTCAACCAGCCCTCACTCTTAACAAAAATACATCAATTAGCTTCATTCTATGTCTTTCTATATTCTGATCAGGTCCTCATCAGGTAAAATATTATAAAATTTCACAACGTACGAAAGATTTGAGTCAGCACTTCTCCAAACAAGATAAACCTATGGGGAAAATAAACATTAATGTTCAAAAAATAGATGTAAAAAAATTAAATGAATAGACAGCTATCTGGTAACAAATGTTGAGAACCCATATGAGAGAATGCTGTTTTAAAATATATTTATTAAAATATAAATCAAGCCTGGGAAATGAAGACCCTGAGTTTGGCACCTGAACGACTCCCCGGCCATTGTCAGGCACAGCCCTCTTAGTCCCCAGGCACAGAACTTACCAGATTCTCAAGCACAGCTGGGGCACCCCATCACCACATGCGTATGTGTGTGTACGTGTATGTATGTATGTATATGCATGTACATATCTATCCGTATTGATTAAAGAAATTCTAGAAAAGACTATACCAAACACACAACCAGTGCTCATGAGTCTACTCAGGAGCTCCCGGGCTGGAGTGATAGTGCAGTGGGTGTGGCACTTGCCTTCACATGGCCACGCGGGGGTGGGTCCCAGTACCACATATGGTCCTGAGCCAGCCACAGTGATCCCTGAGCGCCTCCAGAAAGCGGGTATGTGTACTCAGAAGCTACAGCCAAGGTGTCTGGCGTGCTTCTTGCGAAACTTCGCACCCAACAAGAGAGAAAGAGCAAATGGGAATGCCTGCTACAGAGGCAGGAGGGGATGGGGGGATGGGGGGTGGGAGGGATACTGGGATCCGTGGTGGTGGGAAATGGGCACTGGTGGAGGGATGGGTATTTGATCATTGTATAATTGAAACCCAAGCACAAAAACTTGTATGTCTACAACTGTACCTCACGATGTCTCACTAATAATTTTTTTAAAAGCCAAGAAAAAAAAAACTTTGCCAGAGGGAAACTAAAAGCAAACCTTGACTTCGGTGAGACTAGCCAAATCTTACCAAGCTAGTTGAATCATGGATTCAGTTTCAAATCAACTCAGATGCGTACATTGTCAATTCAGTAACCAGTCGAGTCCATTGCCCCTCAGACTCCTCGGGCCTGCCTTGTTACTCCTGACATTGAAGGGGATCAGGAAATCTCTGAACACCGATCACAAATACGAGTGAGGGGAGCGTATTGGCTGACTTGGCCAAGAAGGCCAAGAGGATCACTTTAACTTAGGCGGTGAGCAGAACCTCCGTGCTGGATTTCGACCCCTCGCTACCACCTCCATGGGATGTGGGCCGTGTGGAAACCCAGGGAAAAGGTTCCTCCCCAAGCCCGCTGGTCCTGCGGACAGAACCCGCAGACCCCCGCCACCGGCCTTAGCAGCCTGACCCCGCTGGTTGGCCCAGCCCGGGCTTGCGGCCTGGTTCCTGGCCAGGTTATGGTAAATTCAAAACCAGTCCGTTGCCCCTGGGCCGGGTCCTGCCGTCCCCTGCAGCAACCCAGGGCGTCTCTGGCTGCCCTGGATGCTGGCTTGGGAAGCAAGGGACCGGCTGAAGGCGCGCCCGCTGCCCAGACCCCGGCGGCCAGGCCTCAGCCGGCGCCGGCACGCGGTAGCGAGACCCACCCTGGCCTCCCAGAGGTCTGGACTTACTGTGGAAGTTGTTCGGAGCTTTGGGGTTTTTGTCGCCCACACCCAGAGGTGCCCAGGGCCAACCGCGTGCACGGTCAGCGCCTCCTCCTGCCTGGCCAGAAAGGCCCCGCCGCGTGTAACAGACCCCAGCTGTGACCCCCCCCCAACAAACGGCCCGGGGTTCTTGGGGGTCACCGAGGGCCAAGGTTCTCGGCTGCCCCCCGCCCCCCGCCGGTGCTCAGAAGCCAGCGCGGAGCGCGAGGGGCGGCCCCCGGCTCGGGGCAGCAGTGGGCGCGGCCCGCGGGGTCGCCAGGGTTCCGGGCGGGGGGCGGGGGCGTCGGTCCTGGCGACGGGCGCGGCCCCGAACGCGGTGGCGCCCGCGCCCGCGCCCGCCAGGCCATGAACCCGCTGCTCCTGCTGGCCGCGGCGGGCGCGCTGGCCACGGTGGCCGCGGCGGCGCTGGCCGCGCTCCTGACCCTGGCCCTGCTGCGCGCGCGGGCCCACGAGCGCCCCGGGAAGGGCAAGAGGCCGGCGCGCACGGGCCGCGAGTGGGGGGTCCCCGCGGGGAGGCGGCCCGCCGGGTGGGGGAGCCCCGCGGGGAGGCGGCCCGCCGGGTGGGGGACCCCCGAGGGGAGCCCCCCGGAGCCGGGGACCCCCGAGACGCCCCCCCTCGGAGTCGGGGCCCCCTCAGAGGCCCCCCGCGGAGTCAGGGACCCCCGAGGGGAGTTTCCCCGCGGAGCCGGAGCCCCCCGAGACGCGCCCCGCGGAGCCCGAGCCCCCCAAGGCGCCGGGCCGGCCGCGCCCGCATCGGCCCCCGGCGTGAGTGCGGTGGGCGCCGAGTCACAATGAGCCGCGTGGGCGGGCGGAGGCCGCGAGGGTCCCGGGCAGGGCGGGCGCGACCCCCGGGGCAGCTCACGCCCGGGTAGGGAGGCGCGGCCGCGGGGACCGCCCTCGAGGCCTTCCGAGCGGGGTCCCGGGGTCTGTCTCAGGGCGGGGTCCCGGTCCTCAGCCCGGCTGGGTCCGGGGAGGGTCTCGGGGCGGGGTCCGGGGGGGTTCTCAGCCGGACGGGGTCTCCGGGCGGACCCCAGGGCTGCGGGCGGGCCGAGCCGGAGCTGCCCGACTCGCAGCGGCCCCCAGAGGGATGGAGCCCGCGGGCCTGTGCACCCTGAAGCGTTTCCCCCGGCCCACCGCAGACGGGGGACCCGTTTGCCGGAGCTTCGGGGACCCGGGCGGCGGGGCGGGTCTGGAGGGAGGGGCGGGGCCTGCAGGCCGGGGGCGGGGCCTGGAGTGGGGCGGGACCTGGCGAGCAGATGGGGCGTGGCTTGAGGGGTAGGCGGGGAGGGGCTGGCAGGTGGGGCCTGGCGGGTAGACGAGGCGGGAGTTTAGGGCTAGGCGGGGGGTCGGGGCTGGCGAGCGGCGGGGCGGGGCCGGCGGGCCGGCGGGGCGGGGCTGGCGGGCGGCGGGGCGGGGCCGGCGGGCCGGCGGGGCGGGGCTGGCGGGCGGTGGGGCGGGGCCGGCGGGCTGCGGGGCGGGGCCGAAGGACCGGAGGGGCGGGGCCGGCGGGCCGCGGGGCGGGGCCGGCGGGCCGCGGGGCGGGGCCGGCGGGCCGCGGGGCGGGGCCGAAGGACCGGAGGGGCGGGGCCGGCGGCGGGCACGCGCGGGCCGCGCGCAGGCGCAGGGCGCAGTAACCGCCGCGTCGCGGAGGGCGCAGCGGCCGGCCAGCCTGTCCCCGGCTCTCGCAGGCGTCGCCGGCCCGGGGGCCGCAGCGCGGGAGCGGACGCGGGCCCGGCGGCCCGGGCTGCGGGCGGCGGCATGTCGGTGGTGGGCATCGACCTGGGCTTCCTCAACTGCTACATCGCGGTGGCGCGCAGCGGCGGCATCGAGACCATCGCCAACGAGTACAGCGACAGGTGCACCCCGTAAGTGCGGGCCTGCCCGCCGCCGCGCCGCACGCGCCGCACGCGCCCGCCGCAGGGGTGCGGGGAGCGGGGAGCGGGGAGCCGGGCCCGCTGCGGGGGTGCGGGGAGCGGGAGACGGGCCGCCGCAGGGGAGCGGGGAGACGAGGCCCGCTGCAGGGGAGTGGGGACATGGGCCCGCTGCAGGTGTGCAGTGGTGCAGGGCTGCTGGGAGTCGGAGCAGGGCCGTAGGCGTGCAGGAGAGTGGGGAGATGGGGCCCATTGCAGGGGCGCGGGAGACGGTGCCCGCTGCAGGGGTGCGGGAGAGTGGGGTACGGGGAGACTGTCTGGTGCAGGAGAGATGGAGAGATGGTGCACGGTGCAGGGGTGTGAGGAGACAGTGCCCAGTGCAGGGGAGAGGGTGCCCGGTGCAGGAATGCTGGGGTGCGGGGAGATGGTGCCTGGTGCAGGGGCTCTGGGGTGCGTGAGCCCCCGGTGCCCTGTCGGCTCTGGGCTCTCACCTCGCGCCGCTGGGGGTTCCGGGTGGCTGCCCCGCGGGACCGTGTGAGGCCCAGCTGCAGCCTGGGGCCGGCCTTCCCCTCCAACTCTCCTGCGAGGAGCCGGGGGTCCCCGTGTGAGCCAGCCAGGGCGGCTTGGTGGGGAGGGTCTCCCTCCTGGCAGCAGGGCTCCAGCGTGGGTGAGGAACAGCTCTTGGGGGGCATCTCCCTCCTTCCCCAGCAGCCACACAGCGGGAGGCGCCTTGGAGGATGGGGCCAGAACTAGCCGCCTGCCCGCGGGTCGGCCTCAGGCTCTGCTGCCGAGTGCGGGGTGTGGGGTGTGGGCTGTGGGCCGTGGCCTTTGGATGAGCCGTGGTCACCCGGCGGGTGGGGAGGGCTGAGTTCTCACTTCCTGTGAGGTGCTGCTGCAGCCCAGCAGGCCGGCTCGGTTAGGAGCTCTGCCCAGATGCCTGCCTGCCTGCGGGCACCGGAGCCCGGCAAGGCCTCCTGGCACATACTGGGCTGCCGGTGCCCCCAAGACCAGCTCTCGCCAGCAGACCCCTGCGGGCCTGGCCCTACGGGAAACACTTGGTTCTAACATCCTTCACCGAATGTCGAATCCCACCGGGTTGGTGCTAGTTTCTCAGGAGTAGTGCCTTCATTCAAAATGCCTTTAACACGTAAAGATAAAGAAACGTAGCAACGCCAAACACGTTGGAACAGGCTCGGAGGAGGCGCTGGGAAGGCCAGCAGTGGACGCCGGGCAGTTCCGTGCCCCAGAGAGGCCGTCTGCCGTGTGTCAGACTCTGCGGGCTCATGTCTGGGCTTCTAAAATACTGCAAGGCGTTTCAAGAGGATTTTGTTTCAGCACTGAAACTCCGTTTGATCAGATTTTCTCTTCAGTGGTCCGGAGTTTCTGTGGGGTGGCTTCTCTCTCTCTCTCTCTCTCTCTCTCTCTCTCTCTCTCTCTCTCTCTCTCTTTCTCTCTTTTGTCTTCTTTATTTTTCTCGTATTCGCAGAGTATGAAAGCCAATACGGGAAGACTCCAGTGTGCTGTGTGTCCCCGGGACTGTGCCGAGTCGGGGAGTGGACACTTTTGATGGGACAGTCTGGGGCCAGGAGGGAAACGCCCGTGTTCTTAGCAAGTGTCTTGGGGCTGTATTTTTTGCTGTTGTGTGTTTCACTCTGACTTCACCTTTGCTGCTGAAGAATCTCAGACCACGTTCCCGTCCCCCTCGAGTGTGTGCTGGACACCGCAGGGAACATCTCCTGTCAGTGCCATGAGCGGGCGTGTGTGGAAGGCAGGGAGGCCCGTGACCTTTGAGTACATGCCAGTGCAGTACAGATGAAGGGACACGGCCACGTTTTTTTTTTTAATTTTTATAAAGTTGTTTGCAAAAATTTATTGCTCTCAGTATTTCAACACCACTCCCACCACCATTGCAACGTCCCACCACCATTATTATTATTTTTTTTTAATGTAGGAGTACTGCTATTTATTCAGCCACTGATTAGGCTGATTGCATTGGGCATGAACTCCACATACCACTATAATTTTGAATTTCCCCAAGCCTTCCCAGAAGGCAGATGCTAAGTAATTCATTTTGTATCACTTGTTACGAATAATCCACTAAAAATTATCAGAAAAGTTTTTTTAGAAGAAAGTGTTTCTCACCTTGGGGCCACTAAGCCCCTGTAGAAGAGATCGGTAGGACGTTGTTACAGGTTGAGGCTTGTGTTACGTATGTGAAGATCGGTTGCCTCCGACTTTACCCCCCATCAAATGTCGTGTGCTGCTCTTGGTGTATCAGTAGCATGAAGTATGAGACACAGCTCCAGGGATTCTACAATTCTCAATAGGGTGCTAGAGCTGGAGTTCGATTTTTAACTGGGTGGTGATTTGGGGGTCCAGAGGCATCTGTGCAGCGTGTTGCTCTCTTCCGAGAGTGATTTGTGAGTCTCTGGCCCATGGCCATTAATGAGCTGATACCGTGCCCTGAGGCGGTTCCTGGACGTGACTGCCAGGCTCCCAGAGCACGGGGAGATGGGGGAGGGCACCCATTCCTGACTGCCCGTGAGCCGGGAGGTTTCAGCCACAAAACTCGCATACCTGGGCTTTTCAGCAGATTCATTTTCATGCGTGGGGGGCTCTTCCTGAGCTGGCGAAGATTGGCCCCGGGCACGGCAGCAACCTGCCAGGGTCCTGTTGGGGCAGGCGAGGAACTGTCCAAGGTGCCCGGATGAAGTCAGCCTGGCGTGGATGAGGGGCACCTCTGCAGCGTTTCTCTCTCTTCCGGGACCTGTGAGTCCACGGCCGTGTTCTGACGGAACTGCACTCAGCGATCGCAGCGGCCATCCTGTCCTGGCAGGCCTGGGCACAAGACACGGGGACTGTGTACTGAGCTCTGGTGACATTTAAGGGTTCGTCCAAACGTTTAGAGTGTTTGACAGCCAAGCTCAGAGTGAAGTGACGCCTAGCAGTGCCCGCCAGGCCGGTGATTGCACAGAGGGAGAGGGAGGCTGGCCTCCTCTAGCGACACCACACAGTCCCCAGGTTCAGCGCCGGGGTGCCCGCAAAATGGATAGAATCATGTCTGATGATGTCGCTAATCAGCTTCTTAGATACTGTGTTGGGGGCGCACAGATGGCGGAGCTCAGACTCACCCCTGGCCCTGGGCTCGGGGAGGGGCAGGCCGGCAGCAGGCGAGGCCAGTGCCCAAAGCCTCACGGTCTCTGACCCCACACACTTCAGTAACTTGTGTTTTCTATTAATGCTTCGGGGTGTGAGCTAATTTTTATTTGATTTATAGCACTTACTATAAGCACTTGGAAATTTTGTTTTGGGCCGCACCTGGCAGTGCTCAGAGCTTATGCCTGCCGTTGTTTTATTAACTGAATCACCAGGAGATACAGTTACAAGATGGTTCATGGTTGGGTTTCAGTGATACAATGTTCCAATACCCGTCCCTGCGGCAGGCAGTGACCCCAGTTTCCCTCCCCCTCCCCCGCCTCTCAACGGCGTGCACTTTTCTTGTCTCTCTCCCCCTCTCCCTCTTTCCCTCGCTCTCTCTTTCTCCCTCTTTTGGGCATTATGGTTTGCAGTACAGGTATTGAAAGGTCATCTTATTTGTCCTTTGACCTACTTTGAGCACTCAGTTCTTGTCCAGAGATTTCACTTACTTCTTGCGCCAACAGCCTAAATTTTTGGCAGGTTGATTTCTCCATTACCTTGTCCCGAGATGCTGGAGCCCGGCCAGGAGCCCGGCGGCAGCGCACTGGGCTGATGCGCCCCCTCGGAGGTGCCCCGGCGGCCTCAGCCACCTTTGGGTGTTCGAAAACTCTTGGCAGCTGGTTGATCTCCTTGGAGATTTATTTTGGAATCTCTGAGCAGGGCCAGTAGCTGAGCACCAGACGAGTGACTGGCGCAAGACGCGCTTATGTGGAGGTAGATGCGCTGACGGGGAGGCCGACGTCTGTGTGGCGCCCTGGAGGTGGTTCGTTTATTCCTGAAGTGCTGGGGGACCACGGGACAGTCATTGAGCTGGGCTTGGCCAAGCGCAAGCCAAGAACTTTAAATACCCTGGTGCTCTCTCTCCAGCCCTGCATTTGGAAATTCTTAAGGAAATTGTATTCCGTGTTAATTATTAAGTGAATCTTTTATTTATTTATTGCCCAGATTGAAAAATTATAAAGTTTTTGTTCAGCAGGTGTTTTTCTTATCACAGAGCTGCCCGGGTCCCTTCATCTGCTCAGACACCGAACACACCAGGAGGTTTCCCCAGAGAGTCTCGCTCCAGGCCAGCTGGGCGCACCCTGCCCTCCTCAGCCCAGCTGACACTGTCTCCACGGGCAGGGGTGCGGCATGGAGAGCCAGGCGGAGTCGGGACCCGCAGCGGCACTGCCTGTCTAACTTCCCTAGAGATCAGGGCTGTCAGGATCTTGTGGCTGCTTATGCCTCCAGGGGTGTGTGTGCTTCGCATGTGTGAGGCCCCGGGTTCGAGTTCCCCCTGGGTCCAGGCAGAAGTAGCCTGTGGAGGTCCCGTTTAAGTGGACTGTGCGCCGTCCATCAAATAGACTGAGTGTCTTCTTCCCTGCCAGGGCCCGCCGGGGGAGGGGGGTCTGCTTCAGGCTGGGGACGAGGGGATTTTCCTCAGCACCCTGGGCGCTTATGTTCTGGAATCCTTTGACAGAAAGTGGAGGACGGGGGGTTTCTGGCACTCCTTGAGCTATGTGGAGGTTTTCCTGGGTACCATGGCGGCTTTTGAACTTCGAAAGTTGTCTGCTCACTGCGTCTGAGGGCTCCCCAGGAGTGGGCCCCGTGGCACGTGGGGCTTGGGCCCTCCTTATGTGGGTCCAGCCAAGCAAGGGGTTTCTCTGCACTCGGGTAAGATAGCGGGTGTGCAGGACTAAAAGCGTTCGGAGCTGTTCGGATGACGGAGACAAGAGATGGATCTCGCGCTGCAGGTGCCGTGGGCCAGGCCGTCCGGGAGCTGGCGCGACTCGCCTGCCCAGACTTGCTGGTCCTTGGGAGTTACTCGGCATCACTCGTCAGATTAGTCCTGAATTGTACTTTCTTTTTTCTGTTTTGGGTCATACCTGGCGATGCTCAGGGGTTCTTCCTGCCTCTGCACTCAGGAGTTACTCCTGGCGGTGCTCAGGGGACCCTGTGGGATGCTGGGAATCGAACCTAGGTTGGCCGCATGCAAGGCAAACGCCTTCCCCGCTGTGCTATCGCGCTGGCCCCAAGTTGTAACTTTTTTAAAAGCGGATTTTCTATTCCTTGTGAAGGGTGTGAAAAGCACAGAATTCTAACGTTCCGTCATCCGTTTCCAAAATGACGTGCGGGCGGCGGCCTGTGCTGGAGTGAGGCGTGGACGGGCACGGAGCCAGCCAGCCCGGCCATGGTCCTCGGGCCTCCTCGGGAGGGGGGACGTGCGGAGACGGCTGCCCTCTAAGGCATAGGCCCTGCCCTGTTTGTCCCTCCGTAGGGCCTGTATCTCTCTGGGGTCCAGGACACGAGCCATCGGGAATGCAGCAAAGAGCCAGGTAAGCTAGCACAGGGGGTGCGGTGGGGGGCTCCCAAGGGCCCAGGGGGGCCAGCCAGGGAGGAGTCGCCAGGACAGGCTGCAGGGCTTGGGATCCCTCGAGTGCAGCACTGCGCCCCAGGCTGATGGCCTGCGGGGTGGGGGGACCTCTCTGGGGCCACTCAACAGGACGCGTCTGCTCTCTGCCACTGGACTGTGGTCCCCAAACACATGTCGCGTTTGTGCCGAAACAGCCCCCCTGCCCAGCCGTGATCCACCGTGCTGGTGGGACCAGCCTCTGCCTGCATCCGATGCCCCCGTCCATAGCAGTGTCCAGTGGCCGCACACAGTCCAGCAGTTCCTGACCAATGCCCTGTGGCCTGTTTGGGCCATGTGCAGGACTGCAGGACACAGTCCAGCCTAAGGAAGCACTCGGTGGCCCAGACACGCTCGGAAGGGACTGCCCTTCTCTGCCCACGCAAGCAGTGTTGGGACATGGGCTGCTCGGGGAGCCAGACCCTGGGGGACAGGTGGGGCAGTGACCGCTGCGTCCAGCTTAGGAGGGGCAGGAAGGGGCAGAGACCCTCAGCTGAGCCGAGTGGGCGGGACAGCAGAGATCCTTGGGAACTTGGGCTCTGTTCTTTTTGAAAGACACGTCCTTCTAGGGCCAGAGTGAGCTGCACCCGTTCTTCCCGTCCAGTTTGACTCCGGGTGTTCCTAGTGGGGGGAACCCTTGGTGTCCCCAAGCGTTAGTTAGCTGGGCTCATTCTGCGTTTGTTCGAGTTGCTAAACCCAAACCTTGCTCCGACAGATAGTCACGAACGTACGGAATACCCTCCATGGCTTCAAGAAGCTTCACGGGCGCTCCTTCGACGACCCCATCGTGCAGACAGAGAGGGTCCGGCTCCCCTACGAGCTGCAGCGCATGCCAAACGGCAGCGCGGGGGTGAAGGTGAGCCCACAGCCGCCTCTGCCGTGGCTGCCTCCAGGGTAGGGAGAGGGGTCGGGGCAGTGTCATAGACGTGATAGCGGGGGCGGCAGCGACGCCACTGAGAGGGTCTCTCATCAAGCAGCACTTTCCCGCCTGAGAGAGTCATTCTGGGGCCTGGGTGACTCGGGCTAGAAGCACGTGCCTTACGAGCGAGCTGCCCAGCTTGGTTCCCTGCTGCCCGCGGCTCTGGGCCCAGGGGTGTGTGACCTGGCCAGCTCATGCGCAGGGCCCCCCACGCAGTGCGCACGAGTCTCCTAGCAGCTCTGGGGAGGGAGCCCTCTAGGGGCCTGGGTGCGATGGCCCGCCCTGGGCACCAGCACTGCTGAGCTCTGCGGGGAGACTGCACAGAGAGCGGGGTCTGGGAGACTGCACAGAGAGCTGAGTCGGGGAGACTGCACAGAGAGCGGGAGTTGGGGAGCGGCACCAAAAGGGAGATCAGCGATTGCAGAAAACCCTGGAGCTGGAGCTATGGCACAGTGGGGAGGGCACTTAGCCAACCTGGATTCAGTCGCCGGCATCCCACAGGGTCCTCCCCACAGCTCTACCAGGAGTGATCCCTGAGTGAAGAGTCAGGAGTGACTCCAGCCTCCCTGGGTGTAACCCAAATAACAAAAAAAATTTTTTTCAAAAGTCTTTTCCAGGGGCTGGAGCAATAGCACAGTGGGTAGGGCATTTGCCTTGCACGTGGCCAACCTGGGTTCGATTCCCAGCATCCTGTATGGTCCCCTGAGCACCACCAGGGGTGATTCCTGAGTGCAGAGCCAGGAGTAACCCCTGTGCATCGCTGGGTGTGACCCAAAAAAAGCAAAAAAAAAAGTCTTTTCCAGTAGCTCAGGATGGGAGAGCAGCGTTGGGTGCGTGAGCGGGAACCAGAGGCAGGGCTGGCGCTAGTGCCCGTGTCCCTGCTGACTCAGAGCCCGAAACACCGAGACGCCTGCTGCTGTCCACGTCGGGGGATACGGAAGTTTCCTTCTGCCCTGATGTTTTATTCCCTTCTCCCAAAATGGTGCGGTGGAAGCGTTTTATCCCAGACGGAGTTTGGGCTTTGAGAGAGACGATGGCCCGTCCCTCACCCCTGGGCGGAGCGGGGGCTGTGGGGAGGACAGGCTGCCCGGTCACTGCCCTCTCGCCTCAGGTGCGGTACCTGGAGGAAGAGCGGCCGTTTGCCATCGAGCAGGTCACCGGGATGCTGCTGGCCAAGCTGAAGGAGACGTCGGAGAACGCCCTGAAGAAGCCGGTGGCCGACTGCGTGATCTCGGTCAGCCCCTTCCCGCCCGGGGGCCAGCTTGGGACTCAGCCTCTCCCTGGGTCACGTCTGATTAAGAGAGAGACCACCTTATGTGGTGGAACGTGGAGTTTGGTCAATAACTGAGCGTTAAAATAGGCCGGGGCTGGGGTGCTCCCAGGGAGTCGCTGTGGGTATGAGCCCCACGGCCCCCAGACCTGAGCTCCCGCTCCTGTGGCCTCCCAGACAGAAGCGACCGTGGCGCCAGGGGGACAGCAGTGGGTGGACGCTGTCCTGTGCTCAAGGGCCCACCCCGACACTGCTGGGTACCAAGCGGGAGGGCAGGTAGGGGCGGGCCTCCCCCAGGAGACCCTCCAGCCTGCAGTAGCCCCCAAACACGACACGCCTGAAGGGTGATTGGCATTTTATAGGTGTTAAGCCACAACCGTGGAGTAAGTCGTACTGACCCAGTTGGACAGACCAGAGAGTTGAGACTCGGTGACTTCCGTGAGTTGCCCCAAATGAGGAAAGGCAGGTTGGAGTGGAGTGAGGTGATGGGGCCATCGCCGGCGGTGGCGTCCGGAGCGGGTGCAGCCTCCTTGAGGGGCAGCCCTGGGCCATCTCGGCCGGGAAGAATGGACCGGAGTTCCCTGGGCTCCTTCTCGCCCCCAGAGGCTCACAGGACTCGGTGAGAGGCTGCGGCTGACCCAGACCCTGTCTCCTCTGAGGGAGCCTCAGAGGGCAGGGCTGGCGGGATAGAGCACACAGCCGCCAGCCCCAGCCCGGGGCCGCCCCGCCAGGAGGGTCCCCGAGTGCTAGGGGGGGCCCCAAGCCCGAATGAAATAAGTATCAGCTAGACGAGGTTTGTTCGTTCAACCACAAAAAGCTGGATCAGAGAGACAGTACAGGGCGCTGAACTACGGCCTCACCGCTCCTCTCAGCACCACCGACGCTCCCCCAGGCACAAGCAGGAGAGACCCTGAGCCGACTGGCTGTGCCCCGGGAGCACACGCCGGGCAGATTCCGCAGGAGGGTTCTCGGTGGAGCGACCCCAGGCCTTTTTGTATGAGCCCCCTTACCCTGGGGAGCCCACGCTCTGGGTTCCCTAAGGCCACCTTGGAAACAGCTGTCAGCCTCAGGGCCATGCTGCTCTGAGCCCGCTCCACCACGCTGTGTGTGCGGGAACTCGCACCCGGGGCCTCGCGCGCACAAGGCCGCGTTCCAGACCCAGAGTCTGACTCTCTTCATGTTTTGGCGGGATTTTAAAAGAAATGGGGCAGGGCTGGAGTGATAGCACAGCAGGTAGGGTGTTTGCCTTGCATGTGGCTGACCCTGGTTCGATTCCCAGCATCCCATATGGTCCCCCAGCACAGCCAGGAGTAATTCCTGAGTGCATGAACCAGGAGTAACCCCTGTGCATCGCCGGGTGTGACCCAAAAAGCAAAAAAATAAATAAAAAATTTTAAAAAAATAAAAGAAACGGGGCCCCTATCCACGCTTCAGAGGCTCTTCTGAGGTCCCTTGGGGGTGGGAGAGACGCGCTCGGGAAGTGGGCCGTTGGCACGTCGACCTGACCTGCGCTGCTTCAGCCGTGTGTTCAGCCTCATTATTAAAGATGAGCACAGGGGCTGGAGCGATAGCACAGCGGGGAGGGCGTTTGCCTTGCTGCGCCCGACCTGGGTTCGATCCCCAGCATCCCATAGGGTCCTCCCAGCACCGCCAGGAGTGATTCCTGAGTGCAGAGCCAGGAGGAACCCCTGTGCATCGCCGGGTGTGACCCAAAAAGAAAAATGAAAAAAGATGAGCACATACCTTTTCTCCTCTATCAGATCAAGACAGTCCTTCCATGAGTCTAGTCTGAGAATTCTGCAACATTAGTCCATGTCGTGACGTCAGTGGTGTTCGTACTTACAACTGCACCAGAGGGAAAAGCTTCTCGGGTAGAAACTGCCCAGCAGGAGGGCCGCCGCGGTGGCACAGCTGGAGCCGGGCCTCATCGTCAGCCCCCAGACTGACCCTGAGCCCGGGGGCTGGCAGCCCAGCTCTCTGGCCGGAGCGCCGTCTGCTGCCCTCGCTGTCGGCTCCCCTCAGTGCGACGTTGGGCGTTTCAGGCTGGTGAGAGACTGAGTGTAACCTGCTGCTCCTCCCCATGTCTCGGCAGATTCCGAGCTTCTTCACGGACGCAGAGAGGAGGTCGGTGATGGCTGCCGCCCAGGTGGCTGGTCTGAACTGCCTGCGGCTGATGAACGAGACCACAGCAGGTGAGCGAGGCCGTGTCCCCAGGGCGGCGCCCTGCCCTCCCTCACCGCCACAGGCCCCGGCCACGCCAGCCCCTTTGCAGCTGCCGAGTCCGGCCACCTCGGCACCTGGTCCTCCCTCTCAGCTGCCCCTTTGGAAACGGCTGTTCAGTGTCTACAGCTGCCTGGTTTTTTAATCAAAAACATACTGGCAGGGGCCGGAGTGAGAGCACAGCAGGGAGGGCGTTTGCCTTGCATGTGGCCGACCTGGGTTCGATTCCCAGCATCCCATGTGGTCCCCAAACACTGCCAGGAGTAACCCCTGTGCATCTCCGGGTGTGACCCCAAAAGCAAAAAAAACCCACATATTGGCCGAGTCCTGACAGACTACAAGAATTGTTCATATCGTACAGGTGTTGGAACATTAGCCAAAATTAACAAAACTCCCTGTCCCTAAAATAGCGATTGGTGCCGTCGGGCCCCTCGCCAAGCGGAGGTGTCCCGGCTCCCCTCTGCCGCCGTCCCGGGCCCCGGCGGGCAGTGACCCCCGTTGCCCTCCCTCCCGCAGTGGCACTGGCCTACGGGATCTACAAGCAGGACCTTCCGTCGCTGGAGGAGAAGCCGCGGAACGTCATCTTTGTCGACATGGGGCACTCTGCCTACCAGGTCTCCGTCTGTGCGTTCAACAAAGGGAAACTCAAAGTGAGTAGACGAGATCCACGTGGGTGGGTGGCCGAGGGGGCTGCGGGGGGCAACGACCCCCGAGCCCCAGCCCCTGGGGCCAAGTCCTGCTCACCGGGGCCCGGGCCCCTCCCAGGAGGGTCGTGTGGCCGACCCCTGCCTGGCACTCGGCTGGAGGGCCCGTGAGTCGCCTGGACGCCTGCTGGGCGGGGCAATGCCGAGGGCCGGCTCAGCTCCCGGGCGCCCACACAGGCGCGGGGGCATCCGGGCAGCTCCACGCCGCTCTCTGCTGTCCTTTGGAACCTTCCTGAGGACTGGGTCTGGCGGGCATGGCTGCCCCGCATGCATGGCCTGCCCCGTCCCTGCCTGCCCGCTCACTCACACCCACCAGAGGGACTCGGCACCACTCAGCCACGAACTGGGCAACCTGGGAGAGGCAGCTCAGTCTCAGCACCATCCCCCCTGCCACGGCCAAGGGGAGGGGGGGGAGGCAGGAAACGGGAGCCGTCAACCATCAACTGGGAGTGGACACCGCCCCAAGGGCAAAAGCCCACCCCAGGCTTCTGCCGGGCTCACCGTCCCACACCCCTTGTGCTGGGTCCGAGAGGAGAGAACATTCCTGATGGCCTCTGATGCCAGGAGCAGAGGACAGACGCACTGAAACATCCCGATACACGGACACGAAGATCCTCGACAAAATCCTAGCAGACCAAGTTAGCAAAGCAAAAGGCTCGCACACCCTGGCCAAGCGGGACGGTTCCAGGAACGCAGACGGTTGTAGGCGCAGACGAGTCAACATCGTCCACCGTCTCGGCCAGAGGTCGGTCAGCGCGTGAGCACGTCTAGATGCAGAGAGAACTTAGGCCAGAATCATCGCCCGTTCGTGATAAACGCCTCGCTTGCCTCGGGGCAGTCGGGGCCAGTCGCAGCCCACACGGCCCACCCGAGTCGGCGTGCTTCTCCCCACGCGGCCACCGCAGCTGAGGACGGCCTGGCTCAGACACGAGAAGGAAATCAGAGGGGTCCAGAGCGGAAGAGTCTCTCAGGCGCCACGGAGGGTCCAGAAGACCCTCCTGAAGAGCTCTTAGTTCTGTGACTATGGAAGTGACTTCACTGTTGTAGACTGTGAGGCCCCAAGTGAAAATAGACTTAAAACCAGTGACTCAGAAACAACCCGTAGAGCAAAAGTAGCAGACGACAAAAGCAATACACAAAAGTCTGTTGCATTTGTACATGCAAATAACCGATTCTTCTTTAAAACCACCCCATCTGGTCCTCTGCCTCCTGAGTTGGTTGATGGTGGGACAGCAAAGCACCCCAAGAGGGGGGTCGTGGGTCATTATGTGAAGGAGATGGGTGAACCGGCACTCCACGTCCACCTGCGCCTTCTGCGGCGAGCCCAGGGTGAGGAGACGGGCCGTGCATCTGCGCAGGAAACCGGTAGGGGGCCGGGGGTATCTGAAAGATGGTCAGCCCGTAATAGACCGCGGGTAGACAGCCCCATTTAGGGAACTCGAGCAATAGCACAGCGGGGAGGGGTTTGCCTTGCGTGTGGCTGTCCCAGGTTCGATTCCCAGCGCCCCATATGGTCCCCCGAGCACCGCCAGGAGTAATTCCTGAGTCAGAGCCAAGAGGAACCCCTGAGCATCGTTGGGTGTGACCCAAAAGGAAAAAAAAATGAGTGGCCACTGGCTGTGGGGCACTCTGAGAAATGGGCCTTCCCTCCCCGTTGCCAAGACGGTCGTCTGCTTCAGCCTCTGGAAAACAGTATGGAGATTCTCAGGAAGGAATTAGGGGCGAGAGACCGCACAGCGGGAGGCCTTGCACCGGAGTGCTCCCCCCCCAAATCAGGAGTGATTCCCAGGTACAGAACCAGGAGTGAGCCCTGAGCTGGGCAAACCCCATCCCCCACTCACCCCACCCCCCAGAAAAAAGAAAAAGAAGAAAAGAATTGTGTTCTGACAAGCGATTTCATTTCTTGGCCTTTACCCTCAAAACACAAAAGCAGAGGCCAGAGAGCTGGTGCGGGGGTCAGCGGCATCTGCCTGCCCGACTGTTGGATCCAGTGCCGTGAGTGTCTCCTGGACACGGCCAGGAGTGGACCCTGAGCACACCCGGGGTGGCCAGAAAACAGTGACCACGGTCACTGCATGTCCGCCTGCAGATGAGTGACCAGGCGTGGCGCACACACAGGGGCGGGGAACTGCCAACAGGGACGGTGAGCTTTGGCAGTTCCTGCAACTTGGATGGAACTGGGGAGTATCCTGTTGCGCCAGAATAAGTCAGAAGGAGAAAGACAAACAAACACAGCATTGTCTCTGGCAGAGCCGGAGCGGCAAAGCAAGGGCCTCTCTCGCTGGGAGACGACAGACACTTGGCCCTGACTCAGAGCTGAGGCCTCCGAGCGCCAGAGGGCCGCTGTGGAGGGACGGGGCGTTGGTGCTGGGGTTCAGGAACTGCATCAAGGCCTGAGTGTTGACACCCCTCAGGCACGTCACTCGGTCACTCTGACAGTACCCCGGTTCCTGCTCTGTGACTGAACCAGTTGCGGTATTTCAGATCTTACCCCTGGATTTTGGCCTTTGTGATCATCTAACCGGGTAACTTACTTACTCCCTTAAATGTGATTCTTAGAATACCGCGGGTAGGGCACTTGGCTTGCAGGCCGCCAAACTCGCTTCAATCCCTGCACCCCCGGTGGTCCCCCAGCCTGCCAGGAGCGATCCCTGAGCACAGAGCCGGGAGTCAGCACGCAGCCCGGTCCCCCTGGTCGCCAGCAGGTGTGACCCCAGACCGGAGAGTGCAGAGGCGTGCTCTTGGCTGGGCTTCCTTTCCTTGCTGTGGCGGGGGTGAGGAGACCGTGTTTTCGTGTGAGTCAGTGTCTCGACGCCGGATTCTCTGTGGGTTGCAGGGCGGACTGCCCCGGCCGCGCTCCCCACGGGTGACTGACTGGCCACAGCGATCCCAGGCTTCGCACCCGGCCGCCGGGACGTGCCCTTGACTCTGAGTTTCCGTTTGCGAACTGTGCTCGGCCGATTTCCTGAACCCCGAGTGTTTCTGAGGCCCGTGCCGCCCCCACACACAGGTCCTGGCCACCACCTTCGACCCCTACTTGGGCGGCAGGAACTTCGACGAGGCTTTAGTGGACCACTTCTGTGACGAGTTCAAGGCCAGGTACAAGCTCAGCGTGAGGGAGAACTCGCGGGCGCTGCTGCGCCTGTACCAGGAGTGCGAGAAGCTGAAGAAGCTGATGAGCGCCAACGCCTCGGACCTGCCGCTCAACATCGAGTGCTTCATGAACGACCTCGACGTGTCCAGCAAGATGAACAGGTGCGGCCCGGGTGTGGCCGGGGGGGGGGGGGGGGGGGCGGCCGTGCTCAGAGCAGCAGGAACGGTGCCTCTGCTCTCTCCCAGGGCTCAGTTCGAGCAGCTGTGCGCCTCCCTCCTGGCCAGAGTCGAGCCGCCCCTGAAGGCGGTGCTGGAGCAGGCCAGTAAGTGGGGTCCCCGCGGGGCGGCAGAGACGGGGTGGGCGCGGCGAGAGCCCCCGGCCCACGCCCCTTCCCGCGGCCCCCGGCCAGCCAGGCCGTCCTCCCCAGTGCGCCCTGTCGTCTCCCAGGCCTGCAGCGGGAGGACGTCAACAGCATCGAGATCGTGGGGGGCGCCACGCGGATCCCCGCCGTCAAGGAGCGCATCGCCAGGTTCTTCGGGAAGGACGTGAGCACCACCCTGAACGCCGACGAGGCCGTGGCCAGAGGCTGCGCCCTGCAGGTCCGTGGCAGCGCCTCCCTCTGAGGCCCTCCCTGGAGGGGGTCAGCCCGTGTCCCCACGCATCTTCCCGCCCCGGAGCCCCGTGGGCAGCCCCGGGCTCAGTCCCGCTCGCTCGCTCGCGAGAGCAGGTGCAGATGCAGCTCTCGGCGGGATTCAGCTGTAGGTCACGGCCGGGCCGGCCTGGTGCTCTCCGCCTGTTTGCCTGGGGCCGCGCCCGCCCGTGCTGGGGCCACTCCTCGGGAGGGACCCGGGCCTGCGCGAGGCTGAGCCCTGCCGCCTTGCCTTCCAGTGCGCCATCCTCTCGCCCGCCTTCAAGGTGCGCGAGTTCTCCATCACCGACCTCGTGCCCTACTCCATCACGCTGCGCTGGAAGACCTCTTCCGAAGACGGGGCCGGGTAGGTCCTTCGCAGTGACGGGGTTCCGTTCCCAGCCGCGGACTCGCAGAGGGTGACCGTCTGCAAGCCGTAGAGTGTGTTTTGACAAGTCTCACCCTGGAGACGTTACTGGGCCCGCTTGAGCAAATCGATGAACAACAGGACAGTGACAGTGACAGTATAGATTGATTGATTGATTGATTGGTTTTGGCCTCCACCTGGTGATGCTCAGGGGTTCTTCCTGGCTCTGCACTCGGGAATTACTCCTGGCGGTGCTCGGGGGACCATATGGGATGCTGGGAATCGAACCCGGATCAGCCGCGTGCAAGGCAAACGTCCTCCCGCTGTGCTCTCTGCCCTCGTATAAATTTATTTTAAAATGAAAACCAGCGCAGGGTGTGAACCCTGCAGACCTGACCTGCTCTCCCTGCCTCTCAGGCCTGACCGCCGCCAAGGGCGTGCTCAGTCGCAGTCCTTTCCCTTCTCTCAGCAGACTCGGGGCTGCGCTCGGGGCTCCCGGTGGGGCACGGGGGACCACATGTGATACTGGGAATCAAAGCTCAAACCCAGGTCGGTGTCGGGCCAGGCAGGCGCCCTCCCTGCTGCGCTCTGGCTTCTGAGGCGCAGACTCGCTGCCGCTGTGCTCGTGGCGGGACGAGGGGACTCCGGTGCTGCAGGAGCGGCCGAGTGCTCTGGGTGATAGGGCGGTGCTGGCTGACCCGGCAGGAGCCTCAGACAGCTGCAGCGTGAAGCTGAACCAGGGAAGCCGCATTTGGGGCCGGCAAGAGTGCGGCGGGGAAGCCCCGTGCCTTCCTCTCCCCCAGCCTGGGTTCCTTCCCGCACCACGTGGTCTCCTGAGCCCACCAGGTGTCAGCCCTGAGCACAGAGCCGAGAGTCAGCCCCGAGCACAGAGCCGGGAGTGAGCTCCGAACACAGAGCTTGGAGTGAGCCCCGAGCACAGAGCTTGGAGTCAGCCCCGAGCACAGAGTTAGGAGTCAGCCCCGAGCACAGAGCCTAGAGTCAGCCCCGAGCACAGAACTGGGAGTCAGCCCTGAGCACAGAGCTGGGAGTCAGCCCCGAGCACAGAGCCGGGAGTCAGCCCCGAGCACCGCTTGTCGTGCCCTCCCGCACCCCGCACCCCCACTCCCCACGAACATTTTTCTAAACAAATACTAACGTTGCAAAATCCTTTATTAAAAGAATGTGACAATGTGTATTTCTGTTACCGTTGCGTGAAATGAGCTGTTTTAGCTCATTTTTCATCGTCCTTTACTTTTAAGGTTCTAATAAAAAAAGAAAAACAGTGATTAAATTTGTTCCTGACTCCTGCGAGCTATAATCTCTCCTTTTCCAAATCAACATCTGTATTTTCTTTTCCACGAACAACTGTTTAGAACTCAGATAGCTGCTTCCATGCAAAAATAAACATTTGTGGGGCCGTAGTGATCACACAGCCTGTAGAGCATTTGCCTTTCACACGGCCAACCTGGGTTCGATTTCTGGCATCCCATATGGTCCCCTGAGCACCAGCAGGAGTGATTCCTGAGTGCAGAGCCAGGAGTAAGCCCTGAGCATCGCCGGGTGGACCCCAAAACAAAACAAAACAAAAACACATCTGTTTAAAATACTGTATTTGGTAGGTTTTCAGTAGTATGGTGTGTGCAACAAAATAACCCTGTATTTAGGTTTTGAAGTTGGTTTTAAACTTTTCTTTAAAAAAAAAAAAGCGAGTTTTTTTTTTCTTTGCTATCTGAAACAAGTCCTCATCCAGTGCATTTGGCTGGAGAGAAAATACAGCAGAAAGGGTGTTTGCCTTGCACGCGGCGCCCAGTTCCATCCCGACATCCCATCCGGTCCCCTAACCCTGGGCACCTCCAGGAGTGATTCCTAAGTGCAGATGGCCCAAAATTCAAAAATAAATTTTAAAAAACTTTTTTTTTCTAAAGACATTCTTGTCCCAAGAAGTTGCAAATTTTTGCTGACTTTAGAAATAGAAAAAAAAGTTTTTACACATTATTAAGTGCCCCCTGTGCTTGTCAATTTTGAGGCAAGTAAACCAGTTAAAGGAGTTCCAGAAAAGAGGCATAAGGAAAGCTCGGGGCCCGTGTGACAGCGGCCAGCGGCACCCTGGCGGGCTGCACGGAGGGGAGGGGGCTGCGGACGCTGGCGCTTGGGAGGGGCCAGGGGTGGGCAGTGTTTGCTGGGCACAGCGGGGCCAGGGTCTGTGCCCACATGGACCACCGGGGGTCAGCGCGCGCCAGGCCTGTCCTGGCCCAGTTCTGTGGCTTCATTTCCACAGTAGAGGCTACGCCGCCCCCCTCGTGTGCGTCCAGCAGTGGGCGCGTGGGCAGGGGACGCGCAGGGCTGCCGCAGAGCGAGGCCGGGTCCCGGGGTCCTCACGGGCTTCTTCTCGCCTGCGCAGGGAGTGCGAGGTGTTCAACAAGAACCACCCGGCCCCGTTCTCGAAGGTCATCACTTTCCACAAGAAGGAGCCGTTCGAGCTGGAGGCCCTGTACACGCACCTGCACGAGGTGCCCTACCCGGACCCCAGGATCGGTGAGTGCCCGCGCCCGGTGCTCCCCGGCAGTGCTCGGGTCTGGCCGCGAGAGGGCGTGTGCAGACGCCCGCGTCCCCGCTGTCGCCCTGCCAAGGAAGGACGGGAGCCCAGTCCCTGCGCCTGCTGGCCTGAGGCGGGACAGGCATGGCCGGGGCCACTGCCCTGGGCACTCCCTGGGCCTGTGTGGACGAAGCCCCTCGGGGCGGGGACCTGGCCGGGCGCCGTCTACTGGCCGTGGAGGCCCGGTGTGCGGCTCACAGGGGCCTCAGCGCCGCTTCTCTGCGGGCCACTTTCTGTCTCGGGATCTTTTGAGAAATCAGACATGCGTCGGTCTCTTGAAGTGAAAATTGACCCCTAGCGAGTTTAGGAGCTGGGTAGCTAAGTGATTTTGCTGCAGGATGAATCCAGAACGTATTTTGAGTGCTTCGTGTCTGATTTACCAAGAAAGCTATTTTTGTAGAGCTTAAAGCGAAGGGCGCTGTGCTGAGAGTACAGCCGGCTCCGTATCCGACGCCGCCCGTTGTCCCACAGGCCCCCCCAGGAGTGGCCCCCAGCACGGCCAGGGCAGAGCCAGACAAAAGGGGGCTGTCGTTTGTGTCCAGGCCCAGATTTTGTTACCTTGGTTTTGGAGGAGAAACATTTAAAGTACTTGAAAGCTGGGTCCAGAGCTGGAGAGGCACTTCTGCCTGCTGAGTGCCCCTCAGAGAGCACAGGTCGCCGAATACCCCCAGGGAGCACGGACCCCTGGCCTCAAAGATGGCCCCTGAGCCCCAGGGAGCATGGGCCCTGACCCCAGAGCACAGCCCCTGACCCCCAGAGCACAGCCCCTGTTGCCCAGAGCATGGCCCCTGACCCCAGAGCACAGCCCCTGACCCCAGAGCACAGCCCCTGACCCCAGAGCACAGCCCCTGTTGCCCAGAGCACGGCCCCTGACCCCAGAGCATGACCCTGACCCCAGAGCACAGCCCCTGACCCCAGAGCACAGCCCCTGACCCCAGAGCACGGCCCCTGACCCCAGAGCACGGCCCCTGACCCCCAGAGCACAGCCCCTGTTGCCCAGAGCATGGCCCCTGACCCCAGAGCACGACCCTGACCCCAGAGCACAGCCCCTGACCCCAGAGCATGACCCTGACCCCAGAGCACAGCCCCTGACCCCAGAGCACAGCCCCTGACCCCCAGAGCACAGCCCCTGTTGCCCAGAGCACGGCCCCTGACCCCAGAGCACGACCCTGACCCCAGAGCACAGCCCCTGACCCCAGAGCACAGCCCCTGTTGCCCAAAGCACGACCCCTGACCCCAGAGCACGGCCCGTAGGCCCCGGGCAGCGGCGGGAAGGGGTGGGCTCAGTGCTCAGGAGACTTCCCGGGCTGGGTGTGACCCCGCCACTTCCCGTCCCAGGCAGCGCTGGGCGGGCGGGGGGTTCTGTCTGCGTCTGACGCCGTGGGCGTCCCGAGGTCCCACACTGACGGAAGCTCTTTCTTTCTGAAGGGAGCTTCACTATTCAGAATGTCTTTCCACAGTCTGACGGCGACAGCTCCAAAGTGAAGGTCAAGGTGCGCGTCAACATCCACGGCGTCTTCAGCGTGGCCAGCGCGTCCGTGGTCGAGAAGCAGATTGTGGAAGGGGACCACAGCGACATCGCCATGGACACGGAGAGCGCCTGCAAGGGCGACAGGGAGGACGCGGTACGTGGACACTCGGCGTGAGCCGCGGCTATGCCCCCCCCCCCGGCACCCGCTGTCCAGTGCTCAAACCCGCGGCTCTCGGGCCCACCGAGCAGTCGGACATGGGGCGCTGGGGGGGGGGGGGGGCAGGACCTCGCCAGTGCCCCCACGGTCAGGGCAGCGGCAAGCAGAGGGGGCCGGGCCCAGCGATGGCCCTGGTCACACACACGCACCCACCGGCACTCACTCTTCCAGTCCCTGCTGTTGCCTGGTGGCCCCGAGTGCGGCCCGAGCAGTCACTCCTGTCCCAGGTCCTCTCTGGCCCGTGTGTCCGTGTGACACTTAGACCCACAGTCACCCCATCCTTCTGCCCAGCCTGAGGACGAGTTTCTGTCCTGCCATCCCTGTGGCAGTGGGTGGGCAGGTTTCTGACCCGTTGGCCCGATGCCAGGCAGCAACTTTCCTGGCCGTGACTCTTGGGGACTCGGGGGCTCCCAGCGTCTCCGGGCATCTGTGGAGCAGAGACCCTACAGTCCAGATGCTGCCCTGACCCACAAACTCCCTGGCGTGGCCCCCGCGGGCCCCCAGTCTGTGTGGGCAGGTCGGTGAGGGGCGAGGCACGTCTTGCCGCCCTGCCCCTCCCCCAACCTGCCAGGAGCGTCGAGGGCCCAGGCAGCGAGGGCAGGTGGGCCGGTGCTCTCCGACCCGACCCCGGGAGGGAGAAAGAAGCACCTGGTGCTCGGCGCTCGGTGCTCGGGGCCTGCGGGCTGGGGGGCGGCTGGGGGAGGCCTCCCACGGGCAGGCGCCTCACCCCTGCTCCGCCCGCCCGCCTTGCTTGCTTCCAGGATAAGATGCAGGTGGAGCAGGAGGACGGAACGCAGCCGAGGGGCCACGCGGAGCACACGCCAGAGGAGGATGCGGCCCACGCGGGCGCCCCTGGGAAGGTGGGCCGGGAGCTGGTGTTCGGGGTGAGGGTCGCGGCTGGGGCCAGGCTGGGCCTGTGAGCGGGTCGGGGCTGACGCTGGCCCTCGGCTCCAGGCCCGGCATGAGCTCTGAGCACCGCGGGTGGCCCCCGGGTGAAGCCCGTTCCAGGGGTTGCCTGTGCGGAGTCGCAGGAGGCTTTGGGTTCCGCGCCGTACTGGGGCGGGCAGGGTCCCTCGGTGAGGTGACGTGAGGCAAACCCTCGACTCTCAAATCATCAAAAACATGACGCTTGTTGACTCAGCTCTCAGCACGAGCAGTTTGGGGGTGGGGGCACTCGGGGGCCACAGCCGGTGGTGGTCGGGTCTGACTCCGGGCTCCCTGCTTGGTGGCCACTCCTGGCAGCACTCGGGCGACCGTCCAGGGTGTCAGGGGTCGGACCCAGGGGGCCACACGCAAGGCGAGCGTCTTGCCCGCTGGGCCATTGCTCCAGCCTGGGCACTTCTTGCTTTGAAAGCCGGTGGGCTCTGGGGCCGGAGCGAGCGGGCAGGGCCCTTGCCTTGTCCACAGCCGCCCGTTCCCATCCCGGCATCCGGTATGGTCCCCCGCACCCTCGAGGGATCCTGAGCACTGCCGGGTGCAGCCAAACCAGGAGCAAACAGACACAAAGCCTGAGGCTAAGATTCCTGAGGCGGTGCCCGGGGCCCGCGGTCAGCCCACAGCTGCTGGGCCGTGTGCCCGCCACCCCCAGGAAGCCTCTCCTATTGGCAGACAGACCCCCAGCCGAGCCTCAGCCCAGTGGCCCCGCTACCCGGCGTCCCTGCACACGGCCCTCAGCACCTGCCTGCCCCAGGCTGCCCGGTGCTCACACCCATCGGGGGTCTGTGTGGCCCGTCTGCTGGCCGGGAGCCCCGGGGCCGGACGCCACTGTGGAGCTTTCCAAGCTAGTGCTGGACTCCACCCCCTGCCCACACTTGTCCCTGCCGTTCCCAGAGCCCAGGGGGCGTTTCCCTGGGGTCTGATTGTGCATTTCCGGTGTGACGTGTGACGTGAGTCGTGAGTCGGTGTCAGGGCCTGTTTGGGGCTGAGTGCCGGTGGCGGTGGCGGCAGTTCTGCACAGCGTGACTCCCACTGAAGCCATGTCTCCGGGTTGGGGCTGGAGCCAGAGCACGGCGGGGAGGGCGTTTGCCTTGCACGCGGCCGACCTGGGTTCGATCCGCAGCATCCCTTAGGGTCCCTCGAGCACCACCAGGAGTGATTCCTGAGTTGCAGAGCCAGGAGTGACCCAAAAAGAAAAAAAAAAAAACCTCCAGGTCTGCCGTGCTGGAGCTCACGCGCTTCTCCCTCCCGCAGGCGGCCTCGTCAGACAAGCAGGAGCGCGGGGCCCCGACGGCCAAGAAGGGGAAGGCGAAGAGCATCGACCTGCCCATCCAGAGCAGCCTGTGCGGGCAGCTGGGCCAGGACCTGCTCAACAGCTACATCGAGAACGAGGTCCCGCGCGCGCCCCTGGGCTCCCCGATCTCGCGGGCGGGCCGGACCCTCGGGTCTGGGACACGGAGAGTCCAGTCTGTCGGGCGGAAGCCCCTCGGCCCCTCGCCAGCCGCTGCTGCGGCCCCCAGAGCCGCACCGTGCCCCGAGCTGCCGCCTCCAGCCCCGACACCGTCCTCGGCCCTCAAGGAACGTGCTGTGGGGGCAGCGCGGGCAGCCCCGGTCACCTGGGCAGCTGCTGGGGCCCACGGCCTCCGTCTGCTCCTAGGGATGACGGGCATCCAGGCGGGGGTGCAGCCCATCCCCCTCTCATAGCAGGGTCAGGGACCAGGGGTCGGGGGTCAATGCCGCCTAGCTGCTCTCAGGGTCTGAGAGCCCGAGCGTGAGGCCAGGCAGAGGGGAGCCCAGGGCTCGGGGGACAGGGCCGCGTGTGCCCCGAGAGCTGCGCGTGCAGGCCCTGGAGCAGCATGCCCACCCGTCCTGCCCCTTGTTGGCAGCCAGCGTCCCCCCCCCCCATCCTGTGGGCCTAGGAGCCCTCGGTCCAGCGCCCTATGACCGGGCCAGACTCGGTTTCTCTCCTCCGTGTGCCTGGATGTACGGGCCGTCCGTCTCTCCGTGGCCAGCCCTGCGTGCCGTGGACAGAGCTGCGTGCACATGAGTCCGCAGCCCCTCGAGCCTGGTGTCAGCTGCTCTGGCTACACTTGGGGAGCGCTGGGGGCTGCTGGGATTCCTTGTTGGCGTTCTGAGGAACTGCCGGGCTTCTCCGCGCCGGGGCGGGGGCGGCCTTGGGTGCTGGTTTGGATTTCCGTTTCCCTGACCCAGTTCCCTCATGGCACTTTCTGAACAGGGCAAGATGATCATGCAAGATAAGCTGGAGAAGGAGAGAAACGACGCCAAGAACGCCGTGGAGGAATACGTGTATGACTTCAGGGATAAGCTGGGCACCACGTACGAGCCGTTCGTCACTCCTGAGGTGAGTGTGTGGGTGTGGCTGGGGAGCAGCTGGCCTCAAGAGAGGCACCCACACCCGGTCCAGGAGGGTGTCAGTCTCCTGAGGGCAGGGAGAGAGGTGGGGAGGGAGAGAGAGAGAGAGTGAGGGGGAGAGAGAGAGAGTGTGTGTGTGGGCGCGCGCGTGTGTGTGTGAGCATGGCAGGAGGAAGCTTACTGCCTCACAGGCAGCTGGCACTGGTGCAGGAAGGTCGTCAGTCTGAGGGGACAGAGTATGGCCAGTTCTACGTGGCTGCATCTGATCAGCTTTAGAAAGGCGAGATTTATTATGATCATACATGTACCAAATGCAGCATCTCCGTCATTCTTCATGAGCACATTGGGTTTGAAAGGTTCATAATTTTAAAGCTTCTAAACTGCAGTAGAATGGTGAAAGTGTGTTTATAAGTAAAAAGTCAGAAAAATCTTAAGTCGTCAGAAAAACCTGAAATTTAGTCTTTCACACTGGTAAGATATTGTCTTTTATGACTTTTGATACTAAGCAAAGTATTTTTTAAATTAATCTCTCTTAAATGTGTCCATAGGATATAAATAAGCTGTCTGCTGTGTTAGAAGACACGGAAAATTGGCTTTACGAAGAGGGGGAGGACCAGCCTAAACAAGTGTATGTGGACAAGCTTCAGGAGCTGAAGGTAGGATGCCTGGAACCGTGAGACATCCTCGGGCGTCCGGGAAAGCCTTTCGGAAGGCGCCCTGCGGTCACATGACCACACGTACCGCCAGCGCGCACTGCTCGAGGGGCCCAGCCAGCTGCCACAGCACACACTCCCACACACAGACACACAGACACACAGAGAGACACACCCACACACAAATACATACCACATACACAGACACACCACACACAGAAGTACACACACCAGACACAGACACAGACACATAGACACACTCAGGCACACACACCACACACAAATACATACCACATACACAGACACACCACACACAGAAATACACACACCATGCACAGACACAGACACATAGACACACTCAGGCACACACACCACACACAAATACACTACATACACAGACACACCACACACAGAAATACACACACCAGACACAGACACAGACACATAGACACACTCAGGCACACACACCACACACAGACAAGACACACACACAGACACACACTCCCCCAGCCCCACACTGACGGGAGCTCTGGGGCTCCCGGGTGCCGCCAGGGGCCACCCCTGAGCAGCGCTGCCGAGGCGTGTGTGCGCGTGCGTGTGTGTCTGTGTCTGTGTCTCCTCCCTGGCTGTGCGGGCCAGTGCGGCTGCTCCATGCGCGTGCAGTGACGGCTCCTTCTCTTCCCCGTCCCTTCTGCTGACAGAAACACGGGCAGCCCGTCGCGGCGCGGCACGCGGAGCACGAGGAGAGGCCCCGGGCGCTGAACGACCTGGGCAAGAAGATCCAGCTGGCCATGAAAGTGCTGGAGATGCACAGGAGCAAGGTGCGGGCCTCGCGGCCGTGCCAGGCCGTGCCATGCCGTGCCAGGCGCCCGCCCAGGCCGCGGCGGGCGGGCAACTCAGTTCCGTTTCCTGATAGGATGACAGATACGATCACCTGGATCCCGCCGAGGTGGAAAAGGTCGAGAAGTACATCGGCGAAGCCATGGCGTGGCTGAACAGTAAGATGAACGCGCAGAACAAGCTGAGCCTCACGCAGGACCCCGTGGTGAGAGTCTCGGAGATAGTCGCCAAGTCCAAGGTGAGAGGATCAGCGGGAGGGCGCTCGCCACGCGCGGCTGAGCCAGGCTCGGGCCCCGGCGCCCCGGCAGGCCCCCGAGCCAGCCGCGAGTGAGCCTGCGCACACTCGGTGTGGACCCCTCCCCTGCCAACAACACACACACACACACACAAAGAAGATGAAGGGACCTATTCGATGGGTGTCGGCACTAGAGTTCGTTCATGGCAACCGTAACTTGAGAAATGGTCAACTTCCAGAAGAACTTAGCAAAAACAAAAATGTAAAGATAATCTCCCAAAGATTTTAAGCAGGATCTTGCGGAAAACTGTTTTTCCATGTGAGACAGGAAGGACCTGAGCAGGCTGGAGCCCCTGTCAAGAATTCCAGACAACTCATACCTCACACCACCCGGACTCCAAGAGTACTGCACCACATTTGATGGTGCTTAAGAGGCAGCCAATCTAAGAGGGAAATTTTATTTTTACAGATATATATGTATATATACGTACATATATACATACACACACATATATTGCACACAAGGCTCAACCTTTAACAACACGTTAGTGATCTCGTATAGAAGGGCTTAATGACCCTTGGGTGAGATATAACAATTTCCGCACTCTTTGCTCTAAGGAACCTTTTTTGTAGCATTTTCAGCGGTTTTGCATAACAGTAAAAGTAAAAAAGTAAAGGCCCTCCCGTTGATCATCGATTTGCTCGAGGGGGCCCAGTAACGTCTCCATTGGAGACTTTGTTGTTACTGTGTTTGGCATATCGAATACATCACGGGTAGCTTGCCAGGCTCTGCCATGTGGGCGAGATACTCTCGGTAGCTTGCCGGGCTCTCCGAGAGGGGCGGAGGAATCGAACTCGGGTCAGCCATGTTGGCCGCTTGTAAGGCGAACACCCTACCGCTGTGCTATAGCTGGTATAGCAGGTAAAGTACTTGCCTTGCATGTTGCCAACGTGAGCTCAATCCTTGGCACCCTATATGGACCCCAAAGCCCTCCAGGAGTGATCCCTGAAAGCCACACCAGGAATAAACCCTGAGCACCACCAGACATGGCCCCCAAACAAAACACTGTCACTGTCACTGTCCTCCTCTTGTTCATCGATTTGCCCGAGCGGGCCCAGTAACGTCTCCATTGGAGACTTTGTTGTTACTGTGTTTGGCATATCGAATACATCACGGGTAGTTTGCCAGGCTCTGCCATGCGGGCGCGATACTCTCGGTAGCTTGCCAGGCTCTCCAAGAGAGGCGGAGGAATCGAACTCGGGTCAGCCATGTTGGCTGCGTGCAAGGCAAACGCCCTACCGCTGTGCTATCGCTCCAGCCCAACATACTGTATGTACTGCATAACAGTACAAAATAAATTATTTCGGTTCTGCTTTGGGGCATGGGTTGGGGTTTGGGATGGAAACATCTGAAGTACGGCGGTGGAAAGGTGTAGTGGTGGTGGGATTGGTGTTCAAATATTAAACATCATCAAATATTGTCAACTACTTTAAAAATTAAAAAAAAGAAAAGAACTCCAGGCTCGGCCCGGAGCAGTTGGACAGCAGGTAGCCTCTGCCTTGCACGCAGCCCCCAGGAGGGGTGCCTCAGTGCAGAGCCAGGAGGACCCCCTGAACATCGCCGGCTGGGACCCCAAAAAAACAAAAAAAACGAGAAGAATTGCAGGCTCAGGGCGAGAGAGGCGGCAGCAAAGAGGGAACTTGCCTTGCACATGGCCCACCCGGGGTCCAGCACCAGCCCCACGTGTGCTCCCCCGAGCCCCCAGGAGTGATCCCTACGCAGTCCAGGATAAGCCCCGAGCACCCCACGGGGTGTCCCTAAAACAGAACAAGCAAAGAGATTACAACAGGCGTCAGCTGTTGTGGGGAGCGTGGGACGCAGCCCTCCCCGCGGGGTGTCTGTCCGTCCCGCAGGAGTGCGGGTGCCATCGTCCCGGCCCTCACACGCTCCTGTCTTGTGTCCGTAGGAGCTGGATGATTTCTGTAACCCCATCCTCTACAAACCCAAACCGAAAGTGGAACTTGCCGAGGACAAGCCCAAAGGTCATGGAGAGCACAACGGGCCGACGGATGGGCAGAGCGGGGCCGAGGGCCGAGCGGAGCCCGCGAGAGACGGCGCCCAGCACGGCAAGGGCCCGGGCGAGATGGAGGTGGACTAGCCCCGCCCCAGCCCCGACCACCCGCCGCCTTAGTTCGTGGAGTGGTTCTGAAAAGCGTTTTCTCCCGGTGCACCTCTGCCCACGCCCTCGCGGCTCTGGCGCTTCCGCCGCGCGTAGCGCCATCCCGTTCTCGCCAGACCCCCCGCCGCCCCGCCCCAAGCCGGCCCCTCCGTTCCCGAAGGGACACTGCTCGCGGGGCGCGGTGGCCGGACACCCTGTTGCTGTTGTTGTATTGTTAGAGTTAAGCATTAAAGCTCGTCAGATTCCGGACACCGTCCACCTCGTGGGTGTCCGTGAGGCCCACGGGGCCTCGAGGCGGGCGCCGGGCACTGGGTGGGCACGGGTGGGGGCAGTCGGAGCTCCGCGCAGATGTTTCACTCGCAGCTGCACCACCCGTCCTGAGCACGGCTGCCACCATGTGCATCTGTGGCGCTGAGCGCCCGTTCCCGTGTCCTGGCTGCCCAGTTCTCTTCTTGGTCTTCCTGACTCGGGACACAGGGCAGGGAGAGACGGCACGTGTGTGCTTCTACCCGTTACCCCCAGCTTCACGTTGAGAGAGAGATCCGCACCCGGAGTGAGCCTGATGCACTGAGGCCCTAAGCTCAGGAAACAGTGCTCAGGGTAAACCTGTGCCCTGACGGTGGGTACAGAGGCCGCGTGGTGCACAGGGCGCGCGTGATGCAGTGATGGAGCTGCCGTTCGTGCACGCCAGCTCCAGCGGGGGCCGGAGGGCTTCAGCAGCAGCTGGGCGCCCTCCTCCGTCCCGAGCAACGAGGAGCAGAGACGCCAAGGCCACGGTCCCCAAGCCTCGCACCCACGAAGGCTCCTTCCTCCCGCGAGAAAGGCTGCTAGTCCACAGTCTGCGGGGCGCCCGTGTCTCTCCCGGGGGGCTCTCAGGACTCTGTGGGGTGCCCGTGTCTCTCCCAGGCACCCTCGAGGTGCGTGTGCTCGTGTTCTCTGGCAGTGTGCAGGTGGCGGTCCCCGCCCCTGTGGTTGCAGGAGTGTCTCCCTTCCCGGCCCTGAGGGTCTCCTGCCTTTAGACGTGTGTTAGTCCCCTGCCCTAACTACATTCGCTCCTACTCACTGAGCGGACATTTCTGGAACACGCTCAGTCACCGTGTTTGTAGGTTGAATAGACAGATTGGTTTCAGGTGCGCAGCTAGGAAACTATGGAAACCAGTCTGCCAAGGAGCAGCGGGAGCCACGGCTTCTTCGAGTCAGCACGAGGCACCAGAGCTGTGCCTCGAAACGTCCCGGGGTACGTGCGGGCGACCCTGGGAGTCTGAGCTGCTGCCAGACCCCGTCTCGCCCACTCCGGGTCCCTGTACATGATTCTCCCCAGGGACAGACAGGGTGGTACAGCAGTCACTCCGTAACTCATTGAGAAGGGGCATGCATCAACTTCTATTTTGTTTAAAAGCCCTTTGTCCGTAGATTGTAGTGATTCATCTAACGCACTAGAGAGAGTATGTTCTCCTTAATCCAGCTTTGCTGAAAAGTATGGTTCAGTGTCATTTTAATCTGCACTAAAATGTGCAGTGCTGGAGCAAGAAAGTAAAGGTTATTTAGCCTAAACCCTTTTTTTTTTTTTTTTGCTTTTTGGGCCACACCTGGCGATGCACAGGGGTTACTCCTGGCTCTGCACTCAGGAATCACCCCTGGCGGTGCTCAGGGGACCATATGGGATGCTGGGAATCGAACCCGGGTCGGCCGCATGCAAGGCAAACGCCCTCCCCGCTGTGCTATCGCTCCAGCCCAAGCCTAAACACTATTTTAGAAGTTATTTTTTTGACTATCAGAATAGACTTTTCTCTATAGCATTAAGCAAATAGAAGTAGGTATGTAGGAATTATCCAGGGTGATTAATAGACTATCCTTTGCCTTTATAGAAAAGCATAACTGACCTGTTCTAGTAACCAACTCCTGATATCCACCCTTATTCTGATTATAAAAAGATTGCAGTGAATGAACCAGGGGCTCAGGACAGATGAACCTCATAAAGGTTTATGCCGAAAGAAAGAAAAACAAAGATCGCTCAACGTTCAAAGTATGTGGTACTTGGGGGTGGAGACACAGTTCAGTGGGTTGAGGTCCTGCAGATTATGCTTTGCCTGTGAAGGCCGCAGTTCGATCCCCTGAACCACCCGAGTAAGCCTGAGGAGAAGTGAGGCGGAAGCCCTGAAAGACCCAAACCACTGCCCCACCCCAGCGCGCGCGCGCACACACACACACACACACACACACACAGTTGACTGACATAGCCACTGTCTTTTGTTTTGCTTTTAATAGTTGGTATTAGATACTTCATAATAATTAAAGCTGTAACTTTTTTTTTTTTGCTTTTTTGGGTCACACCCGACGATGCACAGGGGTTACTCCTGGTTCTGCACTCAGGAATTACCCTAGTAGTGCTCAGGGAACCATATGGGATGCTGGGAACCGAACCCGGGTTGGCCACGTGCAAGGCAAACGTCCTACCCGCTGTGCTATTGCTCCAGCCCAAAGCCGTGACATTTTATATGTCGCAGATTTAGAACTGATCGTTAAATGGATAAAAATATGCAGCTTCACTTTCTAACCAGTAAGCATTTTACAACAAAAATTCTTAATTCTAATTGTTACTTTGTGGTTAAATTTGGAAATTTGGAATTACAGGGTCAAATTCGCTTTTGTGATATTTGATTCTGAAAACTTAAGAGGTGTATCTGATTGCTTTGATACAGTTAAAGTTTAGAATCTGATCACATTGATTTTTCAAATGACATCAACCGGGATGCTTATAAGGTTTGGTTTTTAAAGACGTCACTCTTCCTCCAGCGTGTCCAGGTCATCGCAAATCGGCCTCCTTTTAATCTGGTGCAGAGAGGCTCACCCAGCTGACTGGGCCCGCTGGATGGCACAGAGATGGGGTCTGCGTGTGCCAGCCCTGCACGCCAGCCCAAGAGAGCCCTTTCTGGTCAAAAGGGAAACTGGTTTAAAACTACCCTACTTGGAAGGTGGAGTTCATGCCCAATTCAATCAGCTAATCAGTGGCTGAACAAATAGCAGTGCTCCTACATAAAATAAATAAATAAATAAAAATAAATAAAACTACCTTCCTTGGGGACTGGAGCAAGAGTACAGTGGGGTGGAGCACTTGCCTTGCTCATGGCCGACCCGGGTTCGATCCCCGGCATCCCATGTAGTCCCCTGAGCACTTCCAGGAGTGACCTCTAAGCATCGCTGTGTGACCCCAAAAGCCAAATCAAACACCTGCCTTGCTTTTTCTGTCCATCTGATTATTCCAAGGTACGATTTTAACTTAAATCCCAGAGGAACGTAATCTTTGGAATAAAAAGTAATAAAACATTTCATGTGGCTCGCAGGGAGTTTTCTCCTGTGCTGGGGTCAGCCCCGGACCCAGGAGTATGAACTCAGACTCCAGGCAGGTGCCACACAGGCGTTCTCCCCACTGTGCCGCCTCCCTGGCCGGGGGCAAGCCAGAGCGCGCGTCTCCAGCTGACTGGCAGGCGCCTGCCGACTTTCCCAGGTGCTTCGCTGCTGTTGCAACAGAGCAGCTCTGCCTCGGGCCTGTCTTGGAAACTATGGCATCATGCGGGGCTGACGGTCTAGGAGGCCAGGCTCCTGATGACAAGGGACCCCTGCGGGAATGCGCCTGCTGGGGGCCTCCTGTCCCCCGGAATAGGCCTCCCGCACGCCCCTGAGGCATCAGTCCAATTCCACAGCTTCCACGCGGCCCTCAGTTTCTCAAGTGTATGTTACGTTGTACTGTTGTTTCAGGCTTTTGTCTCGGCGTCTTGTCGGGCACCCTGTCCCCTTGGTAGCTAATCTCCTGAGCTGTGTCTCCTAGACATCAGATTTTTGTATTCAGTGCTCACAGTACCGCCAGACCCCAGCACTGCATGGGCCTGACTGCCTGGTTGGTTGCGCGTCGCTGGAGGACCCTGACAATTGCTGGGGGGCCCCATAAATTCTGCGCTCATGCTTGAAAAGCCATATTCTTACAAGCCTCCACATGAAGTAGCTTCAGTAGCTTTTTCTATACTCTGATCTCAATACTTAAAGCCATTCTGGACCAAAAAGAGTTTTCGGGGTTTTTTTCCGTTTTGTTGCTTTTTTTTGGGTCACATCTGATGCAATGCTCAGGAATTACTCCTGGTGGTGCTCAGGGGACCATATGGGATGCTGGGAATCAAAGCCGGGTCAGCTGCGTGCAAGACAAATGCCCTACCCGCTGTGTTATGGCTCCAGCCCCCAAGAGGTTTTTAAAAATTATCCTGTATATACCAAGATCCCTTGTTTCTTTTTTGGGTTTTTTTTTTTTTTTTTGGCTTTTTGGGTCACACCTGGCAATGCACAGGGGCTACTCCTGGTTCTGCACTCAGGAATTACCCCTGGCAGTGCTCAGGGGACCATATGGGATGCTGGGAATAGAACCCTGGGTCGGCCGCGTGCAAGGCAAATGCCCTCCCCGCTGTGCTACTGCTCCAGCCCCAAGAGCCCTTGTTTTTTAAATAAAAATAACAAGGGTCAGAAATTCAAAATAGCTATTTTGATGACCCGTCAATTCTTTGCTAGTTCTGGTCACATAAAAGTCTCATGCTGCATCTTTGTTTTTGATTTGGGCAGTGCTCAGTGCACAGAGCACTCCTTGCTCTGTGCTCAGTAACGACTGACTCCTGGTGGTACTTGGGGGACCATATGAGATGCCAGAGATTTTTTTTTTTTTTTTTGCTTTTTGGGTCACACCCAGCGATGCACAGGGGTTACTCCTGGCCTACACTCAGGAATTACCCCTGGCATTGCTCAGGGGACCATATGGGATGCTGGGAATCGAACCAGGGTCGGACGCGTGCAAGGAAAACACCTTCCCCGCTGTGCTATTGTTCCGGCCTCCAGAGATGCCAGAGATTTAACCTGGGTCAGCCATATGCAAGGCAAGTGCGCTACTCACTGTACTATTGTTTCAGCCCCCAGTATTTTTTTTAAGCATTTCCTCAACTCTTGCTTCTAGGACCTTGAGTTTATAAAATGCTCTTGCAATCACCTGGCCTGTCCGGTAGTACAGAGGTTACATTGTAGTGGAATTGGGAACTGGCTCAGGACATACCTTCCGTGATTCTTCCCCTGGAAAAAACTTGCTTTGCTTGGAGTCTTGGAAGGAAGCACAACTGAGAAGCATCCCGTCCATGTCTGGTGGGATGAAGCGCTTGTGTGTGCCACAGTACACAGACCTTCCAATGAACTCACCATTGTTTAGTAAAATCAACAAGATGGCATCGTCATTTTCTCCTTTCTCCATAATTAAAAGGATTTTTGTACGTGCAGCTCTGACTGGTCACTGTTGGCAGTTGGAATCCGACCAGTCCACTCTCCTTGTTACTAGGGCGCAGGGTGTTGCTGGGCTCCGTTACTGAAGCACGTGCTCCGTGCGTGGGCCACCGGGTGTGGCACAAAAGCAGAAACAGGACAGAACTAGACTCGATTTCTCCATCTCCCAGTCTGTTCTTTTACCAGGAAGACTGGCGAGTGCAATGCAGAATGAGGAAGCATGCTGTGTCGTAAAGGACGTGAGCCCCCAGCACTGGGCCTGGCCCAAAGCGCCCCCAACAGTTGTGCATGAGATGCCCACTTCAGTGAGGCGCTGGCAAAGCCAGGCCCCTCCCAGGGGTCTCCTGTGATCCTCTGTGGCGCCCCACAGCCCCTCCCCGGACAGAAGGTGCCCCCGATGTCAAGTTCCTCAGAGCCAAGAAGAGACGGTCCGGACCCTGGGAACACGAGAACGGGGCTCGGCTGTCAGGACACAGCGCAGAGCCCAGAATCTCTGGGGTCACAACAGGCAAATAAATCTAGAGTAGGGGACAAAGAGGGGCATCAGAAAAGGATGGGGGGGCAGCAGCCACGGTAAACCCACAGGGGACAGCCAGACGCGCCTGAACAAGAGCAACCTGGAAACCAAAGGAAAGGGGCCAGCAGACTCGGCCAGCCGGCCACAGAGAGGGCAAGTTCAAGGTGCCCGGTCCAGTTAGAGGAACGCCCAGCATTCTCTGCGATGCGCACGAATGGCAAGTGGACAGCGCCCTCCGGTCCTGCCTGGAGCGCAGGCTTTGCAGGGGCCCGGGTTTGACCCCCACGACCCTGTGGTCCCCTGAAACCAGGAGCAAGCCCCAGCACTGCCTGTGACCCCCAAGTAACGACCCAAAGGATACATTTGTATACACTGTTACCTATCCAGGAAAAGGCAAGCCCCTCCGCGACGCCACAGTGCAAGACTGAGCCAAGGAGTTGAAACATTCGCAGGCAAAAAACCGAGGCGCTTCCCCGAGGTTGGCAACCTGCCCCCGCACGGCCGGGTGTGCCCAGGCCAGGGTCTGCGGTGACACGGGAGACCCTGCAGGCGACAGGGGGCGGGGAGCGCGGTCCCGGTGCGCGCGGGGAGGCGCACGCCGTCACCGCGGCCTCGGTACCGGCACCGTGGGTCCGGACAGGCCCAGTCCCAGGGGCACTGGTCGGAGACAGGAGGCAGCAATCCGGAGCGGACCGGGCCAGAGACCCGGCCCGGCGGGGCCCGGACCTCGGGGAAGGCGCAGGGACGCGGCGGGACGGGGCGCTGCAGCTCCTGACCCCGCCCTGGGGTCACCAACAGCACAACCGACGGCGCCGCGGGCGGGGCGGGTGGGGGGTTCTCGGGGCGAGGCCGGGGTTGGGGGTCTCAGGCAGGCCCCGCCAGGCCCCGGTCCGCAGCAGCCCTGCGCGGGGGCAGGTCGGCGAGCAGCGCCCGCTTCCGGCCCCGGCCGGCCCGCCCCGCCCCTTCCGGCCCGCCCCCGCTTCCGGCCCCGCCCCCGCTTCCGGCCCCGCCCCCGCGCGGGCTTCCGGCGCGGCGCAGTGACGTCGGCGCGCGCGCCCGGCGGGAGTTTTTCGAAATGGGAGCGCGGCGGCGCCGGCCCGGGCTCGGGGGGCGTCGGGGCCGCGGCGGGGCGTCCGGGCGGGCCTAGCGCGGGCGATGGGCGCGCAGGGGCTGCGGGACGGGCCGGCATGGCGGCCTGCGTCGGGGACGCGGTGGAGGTGAGGCGCGGGCGGGCGGGCGGGGCGGCGGTTGGGCGGGCGGGCGGGCGGGAGCCGCGGCGGCCGGGCCGGGGGCCGGGCCGGGGGCGGGGGGCGGGGCCGGGCCTGGGCGGGGGCCGGGGGCCGGGCCGGGGGCGGCAGCCGGCCGGGCGGCCAGTGCGGCCGGCGCCCCGGACATGCCCGCGGCCCGCTCAGCGCCCCCCGCGCCCGCCCCGCAGGACTTCCGGGTGGGCCAGCTGCTGGGCAAGGGCTCCTTCGCCGGCGTCTACAGGGCCGTGTCGCTGCACACCGGCCTGGAGGTGGCCATCAAGATGGTAAGGGGGGTCGCGCCCGCCCACCCCGGGGCTCGGGGCGGGAGGTCCCCACGCCCCCCCCCCCCCCCCGCAGGCTGGGACTGGGGCTGGAGCCCACCCCGGGCCGTCCTGCTGCCTTTGCAGATAGACAAGAAAGCCATGTACAAGGCCGGCATGGTGCAGCGAGTGCAGAACGAGGTGAAGATCCATTGCCAGCTGAAGCACCCGGCCATCCTGGAGGTGAGCTCGGACCGCAGGGGGTGGCCGGGACCCGGGCTCGCCCGCCTGCTGTGGCTCACGGGGTCTCTGGCCGTTCAGCTCTACAACTACTTCGAAGACAGCAATTACGTGTACTTGGTCCTGGAAATGTGCCACAACGGGGAGATGAACAGGTACCTGAAGAACAGAGGGAAGCCGTTTTCAGAAAACGAAGGTAAACTGCTCCTGTTTCCTTGTTGCCGGGTGGGTAAGCGGTTCCCTTTTGTCTGGCTTGGCCCACGCTTGGCTTGGCAGCGTGGCCAGTGTTTGGCGTCGCCCTGGCGATGCTCCCGCCTCCCGCCCATCAGTGGTAGTTTCTAGGTGAAAGAGTGAACAGTGTGCTGTTTCAGGATATGTAACGTTTGCTGTCACTCTGGGCGACAGCTGAAGGAACCCCGTCCCCAGAATTATAAAAGCCATTTATTCCTGTAATTGAGGCATTACAGAAATGAAGTAAAAGGATGAGCCTCTTAACCGCCCTTCCCGGGAACGTTTCGTTTTGGAGCCGTGCCTGGTGGAGCTCGGGGCTCCTGTGAGGCTGCTGCCCAGGGCTCGCTGCGTGCCCAGCCCGTGCTCCCTCTCCCAGCCCCCACACGGAACCATCATGGAGCGGTGTGCATCCTTCCACGTCTAGAAACCCACTTTGCAGAATGCTACTGCTGGGTTGAAAGCTTGTGAGTCAAGCATGAATGCCTGTTGGAGCCACTTAATTTAGGGAATGCCAAGGCCTCTGAACAGAGCAGTTGAGTTGTTTCAAGAGTGCCCAGTGAGGGGCTGGAGCGATAGCACAGCAGGTAGGGTGGTTGCCTTGCAGTTCCTGACTGTAGAGCCAGGAGTAACCCCTGTGCATTGCCAGGTGTGACCCAAAAAGAAGGGAAAAAAAGTGCCCCGAGCAACCTAGTGAACCCCAGCCTCCACGCTCAGCTCGCTCTCGTTGTTCTGTCTGCCTCGTTATTCCCAATTCCCAGAGTGGCTTAAAGCAACCCGTAGGCCTCTCCTCTAAGCGCTCGGCAGTTACTCCGGTCACTTGCACTTCCTAGTGAAAGTAGCTTCTTTAACTGGAGGTGGAGCAGGTGCTCGGACCGAGCGAGGCCGGAAGGCGCTCCTGTTGTCTTAAAGGGAAATCCCCAGCGCCCGGTGTTGTGCGGGGTAGCGGCGGCGGGCCCTGGGCCGCCTGTCCTCCCTGCCTGAGCCGTGCGTCGCGTGCCTGCCCCCGCAGCTCGGCTCTTCATGCGCCAGATCATCGCCGGCCTGCTCTACCTCCACTCCCACGGCATCCTGCACCGGGACCTCACGCTCTCCAACCTCCTGCTCACGCGCAACATGAACGTCAAGATCGCCGACTTCGGGCTGGCCACGCAGCTGCGGCTGCCGCACGAGAAGCACTACACACTCTGCGGCACCCCCAACTACATCTCGCCCGAGATCGCCACCCGCAGCGCCCACGGCCTCGAGTCCGACGTCTGGTCCCTGGGCTGCATGTTCTACACGCTGCTCGTCGGGCGGCCGCCCTTCGACACGGACACCGTCAGGAACACGCTGAACAAGGTCGTGCTGGCCGACTACGAGGTGCCGGCGTTCCTGTCGCGAGAGGCCAGGGACCTCGTCCGGCAGCTGCTGCGGCGCAACCCCGCGGACCGCCCGAGTCTGTCTTCGGTCCTGGACCATCCCTTCATGTCCCGGCACGCTCCCCCGCAGGGCAGGGACGTGGCCACCGTGGAGGACTCCATCGACAGTGGCCACGCCACCCTCTCCACTGCGGTCACGGCCTCCAGCGCCAGCATGAGCGGGAGTTTTTCTGGCAGGAAGAGACTGACGGTGGGTCAGCCGCTCCCGAGCAAGATGACTGTCTTTCCCCAGAAAAACTCGAGTGGCGTCTCTTGCTCCGGAGATGGGAGCGGTTTCTTTGCTCCGTGGGGACACGAAGCCCCCGAGAGCAGCAGCGGCCGGCGGGGGAGAGGCACGCAGGACGCCGAGGAGAGGCCGCGGTCCCGGTACCTCCGGAGGGCCCATTCCTCGGAGCGCTCGGGCCCCGCTGACGGCCGACCTCGGGCCAGGACCCACCCCATGGAGCGGTGCCACTCGGCCGAAATGCTCGCATGGTCCAGGGGGTGCGGAGGAGACGCCGGGGCGGAAGGGCACTTGCCCGCAGACAGCCTTGCCAGCGTGTTCCCCTCCAGAGAACAGACGGCCAACGGTTCCGGGTGTTTTGAGGAGCCTGGAGACGGCCGTGCTCTGTAAGAGGGCTTGCGGGAAGCACTTTACTGTGATAGAATTGGGCTAGCGCAGACGTCAAGCAGGAGGGCCGGGGAGGGGCACTCCTCCCGGCATTGTCCGGCGTCTCGAGACTGCAGCATTCCTGGTGAGTGCTGCTCACGCGCAGCTGACCCCAGAGGCAGGCCTTCGCTAGCGAGCACATCCTCGCTAGCTGTTCCACACATGGAACCTGGCGCCCTGCCTGCTGCGCTGATCTTTGGTTCTGTGCTGCAGTCGCGCCAGGGCCCGGCTGCGTGGACACTGGCATCTGCATTCAGCTGCTGGGAGACGATTTGTGATAGAAATTTTGGGTTCTGTCCATATTCTAGCGAGTCACGATATTCAGATGCCATTCTTTTTAATACCTAAAGGGTTTTGACCTGATGATTTTTTACTATTTTTTATTATTGTGTTATTTTTTTTTTGTTATTACTAGTAGCTTGAGGGAATTTTAACTTTCTTTGTTTTGCTCCAGTCATCTTTGTCCAGGGAAAACTCCATTTTCGTTTCCACACCAGACATCTCAGACCGAAATGGTGCCCCGGTGGTTTGGGAATCTGCAAATAAATGGTGAGTAGCTGGTGAAAAACTAGGGTTCATCCACTGAGCAAACGCTGCGGTTTTCTCTGGGATTTTCTTGGGAAAGAGGTACATTTTCGTGGCGCACAGAGAGAACTCAGCAGAGTGTGGTTTGCGTGGGGGAGGCCCAAGTTTCCCCCTCCGAGCTCCTGCCTGTGGCCCACAGGCTGGGACAGAAAGGAAACGGGCGTTGGGGCCACTTGGGACAGCAGCGGAGCCCGGGCTGCGCGTGAACCCAGCCGTTGCCGTTAGTGCTCAGCGGGGGCTGTCGTGGGAGCACCTGCAGCCCCCTTAGGAGCCCTGGCATGGGGGGTGGGTGAGAGGCCCCGGTCCTCTGCGATTGCCCGCTGCCGGGCCCTGCTGGACAGGGAAAGGCGCCGTTTCTCAGTATTGGACCCGCCCCGCGCACAGACGGGCCCCTTGGAAATAATGACGAAGGCGGCATATGGGGAGGAGGTTCACGGTGTCGCGTTACCTCTCCTGGTCTCTCTCCACACTGATCCAAGCCCGGGGGGACCTTGGCATGTGTCAGTGTGGGAAGCGTTCGTTCAGGCTTATGTTTTTGACTACAGAACTGCCCCGCATCCAATCTTGGACCTTGCTTTCCACTGGCGCTCGTTTTCGGTTGCGCGTGTGTCTAGGGTGAAGCAAAGTCCTTGAATAACAGCCTGAGGTGCTGCCTCGCTCCCAGGGCACCAGGGCTCCCCCCCCCCCCCCCAGGCAACTCCAGCTGGGGGGGGGGGCACTGAGGTCACAGAAAAATCAAAATGAAAGATGTTGCAGATATTGAGAGATTTGCAGTTGAAAAATCAGATGACAGAACTGTCGATGTGGAGTTGCTTCGGCCCGAGGACACGCGGGCCAGGCCCTGCTTTAAACTACAATGTGTCCAAGGAATCGGGCTCCTTCACAGTGGCTTGGTTCCTCGAAAGCCGCCCTGGCTAGTGCAATGCTGTTTTACGCAGACCCCGACGCCTGGGAGAAGGCCGAGGCTCCCGCCGACTTGCGCCCCGCCCAGCCGCCACACTCCGAGAAGTGCCCGCCGGTGTTTCCCGGCCCGCCCGAGGCGCAGCTCAGGGAATCCCCGCCGGGCGCCCAGAGAAGCTCGCTGCGGAGCGTGACGTGCCCGCTGACGGCCCGCAGGCTGAAGCCCATCCGGCAGAAGACCAAGAAGGCTGTGGTGGGTGCTCCTGCCCGCCTGCTCCCGGCTGCTCCCGGCTGCCCCGCCCCTCCCAGTCAGAATGCTTGAGGTGAAAACGTTTTGAATAATAATAGTTGCCGAGTATTCCATTCACCATTCTAATCACTGATATTCAATATCACCTTTGTGTTTATTTCTAATTTTTGTCCGATCTCAAATCAGAAAGGCAAAATAGAAAATTTTTGGTTTTTTTTACTGTCAGAAGCTTATTTGAAGGTATGTGTACAAAGTCTAGAGTTTGAGGCTGTGCGTTGTGGGCCGGCCACAGAGTGGCAGGTGGACGCTTGCTTTGCCCCGGGCAGGTCCAGGTTCAGCCCCTGCCCCCAGAGGCAGGAGTGAGCCCCGCCCTCCCCCAGGGGTTCCCGAGTCTCCCTCCCACTTTGTCCTGCCTTTGTTCACCTGCCTTTGTCCTGCGCCTCGGCCCGCCCCTCCTCCTGCTCCCCTTCTGCTCCCCTGCTCTGGCCCCGCCCCCCCACCTGTCCGCCCTCTCCCCGCACCGCACTGTGGGGCCAGTCGCTCAGTCAGTCGAGGGCCCGGGGCCGGACGGGCTGGACGGCCGAGCGAGCTGCTGCTGCCATGGTGAGGTGCCCTCCGGCGTGGGGAGTCTGGGCGGCCGGGGAGCCGCTGACGCGGGTGTGTTTCCAGGTGAGCATCCTGGACTCGGAGGAGGTGTGTGTGGAGCTGCTGAAGGAGGCGGCGGGGCAGGAGCACGTGAGGGAGGTGCTGCAGATCTCCAGCGACGGCGCCCGGGTACGTGCGCAGGGAGGGGCTCCCTGCCTGTGGGCCGCGGGCTCCCCCCCCCCCCCCCCCCACGGCATCTCTGGCAGTCAGAAACGGAAGTGGTTGGCACAGCTGCTCAGTCGCCCGGTGTGATTTTAGAAATGACACGGCGAATAGCAAATCGTATGCGACAGGCATGAATCTAAGAGACTGTTTAGAGAATCCATAGCGCTCGCAGCGAATTTTTTGGTGCTATACGGAAAAGCGTGATTTTAGTAACAGGATGTAGTGCTGTCATCGTTGGCACATAATTAGGATCCTTCAATATTTGTCAGATCACGATCTATTACCCGAACGACGGGAGAGGCCTCCCCCTGACCGACAGACCACCCTCGCCTCCTGCCAGCACCAGCAGTTTCCACTTTGACAGCTTACCAGGTACGTGGGCACCGAGGCAGGAGCCCCGCCTCACGTGCGTGCTTGATGCCCGGGTCCCCGATGGCTTGGGGGGCGCCGGCTCCGACGCTGCGGCTCAGTGAGCCCGGCCCCGCCCTGGGGCACCCTCCTGGGGCGTTTGTGTCTGAGATGAGAGCCCGCTCTTGCTGGATTCGTGTTTGGGTCACATCCCGTGCCGGCCAGCCCTTGCTCCTCACTCTGCAGGAGTCAGGGTCAGGGGCCATGTGTGACGCCGGGGAACCCTGCCTGGTTGTCGCCTCTGGGCAGGCTTCCTCCCCACTGTCCAAGCTTATGGCCCCATAAGTTTGAATCTTTGAGGAAAAGTAGAACTAAACAGTTCATGAAATTAGATGTGGAATATCGCTACTTACATTTGGTCACTTTCTCTTCTAGAAAAATACTGGCGGAAATACCAATACGCGTCCAGATTTGTACAGCTTGTCCGATCTAAATCTCCCAAAATCACTTACTTCACAAGATACGCCAAATGCATTTTGATGGAGAATTCTCCCGGTGCCGACTTTGAGGCTTGGTTTTATGACGGTGAGTCGCGTTTTCAAATGGGACTTTTAGCTTCTCACGTAACAGGTGCAGGATTTTTCTGTTTCATCTGAGCAAGGTTCGTTTGGTTTGGGTGAGGGGCTCTACCGGGCCGGGCTCAGAGGCCACTCCTAACTGCTTAGTGATCACGCCTCGTGGCTCGAGGGACCGTGGGGCGCAGGGGTTGGCTGCGTGCCAGGCCCTGACTGTTGCCCAGAGCAGCTGTCGAGACCGTGTGTCCGGGGCACTGCGTGTGCACGTAGACACTGTCCGTACCCTCTTTTCCTGCTGGACATAAGGCTCGTGAAACCGACCCTCAGCATGGCAGATCCTGCAGAGCACCATGCAGCCTGGACACCCCACGGCCACCTGTTACTGCAGGGACAGTGGGCCCTGGAGTGACCCCAATTTCCTTCGGGGACAGTGGCCCTGGAGCGACCCCTCTCCTGTAGGGGCTCCGGGGCTGGACCTGGCTGTGCTGGCCGGAGCCCAGGTCCGGGTGAGCCTTCGCCTGACCCTGCGAGGAGGCAGGCCGGGCTGTGCTTAGGCCGTTGGTCGGTGGCCACTAGGGCCTGGAGCCCGTGTCCCGTGGGACTGGCCATGTCGGTGTCTGCGGAGGCTGAAGGAATCGCCCGGTTGCTTGTACCCAGGCGCCAAGATCCACAAAAAGGAAGCCGTGGTCCAGGTGACGGAAAGGACGGGCAGCACGCACAGCCTGCCGAGCGGGTACACGGCCCACGGGCTGCCCGAGGGCCTGCGGGGCTACCTGGAGCACGCCGACGAGGTGGGTGCTGGACAGCCTGGGACAGCGCCGCCCCCCCCCTCCCCCCCCGCCCCCGACTGTGGCTGACGCAGCTTCTCCCCCAGAGCCACCGGCTGTGTCTGGCCCTGGAAACCGCCATCTCGGAGGAGGAGAGGAGCAGTGCCGGGGCCTCCTTCTTCCCCATCATCGTGGGCAGGTCGGGGCCCTTCCCCTCCCTCAGTGTGGGCGGGTGGGGGGGTCCTTCTCCACGTGGGCAGCTCGGGGTGCCCTCCCTGGCCCGAGCGTGAAGGCTGTCTCTCCCGCAGGAGACCCGGCAGTGCCAGCTCACCGCAAGCCGCGTCCCCGCCGCTGCCCCCCGTGCAGCCGGCCGGCCCTGGGCGAGGCAGCGGAGCCCCCTCGGGGACACAAGCCGCAGCGCCCGGCCCTCCCGTGAGTACGGCGGCGGCTCTGACACCCGTCCCCTCACGTCAGCAGCATGGAGACACAGATTCGTGGCAGCCCCCGGGTGCAGGGGCTGGCAGTGGCAGGAGGGCAGGTCGTAAGGGGGGGGGGGGGGGGGGGCTGGGAAACTCCAGCACACTCTGGGCCTTCCGGCGCTCTGGCCTCTGCCTCCTGCCGGGCCAGAAACGTGCCATGTCTCCCTGCAGGCGCTCCGGGACGAAGCCCTCAGCCTTGGGACAAACGCCTCTTCTCCTGCACCGGCGCAGCTGCTGAAATCTGTCTTTGTGAAAAATGTCGGCTGGGCTACACAGGTGAGCGCTTCCCTTAGGAAACCGGTTTCCACAGTGGATAGGTGATTACCGAGAACCGTGTGTTATTTTCAGGTCTTATCTTAGCAAGAATGTTTTTCACCCTGCTAATAGCATTCAGATTTTGAATACGATTTGCTTAGAAGTGGAAACCCTAGACTTGGCTGGTGACGCGTCTCCTGTTAGTGCAGGAGTCTCCGGCTAGACGCATCTGCAGCCCTGTGACCTGGCAGAAGGGGATTCTGTTTAGGGCCACATCTAAGTCTCCCCACCCGCCCACACTGAGGGAGGGGAAGGGCCCCGACCTGCCCACGATGATGGGGAAGAAGGAGGCCCCGGCACTGCTCCTCTCCTCCTCCGAGATGGCGGTTTCCAGGGCCAGACACAGCCGGTGGCTCTGGGGGAGAAGCTGCGTCAGCCACAGTTGGCGGGGGGGGGGGGGGGGGGGGGAAGGGGGACGGCGCTGTCCCAGGCTGTCCAGCACCCGAGTCGTGGCGGATGTGGGAAGCGACTGGCCCAGGAGCCTGGGACAGGCCCACCCTGGCTGCCCCCAGAACCCCTCTGCTAACGAACAAGGCTCACAGCCCCTGGCCAGGTCGAGGTGCCCCCGCAATACTCCATGTCACTGACTACGGGGGCTGCTGTGGGAGGCAGGGGCCGCTCGTGACTAAGGAGGGGAGCCTTGTCCCTGAGGCTTCGTGCTGGTCGGTCAGGGCAGGAGCACTAGAGGGTTTGCCCCAGGGCCTGTCGGATGTGGGCGGCACCTCACATCTGCTCTTTCCAGCTGGCAAGTGGCGCCGTGTGGGTGCAGTTCAACGACGGCTCCCAGCTCCTGGTGCAGGCGGGCGTCTCCTCCGTCAGCTACACCTCCCCCAGCGGCCAGACCACCAGGTACGCCCAAGTGCCTCCCCGGGCCAGCCGCGCTGACCCTGCTGTCACTTTTCGGGGCCAGTGGGTAGCAGGGGTGGGGGGTCCGGTATGTCCTCCTAGCGCGGGCAGGTGTCAGGCTGCTTCTCCCCGAGAAGGACGTGGTGCCCCTCAGACCCCCAGGGTCAGCGCAATCGGTGCAGATGTCCACTCCAGCCTAGGGTTCCTGGCCCTGTCAGGCCCTTCTCTGGGGTGGGCTTGGGGTTCTTGGTGACCTTGTAAGTAGACATGAAGGAACGTGGGAGGCTGTGACCTAGCGGAAGCTGGTCTCGGCCCCCTCAAGGAGGCCGGCACAGTACTGGGCAGAGACCAAGCCCAGCGCCCACTCCTCTGCGAGTCCTAGCACTGGGGACACCCCTGGTCTCGGCCCGTGAGAAGCTGCCGCCTGCCAGGGCTGGGTGGGCCGCAGCCCCCTCCCCCAGGGATTCCCAGCGTTACAAGGCGTGGGGCAGAATCACGCTCTTCGCTGCGGGTTTCCACAGTCACGTATGTCGGGAAGTCCAGGCTGGGCCTCAATGCGGGCTGGTCTGCCTCAACCTCCACTGGGTGTGGGCCCCGATGGGGGTGACCGAGGCTGGCCCGGCCAGGGTGTGCTGGACAGACACTGACCAGACGGCAGGGCGACCCAGCGAGTGTGGCCCCCGCTGCACTCGGGCGGCAAGGGGATGCAGGGAAGGGAAGTGACTGGGAGCGACGCTAACGTGTGCCCTTCGGGACTCAAAGCCAATAATCCCGTTTTTTTGTTCCCTCTTTTGTTCCCTCTCAGGTATGGGGAAAATGAAAAGCTGCCGGAATGCATCAGGCAGAAGTTACAGTGTCTGTCCTCCATCCTCCTGATGTTTTCTAACCCCGCACCTGGTGCGCTCTGACGAAAGGTGTCTTGGTATCTAACGCGAATAAATGGCCTCGCTGGCTTCCAAGTCAAGTGCCCTTCATTCCTGGCCACCGCCGGCGGGCCTTGCACAGGCCCACTGTGTCCCGCGCTCTCGGCCGAGCCCCCCGACTCCCTGCGCCCAGACTGGATTCTGCAGACAGGAGCACCGGGGTGTGCTCGCCCTCATGGCTGCACAAGCCCACGGCTGTGGGCTGAGCGTTTGGGCTTCTGAACCTGTAAATAGTGTGTATGTATGTCGTGAACATGTATTTTTTATATTTATATTTGTAGCACCAGTTTGTGATAAAGATTTCCACGAATGCATTTTATAAGGAAAAGTATAGTGATAAGTGGCTTGATTTAAACACTTTAAAATGCATTACTAGTAAATGTTTCAATTTTTTGTTTCCTGTTTATTCAGGAGTCAGTTGGTAAATAAATAATCTGCCTTTGGAAGTGTCTGCCCTGGTGCTCTGGGTTCTTCCCCTCGCTGCGGTCAGATGTCCAGGGAAGCTCCGGTCAGGCCGGCGCAGGGGTCTGAGGCAGGGGTGCTGCGTGGTGCCGGGGCCAACCCAGCCCCGTGTACCCTACATGCGCCCTGCCAGTCCAGAGCCGTCTGCTGCCGTTTGCAGCCGGGGGTGGTGGGAGTAAGCCCACTGATCCAGTGAGCAGCCTGCCACAAGCTGGGGCCCCAGTGCTCGGTGGGCACGGGCTGTGGTGGTTCTGACCCTTCCCTGGGGTGGCCACCGGACACAGTGGCTGGAGACAGGCCGTTAGCTGTGTCCAAAGGCTGGTGGTTAAGGCTGAAGGTGACACGTTATGTCACAGGTAAGTTGCCCACGTATCCAGGGAAGCTCCTGGCCTGGGCAGAGGCATCTGCCACGGGCCACCCTGCGGGCATCCCAGATGGCCAGGGCTGCTGCCACCCTCACTCCGGTGCCCTGGGCCTGCCTGTGGGAGGGGGTCTGGGCGAGCCACAGTAGGTCAAAGGCATGTGGCCCAAAGCCAAGCCCACCCGCAGGGCCTCAGGCAACAAGGAAGGCGCCTGTCTACCATGCGCCACAGGGTGCTGTGGGCAGTGCCCAGGGGCAGCAGCAGGGAACATGATCCCTGCTGGCCTGCTATGCGGCCTGGCACTGGCCCTGCTCGCCTGTGTGCGGGCCGTCAGTGGGGAGCTGGGTGAAGGGCACCAGCCTGCGGTAGACGGTGGCCAGCAGGGCCAGCGTGAGCAGCAGCAGCCCGCACACCAGCCCGAAGGCCCAGCGCGGGCCCCACGCACCGTACACCTGGCTGATGAACACCGGGCCCAGGATCCGCGCGCCGCTCCCGGACGCCGTCAGCCAGCCCATGTAGACTCCCTGTAGGGGGCAGTGGGGGGGATGTGAGAATCGCCCACTAACATCAGCGCCATCGAGTCCAGTCTCATTCATGCCGGGATGCTTCCCTCTGAAGCCACCAGAGCTGCAGGACCTGCCGTGGGTCTGACTGTGCTGTCAGGTCACCTGCTGTGGGGTCTGACTGCTCTAGGCTCAGGCTGCTGGCGCTGGGCACGCCGAGGCCTGGGACCCTGCCCGCACCCCAAAATGCCCAGCCCTGGGAGGGACCCGAAGTGGTAACGGCTGAACTCAGCTCCCCCGCTCAGAGACCCACTGCCAAGGGTCGGTGCTCACCTGCGGCTCAGGCCCAAGCACCTGGGAGTAGAGTGTGTAGGACATGACGTTGCAGGCCGGGTAGCCCACCCCGACGAGCGCGGTGGCCGTGAGGAACTGGGCCAGGTGGATGGCGGGGACGGTCAGGCACCAGGCCTGCTGCACCGGGCAGCCCGTCGGCTCCTGCTCTCCCGCCGCCTGCCCATAGGCTGCGAGCACCCCCCGGGCCGTGGCGTTGGGCACCGAGGTGTTGTGCAAGTCTGGAAGGCAAGAGAGAGGCTCGGGGACGCCCGGGCAGACGGCCGTGCAGGGCACAGAAGGGGCGGCGCTACCTTGCCACTGGACCCGGGGAAACTGGTTTCCCCACGGCAGCAGGATGAAGAAGCCGGCCCAGATGGCCACGAGGCCGCCCAGCAGGACAGTCCGCTCGCCGACCCTGCGGAGCAGAAGGCACGTCACGGCAGGACCGCCACGGGCGTTCCCCCCATCCCTGCAGACACCAGGGGCTGGGGACCGAGCACCCAGAGAACCCAAACCACACCAAAGGTGGCTGTGCATGCGGGTGGCACCACCAGGAACAGCCCCAAGCGGCCGGAGCGCATTGGGGATTTGGCACACGGAATCTTTCAGGCATGACCGACTCCCGAGATTGGATCAAACGCATCACCCAGGATTCATCACTGATCACTGAAGGTAGTTTTGTGGGGTTTTTTTTTTGGTTTTGGTTTGGGGACCAGAACTGGTGATGCTCGGGGGTTACTCCTGGCTCTGCACTCAGGAACCAGGAATTACTCCTGGTGGTGCTTGGGGGACCAGATGGGATGCCGGGAATAGAACCACGCAAGGCAAACGCCCTCCCCACTGTGCTATCACTGCGACCCCTGAAGTCAGTCCTATACGAGTCACTCCCCCAGAACAAGACCTTTACCGTGTCATTGTTTAGAACGCTGGTTGAACGGACTCTGGGCTGGAGAGAGCACACGGAGGGGGGGGGGGGGGGGTCACTGGCCTGCACATGGCTAAGCCGGGTCCACTCCCCAAGCAGCGCCAGGTGTGCACCCCCAACAAAAGGACTCTGGGGGGCCAGAGTGACAGTACTGAGGGGAGGGCACTGCTTTGCACACGGCCAACCTGTGTTCAATCCTGGGCTCCCCATAGGGTCCCCCGAGCACCACTAGGAGGGACCCGAGTGCAGAGCCAGAAGCAGCCCCTGAGCCCCAGCCAGTGTGCCCAAAAACAAACCAGGAGACCCCAAACCCCGCCAGCAAGGCTCCCAGTAACAAGTGCTACGGCGAGGCATCCCGGGCAGTCAGGCGGGGGGGGACCGAGCACGCAGGGCCCAGGCTCCCTCCCGGGCAAGTCGAAGCGCAAACGGAGCCCAAGCGACGCCGCGAGCCACTGCCGGCTCCTGTTCACGGTTCACTCGGGCGAGCCACAGGCACTGGACTCACTTTCGAGAGAGGAACTTGACCCCCATAAAGACCACGACGGCCTCGACCCCTAGCGCCGCCAGGATGATGCCGTCGTACAGCACGGCCTGCTCCCGCGTCCAGGCATACATGTCCATCGTCAGTGGCGTGAAGATGCTGAGGACAGAGCACAGGTCAGCCTCCCCGTCACCGCACCCACTGAGAGTGCACCCACAGTCACTGCACCTGTCACTGCACTGTCAGTGCGCCCACTGACACTGTATCCACAGTCACTGCACCTACCACTGCACCCACTGACACCGCACCTGTCACTGCACCTGCTGTGGGGAAGAAAGAACCAGCCCAGCCCATCTCTCACGGAGCGAAAGGACTGACTCCGGGGTCAGTGGGAGGAGGCTGTCCCTTCTCTGCTGTCCCTTCTCCGGAGGGACCTGCACATCCCCCTGCGGCGTGTCCTGCTGCTCCCACTTTCCACCTTCCTGGGAAGCCCCCTGCTCGCTGCTGCTGAGTGGGATGAAAGGACCCTTCCTGCACCCATCCTCCCCTTGAAACAACCCCCATCTTGAGGCTCAGATGGGCTACGACTGTGCGTGCACAAAGGCTGTCCAGATGCAGAATCAGCCTCCTGGGGGCCAGGGCGCAGGCTCCCGGCTCCACACCCAGCGGTGTTCAGGGCGGACTCCTGGCTCTGTGCCCAGGGTTCCCTTCTGGTGGAGCTCCGGGACTGCGGGAGGTGGCGGGACCTGAGGCCAAGCGGGCCGTGTGCAAGGCCAGCGCCTCCCGCTGCCCTGCCCTGCCGGTGCTCTGAGGGTAAGCGCGAGGCTGGGGGGTCACTCAGTGGGGCCCAGCTTCGGCGCGTGCACCGTCCTCACCGCCACGGCTGCACAGAGCCACACAGGCCCCGGCGCGCCGGGCCACAGGACAGAGCAAGACTCACGATTCGAAAAGGGCGAAGATGAACAGGACCACGAAGAAGAGCACGTTGGAGGCCACGACGGCAACAAGGTCGATGCGTCCACGTCCACAGGGCCCCGGGTCCTTCCCCGCAGCATCTGCGGGACCAGAGGAGCCCAAGGTCACACCATGCACTGGCCCTGCCTCCAGAGGACACGCCAGGGTGGGCAGGACCGGCCCCAGACCTTCGCGTCCCTCTGGAGCCACGGCCGGGCGGTGCGGGGGCCACGTGGGGACCTCGCACTGCTGAGCACGAGCCCCCGTGCAAAGGCGGGCCCTGCCCCTGCGCGGCTGCCGGGCCTGGAGTGGCCGCGGGGCAGGGAGGGCCGCGGGCCAGGGCGGCCACTCAGCGGCACAGACAGGCCTCTGGGAAGCAGCCCGGGACGAGACGCGGGCAGGGTGGGCGTGGAGGGAGGAGGGGAGGAGGGGAGGGGCCAGGCGGACGCAGCAGGAGCGTCCCCCTAGAGGCAGGGTCCACGTCCCTCCCCCAGGCCGGGGCGGACAGCCGGGAGCCCGGTACCTTCCTCGGCGTTCACGCTCCCACACTGCCGGCCCAGGTCATCCACGCGGTGCTCCCTGGGAAACACGGACGGCGCGGCCATGAGGTGGGGCACTGCCAGTCGGTCTCTCACACACACACACACACACACACACACACACACACACACACACACACACACACACGCTTCCGGCCCACTCGCCACTGCACCGCTGTGTTCCCGCCACCCCAGGCGACCCCAGGGCCAGCACAAACGCGTCTGCCGCGCTGCTAATTCCCGCCGGCACATGGCGCGGGCTGGGCCGAAACCAGGCACGCACGGACCCTCGCGTGGCCCAAACCCCGGAACAGAGAGCCCGGCAGTGCCGGCGGAGGGACGCGACTTCCCGGCAGCCCACACACTCGCCCCGCACGTCACCGGAGCACGGCCAGGATGAGCAGCACGTTGAGCAGCCCCAGGAGGGCGGCCAGCAGCACCGGGGCCGTGTACATGTTGATCTGCAGCCGCAGACTCGCCCAGGTCACGCCCTGCTCTCCGATGAGCGCGAAGCAGGTCTGGAAGACTGGGAACAGGGGCCGAGTCGGCGGGGGAGGCGCGAGCAGACGGGCCCTGGAGGCCGCATCGGGGCGGACTCCCAGCTCCATGCTCACGGCTCACTCCCACCTCTGTGTTCAGGGCTCACTCCCGGCTGTGCTCAGGGTTACTCCTGGCTTTGTGCTCGGGGCTGACTCCTGGCTCTGTGCTCACGGCTCACTCCCAGCTCTGTGCTTGGGGTTACTCCTGGGTTTGTGCTCAGGGATGACTCCTGGCTCTGTGCTCGGGGCTCACTCCCGGCTCTGTGCTTGGGGCTCATTCCTGGTGGGCTGCGTTTGGAACCAGGGTCAGCTGCATACAAGGCAAGTTTCCTACCTGCTGTCCCACCTCTCCAGCCCAGAGCAAGAATTTCCATTATGGAAGAGGACAGGAAAGTCCCCGCAGTGACAGACCACTCCCAGTACAAGGGCCTTCGCTGGGGAGTCGGGCCCGTGTCCACAGCCCCTCAGTGGCCCTCAACGTTGTATCCTGGCCTGGGTGTCCTCACCCCACCACCCCGTCTGGGAGCCACTGGCCCAACTCGCCCTCAGAAACTCCTCCCCCACCCCAGGGCCTGGCAGTGATGTCCTAGACACCATCAGTTCTTCCCCACGGTGACCCGTGCCGGGAGGGAGGCGCCTACCTGGGCCCAGGATGAAGCCGAGGGCTTGGCAGGCGCTGGTGTTGGCCATGGCCCCGGTCCTCTCCCGCAGAGAGGTGGCCCCGGCGATGTAGGAGCGGACCACGGCCACGTTTCCTGAGGGGAGACACGTGCCGTGGGGAGAGCCGGGCCAGCTCAGCGCCGCCTGCCAGGCGCAGACCTTTCTAGAAGGTTCTAGAATGTCCCGGGCTGGCTGGGCAGTGGCAGCAGGGGCGGGGCGGGGGTGCGCGGGCCCTACCTGCCCCGAAGCCCACGAGCCCGCGCGCAGCCAGCATGTAGTACTTGTTGTGGGCCGCGGGCAGGTGCACGTAGGCGTACAGGCAGTTGGCCGCCACCGACACGGAGATGGAGGCCACAAGCGGCTCGGCCCGCGGCCGGTGGTTGGACCACAGCCCGAAGAGCGGGGACGCCAGCATCTGGCCCAGGCTGTAGGCCGCGATGACCCAGCCCACGAAGCTCGTGTTGGCCGTGGGGTCAATCTGCAGAGGAGGGTGTGGCGAGAGGGTCGGCACGCGTGCCCGGGCCTGGTCCCTCCCGTGGCCCGGCCCCCGGTCCCCAACGCGGCCACAGGACCTACCTTCTGGAGGTAGGGCCACACGGACATGACGACGATGGAGAAGCCTGCGGGGCACGGCAGTCAGCGGGCGTAGGGGCACAGGCCTCAGGCCCCCACGCCTCACCCACGGGCAGGGCCGGGGCGGCATCACGTCTCGCCCCGGCGCCTGTGACGCCCCAGGCACCTGCCCGGAAGGGCAGCTGCTCCCTCCCGCCACGGCCTGCCCTGACTAGGGGTCGCTCCACAGGAGGGCTGGGCAGCCCTGCCAAGGCGGGGAGGGCCCAGGGGTCCGCACAGAGGGGGGCGCAGCCGGGGCTCCCTGTCCTGAGAGGCACGCAGGAGGGTCGGGACGAGCCCAGGGCAGACAGCAGCTCCCCTGCACCCCTGCGCAGGTGACCGCCCCCTCCGAGGCAGTTCCGCAGCCCCCGGGAAGCCCTCCCTCCCGAGAAGCTGTCCCCAGCCTCGTGATCGTCTGCCTGGGCATGAGTAAAGACCCCAGGTCACGCCTCTGGGGGAGGGCGGTCACCCTGCACACGCCAACGAGGTTCGATCCCCGGCATCCCATACGGTCCCCCAGCACTGCTAGGAGCAACCCCTGAGCATCGCTGGGTGTGACCCCCCCACTAAAAAGAGGTTAAGATGACCTTTTTTTTCACCACAATTAAAAAAAGTGAGCCCCTCCACAGGGGCGGGAGACCCTGCGGTCTACTCGCCTACGCTGCTGAGGAACATGGTGAGATACAGCACGCGGATGGACCGCCAGCGGCTGGCGCGGTGCTCCTCGGTCTCCACCGCCTCCCAGGCCCTGCGCGGGGAGGGAAGCAGGACTGATTGGACGCTGCACGCGAGGCCCAGGCACGCCACGGCACACGCTCTGCTTCCCGGGACCTAGCGCACGCTCCGCTTCCAGACCCCCATGAGTGCACGTGGGCATCGTCCCACAGGCCCGCAAGACAGGGGCGGCCGGAAGGACTGGCCGTTGCACAAGGGAAGCGAGGACCAGGCTCCGTGGGCGGGCACAGACACGGCGGAGTGTCACACTGGGTCACGCTGCCGGACGAGCAGCCAAAGATCACAGGAGCGCGTCACGCAGACTCCCGGGGCAGGAGCCGTGACTTGCGCCCACTTAGTGGCTGGCACCGTCAGCAGAACCAACACCCAAGGGGCTGGGGCAAGAGGACAGAGGGGAGGGCAGCTGCCCTTCACGTGGTCAACCCGTAATGACCCCCAGCGCCCAACCTGTCCCCCCACGCCTGCCAGGAAGGACTGCTGGGTGTGGCCCAAAGAATCATCCACCGAGTGGCCCCAGGAAGGGCCGTGTGGCCTCCTGGAACTGGTTCGGTGAGTGGGTGAGCAGAGCTTCTGCCCTGGCTCATTTTCCGGGGACGGGAGAGGATGGTCCCCGTGGCCTCCCAGCCAGGGGACACGTCCACCTAGGAGGGCACAGAAGGGGCAAACAGCTGCGGTTCTGCCCACAGCACTGCCGGCCAGACCGAGGGCAGGGGACAGGCCACAGCCATCACCTGAGCGGACAGGGTGCCAACCCAAGAGGCACAGGGAGGCTTGGGGGACAGTGCCCACGGGAACGACTACACCAGCCCAGGGCTGCCGGATCTGGGACTCGGCCAGGAGGGCCCAGCGGAGCAGCAGGAGGAGGAGGAGGGGAAGCCCAGGGGTCAGCTGGGACGCAGCTGGCCGGCCTGGCAACCTGCAGGAGGGATCCCCGAGCACGGCCAGGTGTGGCCCCCAAACACAAGAACAGGGGAGAGTGGCCAAGGTCCCGGGGCCCAACCTGCAGGAGCTCGGCCCTCCGGGGGCCCCTGACCCGGGACGGCTGACAGCTGGGCCCTCGGGGTGCAGGGGTGCGGGGGTGCGGGCTGGGGGCTGCTGCGCGTGGGGGGCGTGCAGGGGTGCGGGCTGGGGTCTGCTCAGGGGGGTCGTGGGGGACAGAGAAGCGCTCGGGCAAGGGGGCGGGCCGGGGGGCGGCGCGGACGGGCGTGCGCCGGGGCGTCGGGGGTCCGCTGAGCTCGCCGGGGCTCGCCGCCGGGGCTCGCATGGGCTCGCCGGGGGGGGAATGCTCCCGGGGGGGCGCGGGGGGGCAGCGCGCAGGCGCCGTGGCCGCGCCGGGCGCGCTCTCGCGGGGGCGCCGGGTCTCGCGCGACCCGCGCCTGCCCACACCCGCTCACCTGCTCCCGGGGGCGCGGGCGCCCAAGAGCGGCTCCCGCTCGGCGTCGCCCGCCCGGCCCGCCATGGCGCACGGCGGCGGCGGCGGCGGCCCGCGCGGCTCTCGCGACACCGGCCCCGCCCGCTCCCGGCAGCCTCCGCGGCGCGGGGGCGGGGCCGGCGAGGGGCGGGGCCTTCCCGGGGCGGGGCCTGTTCGGGGGCGGGGCCGGGCCCCGACCCTGTCGGCGCTCCGCTCCTCGCGAGACGCCGCGCGGCGGGGCGGGAGGAGGGGCGGGGCAGCTCTGGCCCCGCCCCGTCCGCGCCAGGCCCCGCCCTGGCCCCGCCCCGCGCGCGGGTTCCTGGAGAGGCGCGGGCGGCCCCGAGCGAGTGTCGCCGGGCGCGGTCCAGGCCGCGGGAGCTCGGCGGCTGCAGGGAGGCGCCCGCGCAGCGCCCGGTGAGCGAGGGGCCCCGGGGGTGCGCCGTGCGCGCGGGCGTCCGTGCCGGGGCGCGGGGACGCCGGGACGGGGCGGGCGGGGACGCCGGGGACGGGGACGGGGACGCCGGGGACGGGGCGCGGGGACGCTGTGGGGACGCCGGGGCCGGCGACGGCGGGGACAGAGACGGGGACGGACGGGCGCGGGGCGGCAGCCCGGACAGCCCCCGCGCCGTCCCCTGCCCCGACCGGGCCCGCGCGTGGCCTCCCGTGCGCCCCCGCGCCCAGTGTCCCGCGTCCCGGGCCCGGCGCCCGTTCGCTGCCGGCCAGAACCGCGCCGACCCTCTGGGTCCCGCCCTGGGGCACGCGCCGCGCCTGCCCCGACCCCAGCGCGGGCCCGGGGACGCGGGGACGCGGGGGCGCGGGGGGAGCCCGGGAGCTGCGGGGCGCGGGGCTTGTGCCCACGAGTGCCGGAGTCCGGGCCCGGCGCCCACGCCGTGCGGCTCTGCCGGGCTCAAGGTCAGCGCTGCGCTGCGGGACAGCCTGCCCACGGCCCCCTCCGAGGGACGCGGGGCAGCCCCGGGTCCCTCCCGCACGGCCCCGCGCACAGCTCCGCGCTCCTCCCGCACGGCCCCGCGCTCCTCCCCGCGCTCCTCCCGCACTGTAGGTTTCTGGGTGGCTCCCGAGGCCGGTGTCCCCTTGAGCCCCGCCGAGCACGGGCCACGGGCCACTCTGCCCCTGGCCTGGACGGCGGAGTGTGAAAGGACCCGATGGCCCACCCCGGGGCTCCCCTAGAGCACTGTGCGCGCCCGGGGGCTAGTAGCAGAGCCTGAGGGGGTGCTGGGGAGGGGTCCCCAGGCCTCTGTCAGGACAGTCGTGTTTGTGGGTTAGAGTCATGTACGCGGGGACAGTCATGTGTGTGCAGAGGATGGTCGTAAGGGTGGGGTACAGTCACGTGTGTGGGTACAGTTGTGTGTGTGGGTACCATTGTGAGTGCGGGGACAGTTGTGGAGGGGAGAACAGGCGCGTGTGAGGACAGTCACGTGTACAGGGACAGTGGTGTGTGTGCGTAGCCATGAGTGCAGGGACAGTCATGTGCAGGGACAGTCACACGTGCGGGGACAGTTGTGTGTGTGGGGACCATTGTGAGTGCAGGGACAGTGGTGTGTGTGTGTGTGTGTACCGTCATGAGTGTGTGTACCGTCATGAGAAACAGTCATGTGCAGGGACAATCACACATGCGGGGACAGTCGTGTGTGGGGGGGACCATTGTGAGTGCAGGGACAGTCGTGTGCGGGGACAGCGGTGTGTGTGGGGGGGTACAGTTGTGTGTATGGGTACCGTCATGAGTGCAGGCACAGTTGTGGAGGAGAGGACAGTCGCATGTGCGGGGACAGTCGTGAGTGCAGGGCCCCACCGGTGTGCCCCCGTGAGCGGCCCTGGGGCCCGGCCTGCGAGTACGTGCAGAGGAGACACGGCCGCCTGGCTGGAAACCGGAGCAGCCGGGCTGGGGATAAAAATACCGGATGGCCTCATCGACCGCCGCCCGCCCCAGGGAGCCTGTCCAGCAAGGAGGCATTTCTAGGAAAGCCGCGCCTGGCACTGCCAGCCGCCTCTGTGACTCACCGGGCAGCCCTCGGGCCGACGGGCTCGGAGCCGCTGGGGGCTCCCTCGGAGAGTCGCCCGGGCTGAGGGCGGTCGGCCGGTGCCGGCCCCGCGTGGTGCCCGCCGCCCCCCGCCCCCCAGGCTGTGATGCCACACGCAGTCCTCTCGCCAGGACGGTCGCTGCCGCCCCGATGCACAGCCCGGGCTGGGTGGGGCCGTGGGGACCCACGGGGGCACACTCACATGCTTTCCACGTGTGTGCATGTGGCTGTGCGTAAGGAAATGTGTCTGTGTGTGCTTAGGTGAGAATGTGGGTGTGTATGTGGGTGCAAGCGTGTGCGTGAACGTGTAGGTGAGTATATGTACGCGTGTGCGTGTACGTGAGTGCGCGGTGGGTGCCTGTGTTGTGTGTGAGTTCTGAGTGCACGTGTGTGCACGTGTAAGGGTGCATACCTCTCAAGGGTACCGTGTCCGTATGTGTGCGTGTGTGAGAGTGAACGTGTGTATGTGAGTGCGAGTGTGCGTGAGTGCGTGTGTGCGTGTTGTGAGTGAATGTGTGTGCATTGCACGTGTGGGTGAGTGCATATGTGGGTGAGTGTGTATAAGTGAAACGTGTTTGAGTGTGTGCATCTGTGAGAATGCACGTGAGCAGGAGTGAAGTGTGTGTGTGAGCATGTGTATGTGTGTTCTCAGAATGGCGTCCAGCGACCCCAGCAGGGCTTCGTGATTGAGCCACAGCTATTGCTGCCCGAGGGGGCTAGGTGTGAGTGTCCCAGGCAGGGACGGGACGGGGCCCCGCTGGGGGTGTCTGCCCAAGGGCGCCCAGGCCGCAACTGCCGGCTGGCGGCTGGTTCCTCCTGGCCCTTCGCTGCCTTCCTGGTCCTGGTGTCAGTGGTGGGCTCTGATGTGCTATTCGTGCCTGACTGACGTGTGGTGGGCAGCTGCTGGGAGAACTGTGTTTAACCTGTAGTTGAGCTTGTTTGTCTGGTTGGGGGTCACGCTTGGTCAGGAGTTACGCCTGGCAGTGCTCAGGGCACCTTATGGGGTGCTGGGGATTGAACCCAGTCGGCCGCATGCAAGGCAGGTGCTCTTCCCGCGATAATACAGCTCTGGCCCCAACTTGTATCTGATATTTGAAGTAATGGTTAGGAGATTGATCGACTGCCTAAAAAATTTTCCTTCTTTTCATTTCCATTTTTCCCGTAACTTAAAAAATCACTTTAAATGTTGTCTTACAGGTGTCTCTTGGCCACTCATGGGTGTGAGCAAGTTAGATGTCCTGTACCGGAAACTTCTCCTCACGAAGCTCTTCATCAGAGGATGGGGGCGGCCCGAGGACCTCAAGAGGTGAGCGTTCTTCCTGAGTGCTTGCTCCAGAGTTGATACTTAATTTTTTTTGTGAAAAATCGGTACTGCCAAAGTCATTGTTAAACTGTCTTAGGTGGGGCTGGAGCGATCGCACAGCAGGTAGGGCGTTTGCCTTGCATGCGGCCAACCCGGGTTCGATTCCCAGCATCCCATATAGTCCCCTGAGCACTGCCAGGGGTGATTCCTGAGTGCAGAGCCAGAAGTAACCCCTGAGCATCGCCGAGTATGACCGAAAAAGCAAAATAAATAATAAACTGTCTTAGGTGAAATTGTTTCCTATTCTCTTTTAAATTCTTCCTCCTGAGTGTCAGTGCCTGTGGTCATCAATGCCTGTTGTAAAGGAGTGTGGGTGTTTGGGAGGGGGCCACACCTGGTGGGCTCAGGGGAGCTCGCCGTCTAGCCTGCAGCCCCCCAAGCCCTCAGGCAGTGCCCTGACTTTATTATTATAACAATTGTCACAATGGAGACGTTACTGGCCCGCTCAAGCAAATCGATGAACAACGGGAGGACAGTGACAGTGATGATGATGATGGTGACGATGGTGATTATTATTACTGTTATTATTATTTTAGGTACCATGATTCTCAATATTGATAAGGCAGAGTTTCATGCCAAAAATATCCCAGTTTTTTCTTTTTTGGTGAGGGGCCACACCTGGCAGTGCTCAGGGGTTCCTCCTGGCTGTGCACTCAGGGGTCACTCGCGGTGGATGCCCGGGACCGTACGTGGATTGAACCCAGGTTGGCCACGTGCAAGGCAGATGTCCTCCCCACTCTTCTGTCTCTCCAGCCGCAAGTCCAGTTTTCCTCACGTGGGTAATCGTTCAGCCAGGTCCAGCAGAGTCCGGCGTGCCACGTGCCTTCAAGCCTCTGATGCACGTGGACCCTGGCCCTCAGGAGGGACCCTGAGCACTGACAGTGCCCCCCGCAGGAGACGCGCCCTCAGCTGACGAGAGACTCTGTCTTCGCACAATCACATTTTCTTTTTTTCTTTTTTTTTCTCTTTTCTTTTTTGGGTCACATTCAGCATTGAGCAGGGGTTACTCCTGGCTCTGCACTCAGGAATCACTCCTGGCGGTGCTGGGAGGACCCTATGGGATGCTGGGAATCGAACCCGGGTCGGCCGTGTGCAAGGCAAACGCCCCACCAGTTGTGCTACTGCTCCAGCCCCACAGTCACGTTTTCTTGGCCACTTCACTGTGCAAATGCTGTAAAACCGTGGCCTCAGGAGAGCGTGGACAAAACAGCATCGCGCCTTCACGCCTTTTGTGGGAGCCGTGCTAGCCTTTGTTTTGCCGCCCACTCGGACGGGAAGGCGTCAGTCCTTCCTGCCGTCCACTCTCGGTCCTTCCTGCCAGCTCTTCCCGCCTCCCCTGCAGTCTGCACACGGAGCTGGGGGAGATCTTCCATCTCCTGTTTAGTCATTTTCTAAACACTGTTATTTCTCTTAAAGGATTTTTTTTTCTTTAACTTTGGGCCACACCTGGTGGTGCTCAGGGCTTACTCCTGGGTCCCAGGGTCACTCCTGGTGGGGCTCAGGGGGCCGTATGTGGTGCCGGGGATCGAGCCTGCATGGGCCACGCACAAGGCCAGGGCGCGCCCCCGCCTCCCGCACCCCTGGGCTCTCCCCCAGCCCTCGCCTTCGGTGGGCCTTTTGGGTTTTATTTGTTTCTTCCTGAAAGTGGAAAAATGTCTAAAATTAAACTTTAGAGTCATGTGTTGGTCATCTTTTCCCTTTCTGTCTCTCCCTCTCCCCTGACAGGCTCTTTGAATTCAGGAAGAAGATTGGAAATCGGGAAAGCGGCAAAAATCTGGTTTCCAGAGATTACCCGGTGTATATCGATAAGGTACCAGTGATGGCAGGCAGCGCAGACATTCTGACCAGCAGAATGCGGGCCGGCACAGGGTGTGAGTCTCCAGGAGGGCGAGAGCAGGAAGCAGAGAGAGACGAGCGTCTCGTGGCTCCTCCAGGGTGCCGAGGCAGGTGGGGTGGGATCTCACCTTGACACCGTCTCCCTGGACCGTGATAAGGTTTCTGTTTGCTTGGGGGCACACCCAGTGGTGCTCAGGGCTGGCTCCCGGCTCTGTGCTTGGGGATCACTCCTGGCAGGGCTCGGGGACCATGGGGGGCGTCGGGGATCGAACCTGGGTCTGCCTGCTGTAAGGCAAGTGCCCTACATGCTGTACTGTTGCTCCGGCCCTCAGTGTTTTTGAGATGATGTTTGTGTCCTCACGGGACGCTTATCATGGCTCTGCTCCCGGGCCTTCGGAAGGGCAGAGTTAGTACTTTGAGGCTCACTTTCTGTCTCGGGTACCAGAGAGTGACGGTCAGGGCAGGGACAGTGTGCCTCAGTGGCAGGGTTTCCTCGCAGATCCCCAGAACACGGGGAAAAATATCATTCGGTATATCATAAGAATTTTGAATAACATCCAGAAAACGTCGTAGGATCCAGCTGAACCCTGACAATGGCAGGAAGAAATGATCACGGTGGAGAGAAGGAAACACGTGTGAAGCGGGTTGTGTGTCCTTGCAAGCATTCTCCTGAGGAGTGTCTGGGCCGGTGGCGCGGGGGCGAAGGCTCTGCCAGGCCCGGGGCTGAGGCCGTGCCCAGCCGGTCTGTCCCCGAGCGAAGTCCCTCTGCATCCTTCACGGTGCCCCGGCCTGAGAGACAGCGCAGGGCCTACAATGCGGGCTGGCACACGGCCAGCCTGGACCAGTCCCCGGCACACACTAGCCCCAGCAGGAGTGAGCCCTGAGCCTGCCAGGTGTAGCGCGCGCACACACACACACACACACACACACACACACACCCCGGGCGGTCTAGATTTCCGCCCTCCAGGTGTCATCAGAAGGGGGTGGGGTCTGAGGTCACTGTAGAAGATTCTGTATTGCCGAGGGTTTTGCTGCTGAAACAGGATTTTGCACGCTGAACATCCCGGCTTTTACTCCTTCCCCCCTTCTGGAGTCGGGCTGCATCTCCCCCGCGTCTCTTAGCGCTCCCCGTGGTCTGTTTCTGTCTTCAGAGAGCTCGTGTCGGGGCCAGAGAGAGGGCCCAGATGACAGGCTTCAGGACGTCCCTGTCAGCCCCCTTTCCCTCTCTCTCCCCCTGCCCCGTGCAGAGGCCCGGGGGCCAGGCCCAGCACCACGTGGCCCCCCGAACACTGCCAGTGTGGCCCGCAAACAAGTGAAAGCGAGAGGCGGGAGGGGCCTCCGTGGGCGAGAGCACAGGGGCCTGCCTGGTGGCGGCACGGGCTCGCACGCTTGCGCCCAGCAGGCCCCAGCCCTGTCACAGGCCTCCCCCGGGAAAGGCTGGCGGGAGAAACGCCTCAGCAGCGGGGACACACGGGTGCTCGGAGGCTCGGCCCTGCAGGGACAGGCCACAGAGCGGCCCTGAAGACGCCACCCCTGTGTCAGCCACGGGGACTGTCGTCATGAGCTGCAGTGGTCGTGCTTCCTGGCCCTGAACTCTTATGAGCACTGTGGCCTGAGTACTGGGTGGAGGGCACCCAGGGTGGCCGGTGTGGGGCGCCCAGGGAGGACTGTGAGCACTGTGGTCTGAGTACCGGGGAGGGCGCCCGGGACGGGTACACACGGTGCGGAGGGAGCCGGCAGCTGGGCTGTCTTCCAGGTCGAGGAGCGCTCGGACTGCCGGATCCTGGACGGCCACTTCGTCTCGCCCATGGCCCACTATGTGCCTGACATCCTGCCCGCGGAGTCCGTGATCGCCAGGTGAGACGCGGGTGTCCGGGCCTGGGCTCCGGCCCTTCCCCACCCCGGCTGCGGGTGCCGGGCCCTGACAGCCGTCCTCTGCCCCTGCGCAGGGAGGAGGGGCTCTGACCCGGGATGGGGCAGCCGTCGGCCCAGGCTGGGACACGGCCCACGCACAGGTGCCAGCTTCGGGGTGGCCCCCTCCCGGGCAGCAGACTGCAGGTGTCGGGGTGCTAAGACCCCCACAGAGGGACGGGGGGTGAGGGGGCAGACCCGGTCAGGGGCCCGCTGGCTCCCACAGGACATACTAGACCCACATGGAGAAGAGGGCCTGGGCAGCGGGGGAGGCTTCCCCGAGTCAGATAGGGTCCGAGAGAGGAGAGCGTCTGTGGGCGGAGGTCAGGAGAGGGTCTGATGGTGAGGGCTCGGGCGGGCGGGCCTGAGAGGAGCGCTGAGAGACGAGATGGGGGCCCAGGGTCCAGCAGGCACTCGCCCGGGCAGACTGGGGAGCGGACACGCCGTCCTGCAAGGGCCACCAGAACCCTGAGTGCCTGCCGGGGGGCCGCAGTGGCCCCTCCAAGCTCCGCCCACCGGGACAGCAGCCTTCGTGAGGAGCGAGGCCACAGCTGTGGGTCGTGAGAGGGGGAGGGGCTGCCATTGGGGGTGGGGGGGAGCGCGTCCTGGGGCGATCTGGTTCTCCCAAGGATGGTCCCTGGATGGGGGCCAGGGCCTGCACTGAAGCGTTGCTCCTAACGGCTGCACAGCACACAGGCAGTGCCCGAGCTCCCGGGAGTGAGGGTCCCTCCCCCAGCGGTGTGGCCACAGACCCTGGTTCAGGCCCGGCATCCCATCGGTCCCCGACGCCCCGCCAGGAGTGATTCTGTGTGTGCAGAGCCAGGCGTGAGCCCGAGCACGGCCAGGGATGCCCCAGACAGAAAAGCATCAGTCGCTTCTTCCGGTTTGGGGTGTCTGTCGTGTGCCGGTGTCGCTCTGTCCAGGGGAAGATGAGTAGCTCTAAGGAGGCTGCGCTGAGGGTGCCCGGGGAAGGAGGCCGCCCGGAGCACTGCCCTCGGGAGCGTGAGCCGGAGTCCCCGGGTTCAGGGCCTCGACATCCCAGAGGCCCCGAGCACTCCCTGGGTGGCTGGGAGTGACCCCCAGGCACGTCAGGGTGTGCCCCAAGACCCAAAATGCCTCCTGCGCTGACACGGACGACGTGCCCCGTGGGCCCTGTCGGCCTGGGCCCGTCTGTGGCCGTTTTCATAGCTTTTAATTCGTGATCTGTGTTGAATTGCAAGTAGTTTTTTCCATGGTTTTCTACTTGATGCTTTATCTAATTTTTGTTTACTTGAAAGGAACAAGATCCTTTACTTTTTTCTCTGCATTGTTGGTTACAAACCATTTGCTGCTTCTGGTAAGTGGTTTTTCTTCTTAAAGCTTTGTTTGCAATAAAAATGATGACACAGACGTGATAGCTAGTTATTTGTGTGCATGAGAAATCTTTCAAGGAGCGCTTCTAGTGACGTGGAAGTGTGGTCACTTGAGCACGTTGGGAAATGAAGCCCCTCCGCCAAGGTGTGGACCAGCAGAGCGCAGTGGGCAGTCGGGGTCTGGTGGAAACCCCCCCCCTGTCCTCCTCAGGCAGTGCCATAGTCTGTTTTCTCCTCTGCCGGTAGCTGCAGGCAGTGTCGTGAGTGCAGGACCAGGACTTTGGAATGAGACCGTGTGGGCTGAACTCTGGCCCCTCGCCCTGACTGCCATGATTTAATCTCTGGACCCAGCTTCAGAAGGCAGGAGCGAGGGCTCAAAGGCACCAGTGGGGCCGGGACACTGCTCCGTGGCAGATGCCCGTCCAGTCTGGGCGGGTCTGGGCCTGCCTCCAAACTGCAGACAGACAGACAGGCCTGGGTCTGCGCTGCGCTGAGCTGCTTCTCCTGGCCCCCGCCCTGCTCGCGTGACGAGGGAGAGGCGCCGTGGAGCCCCCGGCCCACCCTGCGCCCAGACGCCGTCCTCGTCCCGCACCGGCAGTGGCCAGCAGTCACTCCCCTCCCGCCCCCGCCGACCTTGGGCAGTGCCCAGTGACTGTTGCCCGTGCACAGAGCCTCAGCAAGAAATACTCAGGCTCAGCAATAAAGCTCAGTTCCCCCCGACACTCGCACCCGAGCCCAGCCGGCGGTGGCCCGAACCAGAAGTGACGCGGGCAGAAGTTAGGCAAGGGTCGTGTTTGTTTTCTGGCGAATATTTATTATTTCTGGGCGCCAGAGAGGCAGTACCACAGGCGGGCGCTGGCCTCGGCGTGGCTGGCCCTGGCTTCTTCCCCAGAGGCCCCTGAGCCCCGCCGGCTGTGGCCCGGGGTGTAGGCGCGCGAGCTCCCCTGGGAGTAGGAAACGGTCGCCGGCGAGGCCCCGGAGAGCCGCCCCTCAGGGCTCACTGCAAGCCGCATCCCAGCCCTCCCGGCCCCCAGGAGGGTCCTTCACGTGCTGGGGGTGCCCGTGGGGGTTTCGAAGAAGGGGCGGGGCGCGGGTCTGGGGGGGCCTGAAGCCCTGGGAGAGGACGAGCGAGTGAGGCAGAGGGCAGCGTCACCTTCCAGCGGGATATTCTGGTTCTTGGCAGCGGGGATGTGCCACGGCCGTGCCAGCCCTGGCTCAGGGACTCCTCACGTCAGCCCTCCCCGAGGCAGGGACACAGCAGGGCTGCAGCGGGCGCGGGGGAGGGGCTCGCTGACGGCACCAGGGCAGGGCACGCTCCCCAGGGAGCCCCACAGTAGGGTGCACCCCCAGGGAGCACCATGGCAGGGCACGATCTTCCTGCGGGGAGAGAAACCTCTTTCCCTCCACGAGGTTCTGAACATGCATGTTGCAGGGCATGGAGCGTGCTAAGGGCTAGGGAGAGTCCAGGCCATGGGCTCTTGCCTGGGCCCCAGCTGGCCTCAGTTTGGCCCCTGTCACCCGAGCACTGCCAGGGGTCACCCCAGAGCACCGCCTCCCCGATGAGAAGACATATTTCCGCTGTGAATACCATTCAAAAAAGAAGCTGGTGCTCATTTCATAGTCTTTTTTTTCCCCTTTATGTCAAGAAAAAAGATACTGGGTCCGGAAAGATAGTACAGAGGGAGGGAGGGTGTTTGCCTTGTAACGACCAGCCGGGATTCGGTCCCCGGCATCCCATATGGCCCCCCTCGGCCCCTCCAGGAGTCACCCCCGAGCATCACCAGAGGTGGCCCAAAAAGCAAAACCTAAAGAGGGTCTTTCTGCCGCGCTCCGATACTCAGCTTTGGAGAAAGGTTGGCGCGCGTTTGCGTGGCCGTTGCTGCCCGTCACCTCCAGGGATGGATTCCGTCCCTTGGTCTTCCTGTGGGTGCTCAGGGTTTACTTCAGGTGCTTCACGTCCAGCGGTGCCGGGAGTTGGGGAACGGGTTCGACCCAGGGCCATCCGCACGTATCGTCGCGGGCTGGTGGGCTTCATTCCAGGGGGTTCTGAGTGCCTGCTGCAGTGTCGGGCACGAACACAGACGCCCTCCCTGCCCCCAGACGCGTGTTTAGACTCGGGGATGGCAGGATGGGGAGGCAGCCTGAAGCCTGGCACCGCCGTGTGGACACGGGCAGGCGTGGTGACCCGTGCGCCCAGCGTTAACCGAGGGCCCGAAGCCAGTTCCCGATACTTAACCCCAGGCATCGCTCGCCTGGGAGTTGGGTCCCCCGAGCACTGCAGTGGGAGCACAGAGCCCCGGCACGAGATCAAATCGTTCAAATAAGTACGACTAACTTCACTGTTGGGTTCACCACGGTAACGCCAGCCTAAAAGTGACAGCGAAAGGTTCTGTCGTGCCGTCACTCAGTTGGCAATCCAGGAGAGTAGATGGGGCGGAGGAAGCTTGCCCCGCCCTCCTCCTCGCCCTGAGCCTGGCCTCAGGCCCTGTCACGCGCCCCGAGTCCAGGGACTGAGGAAGGGGGCTGGGGTGCGGCTCTGTGTGAGTGAGGCCCACGCCAGGCGGGGCAGGAAGGCTCCTGTGGGACTCAGCCGTGGTATCGATGGTGCCATAGACAGGAACGTGTTGGGGCCAGAGGTCAAGGGCTGAGCCCTGACTGCGCCTGCAGGAGGCACCGCCGGGAGGGACCCCAAGCACCCTGGGTGTGACCCAGAAACAGTCAGGGGAAGGTGTTGGTATTCAGTTGTCCTGTTGCGGTACTGAGCTCGGTAAGGGAACGGCGATAAGGGCTGTGTGTGTTGCACCGTTCACAGAACGTTGTTGTGGGGGGCGTCTCCCAAGGGGACCCACAGCCCAGCCAGCGTGGGGGCCGCGTGGAAGGGGGTACCCCGGGCTGCTTCTGCATGGGCCCGGCCCTGGGCAGTCTGAGCACCCGCGGCGGGGAGGGGGCGGGCCCGCGCGATGGGCGAGGGCGCGTTCAGGAGCGCTCACGCGTGTGCTTTGTCTGAAACAGGTTCCAGTTCATCGTGCCCAAGGAGTGGACCAGCCGGCACCGGCCTGTGTGCATCCACCTGGCGGGCACGGGAGACCACGTATGGACCCGCGGCGGGGGGGGCGGGCGCGCCGGAGGCCCGGCCTGACCCTCCGTCCCCCCGCAGCACTACTGGCGGCGGCGGACCCTGATGGCGCGGCCCATGATCCGGGAGGCCGGGATGGCGTCGCTGCTGCTCGAGAACCCCTACTATATCCTTGGGGGCGCGGGGTCCGTCGGGAGGGGGCAGACAGAGGGGGTCCCGGCGGCTGCTCTGCCCTGGCGTCTGCCAGGCCGGCGTTTGCTCTGTGGGAAGCGCACGCGTTGGAAATGCTTTCTCATCAGCATTTGAGGTGTGGGCGTTTTTGAGCGTTCTGTTTTGTTGGGCCCCCCCCCCCACGGAGCTCAGGGCAGGCTTGCAGGATGAGGGGCGCCGCTTGCTGGGCCGATTCTCCAGCCCCGGGGGCGGTTCTTTGGGGGGGCAGCGGGGGCACCCCCGTGGTGCTCAGGTTTCATTCTGCTGGGGCTTAGGGGACCCTGTGGGTGCCAGGGATGGACCCCTGGTCTGCTGCGTGCAGGGCAGACGCCCTCCCCCGTGCGCTGCGGCTCCGACCCCCTAGAACAGTTCTTAACTGAACCTTCAAGATGGTGAGAGACTGTCCCGTGAGAAGAGACGAGATGCTCAGGTATAAGGAACGTCCGACACGCCGGGCGGAGAGAGCGGAGGGCTGGGGTGGGGCCCACAAGCCTGTTTCCGCGGGGAGAGGTCGGGCAGCTGCGAACCTTAGCTCCTGGGGTGACGGGCAATAGAGTCTCAGACCCGTCAGTCGGTCTGTGTCGGGGGGCACGGCGCACGTAGTCACTGTCCGACTTTCTCTTTGACCCACGTCCTCACATGGCTGCAGGAAGCCCAGGGACCAGATGTGAGTACACGAACCGCCTTCCTGCCGCCTCGGCCGCATTTTCCCCAGGGCGAATCGTGGGTAGCGGGGGGCTGGAGCTGTGACACAGCGGGGTGGGCGCTTCCTTGCATGCGCCTAGCCCTGGTTCGGTCCCCGTCGTCCCATACGGGCCCCCGAGCCCAGGAACGGTCGGTCCCTGAGCACAGAGCGCTGAGCCGCTGTCACTGGCGCGACACAAAAGCAAACGCGGGACACGGTCTCTGACTTGGCTGCCCGGGTGCGGTGGGGTCGTTGGGGGGTTCCGAGCTGCAGGTGCGGACAGAGGCTTTATTGGCTCCTTGCTTGGCGGCACTCAGCAGAGCAGGGGTGAGTGGGTGCGGGCCCCGTCTCCTGCCTGCCTGCTGGGGCCACGCCTGCCGTATCCAGTGCCCCCCTGCGTGCTCAGTGCCCTGCCCGCCGCTGCCCTGCTGGTGCTCTCCCTCCCCCCTTGCAGGCCTCTCCCTCCCACTGGAAGGAATCAGGGTTTTCCCAGGAGCCAGTTGGGGGTGGGGGGGAGCTGGGGTCTGAGCTGACTCTCAGGGCTGGTCTCTGGGTCGGGGCTGGTCTCTGGTCCACGCGGCTTGGGCCAGAGCCGTCCCCCCAGGGGCAGGGGTCGCTCCTGAGCCCCGCCTAAGCCTGGCTCTCCCGAGGCAGAAGGTCCTGCCTGAGGAACGTGTCGGACCTGTTCGTGATGGGCGGCGCCCTGATCCTGGAGTCGGCGGCCCTGCTGCACTGGCTGGAGAGAGAGGGCTACGGGCCGCTGGGCATGACCGGCATCTCCATGGGCGGACACGTGAGCCTCCCGCGGGACTCCAGAACACGCCTCCTCCTCCCGGGGTCGGGGTCAGGGCCAGCCCCACTGACGACAGAGACGGTCTCCACATCAGACGGCAGAGGCCCTTCAAGGCTCCACAGTCGGACGGCAGAGGCCCTTAGAGGCTCCTCAGTCAGACGGCAGAGGCCTTTAGAGGCTCCACAGTCGGACGGCAGAGGCCCTTCAAGGCTCCACAGTCAGACGGCAGAGGCCCTTCAAGGCTCCACAGTCGGACGGCAGAGGCCCTTAGAGGCTCCACAGTCAGACGGCAGAGACCCTTAGAGGCTCCATAGTCAGATGGCAGAGGCCTTTAGAGGCTCCTCAGTCAGACGGCAGAGGCCTTTAGAGGCTCCACAGTCGGACGGCAGAGGCCCTTCAAGGCTCCACAGTCAGACGGCAGAGGCCCTTAGAGGCTCCACAGTCAGACGGCAGAGGCCTTTAGAGGCTCCACAGTCAGACGGCAGAGGCCTTTAGAGGCTCCATAGTCAGATGGCAGAGGCCTTTAGAGGCTCCTCAGTCAGATGGCAGAGGCCTTTAGAGGCTCCACAGTCGGACGGCAGAGGCCCTTCAAGGCTCCACAGTCGGACGGCAGAGGCCCTTCGAGGCTCCACAGTCGGACGGCAGAGGCCTTTAGAGGCTCCACAGTCAGACAGCAGAGACCCTTAGAGGCTCCATAGTCAGATGGCAGAGGCCTTTAGAGGCTCCACAGTCAGACGGCAGAGGCCCTTCAAGGCTTCACAGTCAGACGGCAGAGGCCTTTAGAGGCTCCTCAGTCAGACGGCAGAGGCCTTTAGAGGCTCCACAGTCGGACGGCAGAGGCCTTTAGAGGCTCCACAGTCGGACGGCAGAGGCCCTTCAAGGCTCCACAGTCAGACGGCAGAGGCCCTTAGAGGCTCCATAGTCAGACGGCAGAGGCCTTTAGAGGCTCCACAGTCAGACGGCAGAGGCCCTTCAAGGCTCCACAGTCGGACGGCAGAGGCCCTTAGAGGCTCCACAGTCAGACGGCAGAGGCCCTTAGAGGCTCCACAGTCAGATGGCAGAGGCCTTTAGAGGCTCCACAGTCAGACGGCAGAGGCCTTTAGAGGCTCCTCAGTCAGACGGCAGAGGCCCTTAGAAGCTCCATAGTCAGATGGCAGAGGCCCTTCAAGGCTCCACAGTCGGACGGCAAAGGCCTTTAGAGGCTCCACAGTCAGACGGCAGAGGCCCTTAGAGGCTCCACAGTCAGACGGCAGAGGCCCTTAGAGGCTCCACAGTCAGACGGCAGAGGCCCTTAGAGGCTCCATAGTCAGATGGTAGAGACTCTTAGAGCCTCCACAGTTGGATGGCAGAGGCAGAGCCTCAGTGGTTGCAGGTGAAAAGCTTCCAGAACTTAGAGCCACGGTTCCTCCCGTGTCCCCAAGCACGGTGCCCACCCTGTGGTGAGCAAACGGAGCCCCTGCCCTGCGATGAGCAGCCACTGCCCCAGCCTGGCCACTGCCTGCCTCTGCCCCTTCGAGACCTCCCCCGCCCCCAGGGCCACTCAGTCTTGCTGGCTATGGGCCTGTCCTTGTGCCTCTGCTGCCCGTGGGGGCCCCAGCACTGACCCTCGTGCTGTCCCCCGCAGATGGCGTCCCTGGCCGTGTCCAACTGGCCGAAGCCCATGCCGCTGGTGCCGTGTCTGTCCTGGTCCACGGCGTCGGCCGTCTTCACCACGGTAAGGCCCGGCGCTGGGCTGAGAGGGGACAGCACCCGGAGGCCACCGTTGGCCCCCAGCTGCCCGTGTCCACGCGAGAGGTCACAGCCAGAGTGGGCAGTGGCCCGACTCATCCGTTCCTTCGGGTGAGCTTATCCCGTTCTTGTTCTGGAGTCACGGCAGCGTGTGCAGGGCTCCTGGCAGGGCTTGGGGGACCCTCCGGTTCCCAGCCACGTGCCGAGGAAGCACCGTCCCTGCCCTGCACGTCGTGAGGGCCAAGGACAGCTCTCTGGCTGCCCGGCCAGCACGTGACAGCTCCGTCTGTCCAGGGCGTCCTCAGCAAGGCCATCAACTGGCGGGAGCTGGAGAAGCAGTACTACACGCAGGCCGTGTACGAGGAGGAGATCACCCAGCTGCTGGAGTACTGCGGGGTGAGCACTCGCTGCTGGGGGCCGCCCGCTGCCCTCCCTCTGTTCGGCTCTGGGCATCTCCTCTGGCCGGAGAGAGCTCGGGTGAAGCCCTCCCTGTCGTCGAGGGCTGGGTCGGGTTTCAGGAGCCGAGCAGGGCTGCTCAGGACTCGGAGTCTGCACTCGGGACACAGCTGGTGGGCCCGGGGAGCGGGGGTCCCTGGGGGACTCCAGGCATGGAACGTGAGGCCGGCTCCCTCCCCGCCGTGTGCCTTGTGGGCCCCTCTCGTGGCCCTGGGCATCTCGTTCACTCCTCGTCTCTGATAAGTAGGAAGCACGATCTCTGCATCCCGTCAGCCTTGGCTATATTTTTCCCAGCTGGCATTCCTTTGACGTTTTTTGCATTTGACGTTTTCTATATATTTTTGTTTGTTTGTCCTACTTTCTAGTCTCCCGTTTTAGTAGACGGCTTTGAAAGAATGTACATATGTAGGTCACACCCGGTGATGCTCAGGGGTTACTCCTGGCTCGTGCACTCAGGAATTACTCCTGGCGGTGCTCGGGGGACCATATGGGATGCTGGGAATCGAACCCGTGTCAGCCATGTTGGCTGCATGCAAGGCAAACGCCCTACCCACTGTGCTATCGCTCCAGCCCCAAAAATGTATATTTTTTGGTTTTTTCGCCACGCCCAGCAATGCTCAGTGTGGTGCCCTTACTCTGCACCCAGGGCTCACTCCCAGTGCTCGGGACCGTATGGGATGCCGAGGCTTCGAGCGAGTGAGTTGCATGCCAGGCGAGCGCCCTGCCCACCATGTGACCGCTCCAGCCCCACGATTTGGAAACTCGGAGGCAGCCTTTTTCCCCTGGTAGTTTCAGGCTGTTTAGCTCTGCTATGAGTCTGTGTCACTGCCGGCTGTAACCGGGAGCCCTGCGGTCACAGCGCCTGGGGACTCCTGGGCCCTGGGCTCAGGGCGAGACCAGGACAGCACCCAGGTCGGTGCTGGCCTCTCCCCTGCCTGGTGCGCGCAGGGGCTCCTCAGGGATGCTCGCGGTACAGAGGTGTTTGCTCCGGCCTGGGCCACTGGGCCAGCTGGGGCCCGTGCAGAATGGCACCTGCTCTCCCACCAGGCCGACTCCTTCAGGGTGGGGAGCCTGAAGCCCGCCCCTGACGGCACAGGCAGGTCCCCGGATCTGGATCTGGCTCCTCGGACTCTGAGTCTGAACGCGCTGGACCCCGAGCCTGCCAAGTGCCCCGCCACGGCCACTGCCGATGGGCTTCTGCCGCAGGAGAGCACCGGGCGCCAGCAGCTCTCTCGGACCCTCCCCGCCAGGCCCCGCCCGGAGCCCCTCCCACCCCGCCGTGCCCAGAAGGAGCCTCTGACCTTCATGAAGGGCGTCATGGATGAGTGCACACACGTGGCCAACTTCTCAGGTACCAGCTGGGGTGGCCGAGCCTGGTCCAGAGACACAAGGGGAGGGTCCAGCCTGGCCCCCACACCCCACACTTTGGGGGGTCCCACACACAGCAGCTCCCGCAGAAACAAAGCACCTCTCAAAACCAAAAACAGAATAGAATCACTGCTGCCAGGAAATATTTCCTTGCATCGTTTGTTGGGGGGGGCCACACCCGCCCATGCTCAGGGAACACTCCCGCGGTGCACGGGGACCATATGGGATGCCGGGGAGCCAAGCCTGGCCCGCTGTGCTATCTCTCGGCCCCTGAGGGGAAACCCTCCGAAGGGCTGTTTCCTCGGGCCGGGTAGGAGTGTGTGCATAGAACCTGGCGATGTCCCCAGCTGACCCCTGCCTGCCCACTCATCAGCGAATGCGTCGTCCTTGAGCAGGGAGACTCATCACTTAAGAGCATGGCTGGGCCGGAGCATAGCACAGCAGGGAGGGCGTTTGCCTTGCAAGCGGCCAACCCGGATTTGATTCCCAGCATCCCGTAGGGTCCCCCGAGCACGGCCAGGAGTAATCCCTGAGCATCACCAGGTGTGACCCAAAAAGAGCAAAAAAAAAAAAAAATAGAGCATGGTGGGGCCGGGCGGCTCACAGGGCAGCTAGAGGTGCCAGGGGTCTCTGCCCACCCACACTGGGTGTGGTCAGGCCGTGAGGGTGAGGGGGATGTCGCCCTGCGGGTCTCAGTGCCCCTTCCTTCCCCACCCCGTGCCCAGTTCCCGTGGACCCCAGCCTCATCATAGCGGTCCAGGCCAAAGAGGACGCTTACATCCCGCGGACGGGCGTGCGGAGCCTGCAGGAGATCTGGCCGGGCTGCGAGGTCCGCTACCTGGAGGGTGGCCACATCAGCGCCTACCTCTTCAAGCAGGGGCTCTTCAGGCAAGGCTGGCCGGGCGCGGGCAGGCAGGGCGGGGGGCCTGAGCTTCATGCCGAAGCCTCCTGTAAGAGGGGCTGAGCCCAAGGACGAAGCCAAGCACTATCTCTGCCGTGTCTGCTGAACGTGGGACATTCTGAATACTGTGTGTCTTTTGTGTGTGTGTGTGTGAGTGTATGTGTGTGTGTGTATTTTACGTGGGTGTTTGTGTGTATTTTGGGCCACACCCAACGATGCTCAGGGGTTACTCCTGGCTGCGCCTCAGGCATGTGGGATGCAGATTGAACCATCCTACACGCTGCACCCTCACTCCAGCCCTGCGTCCTACGCTCTTTCAGCTGTGTTCACATCTGGGTTTTGTGGAGATTTCTTTTTTTTTCTTTCTTTCTTTCTCTTTCTTTTTTTTTCTCTTTTGGGTCACACCCGGCAATGCTCAGGGGTCACTCCTGGCTCTGCACTCAGGAATTACTCCTGGCGGTGCAATGCTCGGGGACCATATGGGATGCCGGGGGTCAAACCGGGTCAGCCACATGCAAGGCAAACGTTCTCCCCTCCCTGCTGAACTGTCGCTCCAGCAATTTCTCCAGAGCCACATATGTGCATCACGATCACGACCATCCTGTTGTTCGTGGATTGCCTCGAGCAGGCCCCAGTAACGTCTCCTTCGTCCTAGCCCTGAGATTTTTTAAAAAGTGCCACATTCAAGGCTCTTTCAGGGTTAGGAGAATGAGACCCTTCATTGTTACTGGTATTTGGCATATTGGGTACGCCACGGGGAGTTTGCCAGACTCTGCCATGTGGGCAGGTTACATCCGGTAACATGTGTGCATGGCCCTCAGGAATGAGGGCCGTCCTCAGCGCAGTGCTCGAGGGGACGGACAGGTGCCAGGGATGGAGTCTGGGGCTCAGAGGCACCGGCCCAGCCCTCGAATATTTATTTTTGAGATGATTCAGAAAGAATCATTTGAAATTGAAAGAGCTATGCTTGGAGTATCACGTTTCACTCAAATGAGAGAAAGAATCCGGAGTTTCCACCTCCGTCAACGTTCAAGAATCAGGGACACTGTCTCGTTTGCCAAGGCATCAAAAATCAGATGGGCTGGACACGTAATGAGGTTTAAAGACGACCGTTCGACCAGAGATGTTACCGACTGGATTCCACAGATGTCAAAAGACCGCATGGCCGCCCACCTACCAGATGGTCAGACTTCTTCATCAAGATCATGAACGATCGGTTTGAGGCTCTTCGTGTGCCTAGAATGAACAGACGCCATTGGGCTACACTAGCACGCGACAGGGACAAATGGAGACGTTATTGGCGCCCGCTCGAGCAAATCGCCGATTAACGAGAAGTTAAGTGATCAAGTGATTCGGAAAGGACCGTGTTCTAAAAGGTTATGTAGGCAGCTGATTTTTGACCAGTGATAAAAAGAAGTCAGTTTCTTTTTTTCTCTTGCCTTTATGAGACGTACGTGTGTGTGTGTGTGTGTGTGTGTGTGTGTGTGTGTGTGTTTTGTAATAAATTCTAAGTCCTGTGCCATTATCCAGAACAAGATGGTGCTTCTGCAGTGCCACAGTCGACAATTCCCGGGGTCCTTCCGAGGGTTGTCGGGGCGGGACAATTCCCGGGGTCCTTCTGGGGTTGTCGGGGCGGGACGTGCCTCTCGGTGGAGCCTGAGCCTTGTCTCTGTCTCCCTGCAGAAGGGCCATCTACGATGCCTTTGACCGCTTCCTGCAGAAGTATGCCAAGTGACCGCCACCCCGTGGCCCCCCCACGTACCGTGCTCATGGCAACGTGACGCGCCGTCGCCGACCCTGAGTCCAAGGACCGTGTTCCGGAACAGTCCACCGTGGCCTCACCTCCCCGGAGCAGCGATCAGCCAATACTTGGATGAAATAAGTGTGTGTTACTGTTTGTGGGAATCGCCTATGTTCCCAAAATATCAAAAAAAAAAATTTGATATTTTCTCAGTATCAAATCTGCCACCACTGTTTGTGAAAACTTTACATTTTAAATTATGAGTGATTTGTTAAAATAAATTTATTCATAGAAACCCTGTTGGCTTTTAATAGGACTGAGGAAGGAAGCAGTTGGCAATACATCAGCGTCTGTTATATATCCTTAGATTTCTGCTGGTGTGTCGTGGGAAACATTTATTTCGTTCTTTGACTCCAGGGTAAATGTAAACTTGTTGTTGTTGTTCTGTTGTTCTTTCTTTGTTTTGCTCATTCCCCCATTTGTGAGGGAAGCTGAGGGCCTGACCCTGCAGTGCTCAGGGCTCACTCCTGGCCTTCCTGGGGGACCAAAAGTGGTGCCAGGGACCAATTGTGTTTTTATTTTTACTTTTGTCATTTCCTTCAACATTACTGGAAATGAAATATTATTTTCACCTCTAATTTTCTGCCATGAAAATACGATGTGTGAAGTCAGTGTTAACTTGAAACTCCAGAAAATCCTGATAGCTTTGTAAGTGGATGCTTTTTAGGAATTAAGACAAAAAATTTAAATGAGTGTGGGAATGCGAATTAGATGCTTAAGACTTGACTGAACTTTACAACTTTACCAATTATTAGTTAGGAAAAACTGCCAAACCATTTCCCCCACTTACTACTGTCAGTTCTGACAAACAGAACTGGGAGCCATAGAATAGTGGGGAGGGTGTTTGCCTTGCACGTGGCCCACCTGGGTTCGATCCCTGGAACCCTGTATGGTCCTTCCAGCATCACCAGGAGTGGCCAGGAGTGCAGAGCCAGGAGTAAAACCCTGAGGATTGCCGGTGTGGTCCCCAAAAAGGGGAAAAGCGTCAGAACTCGGCAAGGTGCGTTGTGCCCTAGATGCTGTGTCCTGTGTCCTCCTGGCCGGCAGGTGCTCTGGTCTGGGCTGAGGCCGGACCTCCTCCAGGCCTGTGACACCCTGAAACGTCTGTTTCACAGAGAACGTGCAGAAAGCTAGACGCGTGAAATGAAAGCCGACGTGGCCAGGGGTGGAGCTCTCGAGGGTCTCGCTCTGAGGGTTAAACGTTTTTCTTTCTGACCAGTCGAACCTATTTTGGAGGTGTGGCGTGACGTGAGTGCCGGGGCTCTGAAACCCGGGAGACTGGCAGGTCCCGCGTCCGTCTCCCCACCTGGTGGGGTATCCCCGCGGTGTGCGGACTGGCAGCCTCTTCCAGGAGGCCGGTGGCCCGTGGTGTCCGACCGTGCAGGGCAGAGCCTGCCCGTGGGAAGGCAGGCGGCTCCCTCCGTGTGGAAGGCCTCGGTGGGGTCAGAATGAGGGGACAGGGGGTTAGGGTTCACCACCCGGGTTCACGACCCCCAACACCCTGTACGGTCCCCAGCCCCTTCGGGAGTGACCCCTGAGCCAGGAGTAAGCCCTGGGCACTCCCGGGTATGCCCCCCTCTGCCACCAAAATAACACGGACCCCCGAATGTGGGAGGAGACTCTCCTAGATGCACCCCCCCCGCGTGAGTGCCAAATGCCTTTCCTTACCTTTTCTCGCCCTCTGCTTCCCCAGAGGTGACGTCAGCAGCGTGTTTGTGTGCACATGTGCTTGTGGACACACCCACGTCTGTGTGTGCCCACGCACGTGTTCATGTGTATACGTGTGTGTGCAGCATGCACGTGTGTACGCGTGTGTGTGTGCGTGTGGGCACTGGTGGCTTGGGGCCAGCCGGCCGTGTGCTGGCGGCTGAGGGCTCCTGCTCCCCTCGGACCCGTGGCCTCTCTGAGTCAGGCTTGCGGAGCAGCTGGCGTTGCTCTTGTGTGTCCGAGTGTCTTTCGAATGTGACCTTCCCGCGTGGTGCTTTCCTAAAGCCATTGGATTGTTGGCACTGTCACTGAATTTTTCTAAATCATTTCTGAATATTTTATATGTCATAATAAAAGCCTTTAAACACTCCTGGACTGTGCTCGAGGTCTTTTTTCTAAAGATGGAAAACAGTTGTTGCCTTTGATGTTTTTCTTTGGATTTTTGTTTGTTTGGGGGCCACACCTGACGGTGCTCGGGGGTTACTCCTGGCCCTGCACTCAGGGATCGGCCCTGCTGGGCTCAGGGGACCATCTGGGATGCCGGGAAGGAACCCAGGTGGGCTGCCTGCGAGGCCCACGCCCACCTGCTCTAGCTCTCGCCCTGATTTTTATTTTTGAGGGCTGGGCCTAGGGATTGAACCCAGGGCCTCTCCTACACACACATTCGGTTAATGGGTTCAAGTGTGACTCCGAGCCGGCCACCGGCCCTCCCTCTGCCTCCATGTGTGTGCACGCGCACACACACACGTACACACACATATGTACACAAGCACACACATACACTCATATACACATCATATACACACATACACATACACACAGGCCTGCGCCCGCGCAGGCTGACACCCCCGCGGCGACCATCCCTGTCTTCCCGTGTTTCCTCTGGCGGCTGTGGGACAGTGGCCGTCAGTCTGTCCCCGTGACTCTCACACACTAGCGCCGTCCCCCCACCTTGTGCCCGTGCGGTGAGCTTCAGGGTCCCTCTCTCCTCCCAGCGTCCGGCTCAGTCTCTCCGTCCACCCTCTGCCACGCTGAATGTGGGGTGCCAGGATCTTTGAATGAGCAGTTCGGGCTCTGGACGCCAAGAATTGCTGGTTTCCACGGAAACTTCGCTCCTCTCCCTCCTGGGCCACAGGCGCTGAGCCAGATGACGTCCCCTCCAGCAGTGGACGCGAGTCCTCTCCGCGTCCCCCGGCGCTGGCTCTCGCCCTCCCAACTGAAGGCCAGTCTTGCTGGTTTGGTTTGCGTTGCCCTGGCACCGGTGATGCTGGAACTCCTCCTGCTCCTATTGGCCATCTTGCATCTTGATTTTGTGGATGGGCGAGGCTAGCCCACAGGGGGCAGTGCTCAGCACTGCCTCTGGGCTCAGGGCACTGTGTCCTGGGTCAGCCCTGCCCACTGACCAGGGCTGAGAGGCACCCAGGGGGCCTGGATGGGCCTCGCTCAGAAGCTCCCTCCCTCGGGACACAGCGTGGGCAAGTCCCCACACTTGCTGGGGGGGCCCAGGAGCACAGCGGGGCCGGGAAAGTGGAAGGGAAGCCAGTGGCCAGGCAAGAGCATCAGTGTCCACGCGCCCTGCGGCCTGAGAGCATCAGCGTTCAGCATCCACATGGCCCCTGCGTCCTGAGAGCACATCAGTGACCGGCGTCCACGCGTCCTGCATCCTGAGAACATCAGCATCCACACAGCTCCTGCACCCAGAGAGCAGGTGGTGTCTGGCGTCCACGCGGCCCTGCGTGCTGAGAGCTGCCTGCGGCCACACTCCCCGTGCTTGTCCTCACCCGTGTCCTGTGAGCCAGAACGCTGGGCCGGGCCTCACCGCGAGCCTCACGGCCACACCTTCCCGCCGGCGAAGCCCACCGAGGAGGCAGATGTAGCCTCGAGAGCCGGCGGCGAGGCCCGGCCTTCAGAAGTCCCGGAGCAGCCACTGACCCAACAGAGGTTCCGACAGAGCAGACACTGGGGTGGCCACGCACGCGGGGCTCAGTCAGGAACATGGGAGCAGGATCCGTGGTTCTCCCACCGACCAACATGGCTTCCCTGGTGATGCGTCTCGTCCTGAAAGGACACACCAGAGGAAAGAGAACCCCAACAGGGAAGCAGAAGGGAGGACGGGGAGGAGGGGAGAGGAGGAGGAAGATGGGGGAGGAGGAGGAGGAAGAGGGAAGAGGAGGAGGGAGAGGAGGAAGATGGGGAGGGAAGGAAGAGGAGGGGGGAGGGGAGGAGGAAGAGGAGGAGGGGGAGGAGGAAGATGGGGGAGGGGAGGAGGAAGAGGGGAGGGGGAGGAGGAAGATGGGGGAGGGAAGGAAGGGGGGAGGGGAGGAGGAAGATGGGGAGGGGGAGGGGAAAGAAGAGGGAAGAGGAGGAGGAAGATGGGGGAGGAGGAGGAGGAAGAGGGAAGAGGAGGAGGGGGGAGGAGGAAGATGGGGAGGGGAAGAGGAGGAGGAAGAAGAGGAAGAGGGGGTAGGAGGAGGGGGAGGAGGAAGAGGGAAGAGGAGGAGGGAGAGGAGGAAGATGGGGGAGGGAAGGAAGAGGAGGGGGGAGGGGAGGAGGAAGAGGAGGAGGGAGAGGAGGAAGATGGGGGAGGGGGAGGAGGAAGAGGGGGAGGGGGAGGAGGAAGAGGGAAGAGGAGGAGGGGGAGGAGGAAGATGGGGGAGGGAAGGAAGAGGAGGGGGGAGGGGAGGAGGAAGAGGAGGAGGGGGAGGAGGAAGATGGGGGGGAGGAGGAAGAGAGGGAGGGGGAGGAGGAAGAGGGAAGAGGAGGAGGGGGAGGAGGAAGATGGGGGAGGGAAGGAAGAGGAGGGGGGAGGGGAGGAGGAAGAGGAGGAGGGGGAGGAGGAAGATGGGGGAGGGGGAGGAGGAAGAGGGGGAGGGGGAGGGGGAGGAGGAAGATGGGGAGGGGGAGGGGAAAGAAGAGGGAAGAGGAGGAGGGAGATGGGGAGGGGAAGGGGGAGGAGGAAGAAGAGGGAAGAGGAGGAGGGGGAGGGGGAGGGGAGGAGGAAGATGGGGAGGAGGAGGAGGGGTGCAGGAACTGAGGCACTCGGGAAGGCGGGGCTGAAGTCTCAGGGCCCTTGTTTGCTCTGCTCGGGCCACACCTTGTGTTCGGACCCTTCCTGCAGGGCTGGGGCCGGGATGGAACCAGGGCTGGCTGCGTGCCCGGCGAGCGCCTGCCCTCTGGACTCCCTCTCCAGGGCTTTGGTCAGTTTTCAGGAGGGAGGGGCTGTCTGAGTACGTTGTATTTTGTGACCCAGATGTCACGATGCTGAGGGGTCAGGCGTGAGGGTGGCGGGTGGCTGCCCTCAAGCCGGCTCCCCGGGAAGACGGGAAGCCGCTCTCCCTCGCCGCGCTCGTCCTGCCTCGCCCGGCTCTCGGCTCTCGGCTTTCTCCGTTTTATTTCTTGTTGTCATTTTTGTTCTGGGCCACACCCGGCGTTGCTCAGGGGACAGCATAGCCCTGGCCACTCTGCTCTCTCCGTGCGCTCATATCCTCTCTATTTCTTTTTGCTTTTTGGGTCACACCCGGCGATGCT